ACAAATTATTATTATTATAAATTTAGCAACAAGCAGAGGCAGTAGAAACCAATTCGATCCACATCTTTAAACTAACATATGACAAACTCGAGGGTAATAATCGCTTCAGATTAAATAATAGTGGCAAGCCAAACTGCTTTCCTTCCTACCAAAACACAAATTTGGTACACGCATTGGTAAGTACACCGATAACTGCAATAAGTGAAGTGATGAAGGCAGGCTCCATAGACTAACATACACATCTTCAAATATAGACTTGACAATAGGAAAAAAAAGTCTCTGGAACCTATACACTGCTCGACTGAAGGTTGAGAGGCAGCGCCAAAGAGCTGAAAGCCAATCACCACCAAGAACAATTAGGTAGGTACACGGAGCCTCAGTTATCCCCACATACGAGTTTGTTCCGTCAAATAAACCTTTCAACCTTGTCCAGACTGATGGGAAGCGGCAGCATTTTATGTCCGACTGTAAATTGGTTTTGCACTTCAGTTATATGTAAAAAGAAAAGAATTACACAGCACAGAAAATGTTTGCATCTCCTGGTCAAAAGCCCTTTAATAATACCTACAGCAACGACGCCTATAACAATAATATTCGTTTATAATACAGTATAAACTATAATAATTTATATAATAAATCAAACCCATATTCTTACGGCAACCATTCGGTATTCCGCCGTTAACATATTTACATATGATAAATCCTGCACAGAGGCAAACTGTAAACCCCAGCTGGGCGACACGACTGTCCATTGTTTCCGTCCGGTGCTTGTGTTGATTAAACAATTCACTTACGCATAAACAGGACACGAAACTTGCATCTAGACAAATACAACCATTAATGGACAAAACGTACATGTGGGGGAGGTGTAGCCTACTGATTTGCCACTAGGCTTACTTTTATGGAAACTTTTTATTTTCATTTCAAAGTTGAACATTATATTTACAGTATGATGTGATTGGTATAAATGGTGTATGTGGAAATCCTGAATTTGAGTCACTCGTTGAATTTCCCGGGAAGGTTTTCTTTAATAATTATTCGGAGAGCGGCCAGGGATACCCTGGAGCGCAGGGCCCTCCACCCGACACACCACCCTGCCAACTGAAGCATCCACTCAACCTCCTGGCCACAACCTGCTGACCTAGTTATCTGGATCTTACCTGGAGAGGGTCTCGAGAGTTCTACTTCCCGACCCCGTAGTTAGCTCCACGTGGGAAAAGTTTTTTGGTCTATCAAGCTGATTTATTATAAAGATTTGTAATGAAAAACAAACTCTGTATTGCGTAGTTTCTTTAAGATTCGTGAATATTTGTGGCAACATATACACGAAATTCAGTGGTAGGAATTGACGACTATCTAAAGGGATACGAAACCCGTCCTCAGGAAATGTTCGTCAATGTAGCGGATGATCATTGGTAACGAACGAGTCCTCTCGAATTATACATCGCATTGTGACATATATATATATCCTAATGCCAAAAACTGATGTACTACAAAATCAAAGCGGCTCGTAAAATTGACATGTCACATTGCAACCCATTCTCCTGTTTAGATAGATTGCACCATAGAACAAAGATAGCCGTTCTAAGCAATTAGATAGTAGAACTTTGTAACACTCGCTTTATAATCGGGAAAAAATGAAGCTAAAAAACAAACTTAAATATTCCTAGGCATAGTATAGCGCACACGTGTACTATATTAGGTCTCAGATATGGTGTATTAGGCCTAGGAAAGTTAGGTTAGGTTAGTTTGTCTTTACAACATAAGTAGAAAATAGTGTTCCTGTTTGTCCAACTCGACAGTGTCGATTTCCACTTATTAATTTTGTTGTACATCGGTATATTACATTATATATATATATATATATATATATATATATTATATATATATATATATATATATATATATATATATATATATATATATATATATATATATATATATATATATATATATACACAACGGTCCTCATTGTTACTATAAGTACTACCAAAACAGGAGGATGTGCTGCACATTTTCTATTCGTGGAGCATCAGGTTAGGTTCCGGCAATTCAACACACCAGTTTAGTGACGCTGTGCGGGTTGTATGAGGACAGGCTGGTTACAGCCTACCGTCACGCTTGCGTTAAACACCTGAACTGCTTTACCCCGGTAACTATACAAACCCCATCCGTCACCCACGATACAACTGAGCCCCCACACACTCGACGTCAATGTTCTTATACATCCAGCAACCAACAGGATGAATCTTTGGAAAGACCCTGTGGTACAGTGGTCTACGTTCACGACCCACAATCATGGATCAGTAGCGTATTTGGTGGAGGGGGGGGGGGGGGGAAGACCATTCTTCCCCCTAGAACAAATTTTTCGAAAGTGGCGCCTTGTCATCAATTTTAACTTTTTTTTAGTCGGCTGAAACAAAGTTCTACCTTCGTTCAACAATGGGCGAGGATAGATTGTCTGGGATGGTTTTGCTCTCCATTGTAAGAGTTGGCTACTGAGTTGGATTATAAAGAATAAATAAATGTGCTAGAATGAACATTCCATTCACCTGGGCTGTAAAGGAAGTCTAAATAGACTTCAGTGAATGAAGTCTAGACGAAAGAGACTTAGTTCTTTCACACTGATTCCATTATTTATATAAACAGGCTTCCCGTCTCCGACAGCTGGGTATTAACAAACGACCTTTTCTCAATGGGTAGAAATAACCTAAGCTACTCTTTCCTTTTGAGATATATTTTAGTCTCAATAAACGTACTTGAACTTTTCTCAAATCTAAATAAATTTTATTATATACTGGTGGCTTATGCATTGTTAAGCTATGCGATTGTTGTGATAATTTAGTGTTTACAGTACAAGCTGGAAGTGAATGAATTATGTTTTGAATCATAGTTTCGAACAGTCAGTGACACTGCAAAATGCTGACTATACCCACTGGCATAGTCCATATTTTGGACATATATATTGCAAACCCGCCAGCTCTTTAATGACCCACTGATTTCGTAGATGCTCAACAACAGTCAAACAAATTCAAAGCAAACGACTTGGGAAATAATTTAAAACTAAATGAGTAAATAAAAAATTATACAAACCACGGTAATAATGCATAATTTATGCGTCCAGAAACTCATTCTTCCAGCCGAAATTATCAACAGAACAGCAGGACACGACACTAATTACATTTTTAATAGCATTCTTCATTAGTAGAGCGTTTCAATGTTAGGTAATTAGGACTCCCCCCCCCTCCCGGGTTTGTCAGCCACATCATCACCAGTCTGATCACCACTGCAGCCAGCTCCTCCACTCCAAGTGAACAAATGCACAAGGGCCGTGACGAGGATTCGAATCTACGTCCAGGAGCATCCCAGACGCTGCTTTAATCGACTGAGCTACGACATGGTAAAAAGAGTTGAAACCGAAGTTCTACTGAACTTCCTCCACTCCATGGTTCCTCCCCCAGCATATGAACAGTCTTCAGAGACTTGAATACAGTCATTTTAAACACATGCCATATATGACAGACCAGATTTTTAAATGTGGCATCAGTATGAATTCCTTATTTCAGTAAACATAAAACAGAGTCTGGATCAGTCTCAGAGCTGAGAGAGAGATGTGTTACGAGGAAAGACTAAAGGAATTAACTCTCACGTCAATAAAAAAAAATTATTTGGTTGGAATAGTACACAAACATAAGGCCACAGGAGGAGACTATAAGTAACCAAATGAACCAGACATAATACAAAAATTCAAGGGTCTGCAGATCACAGATGGAATGCGCTAAAATGTAGCGGGATTACATTCCAGTTTCAAATATTGAAATATCAAAGTTCCAATATGTTCAGGAACCTGTAAACCAGTTGAATGAAGTCTGAAAGGCGGAAACAAAGAGCCGACCTCCCGCAAGCACAATTAGGTGATAATTTCGGGTATAGTTCCTAACGCCAGCAACAACCCCTACAAGTCAGCTGCACACACCTATTGGTCCACTGCAGACCCACCACGACACAATAGCCACACAACAGACTCACCACAGACCCACCACGGCCCAAAACAGACCTACTACAGCCCACAACAGATCCACCACGACCCATAACAGACCCACCACGACCCATAACAGACCCACCATAACCCAAAACAGACCCACCACGACCCAAATCAGACCCCACCACGACCCAAAACAGGCCCACCACGACCCAAAACAGACCCACCACGGCCCAAAACAGACCCACCACGACCCAAAACAGACCCACCACGACCCAAAACAGTCCCACCACGACCCAAAACAGACCCACCACGACCCAAAACAGGCCCACCACGACCCAAAACAGGCCCACCACGACCCAAAACAGGCCCACCACGACCCAAAACAGGCCCACCACGACCCAAAACAGACCCACCACGGCCCAAAACAGACCCACCACGGCCCAAAACAGACCCACCACGGCCCAAAACAGACCCACCACGGCCCAAAACAGACCAAAACGGACCCTAAACAGACCCACCACGACCCAACAGACCCACCACGGCCCAAAACAGACCCACCACGACCCAAAACAACCCAAAATAGACCCAAAACGACCCAAAACAGACCCACCACGACCCAAAACAGACCCACCACGACCCAAAACAGACCCACCACGACCCAAAACAGACCAAAACAAACCCACCACGACCCAAAACAGAGCCACCACGACCCACACAAGACCCAGGAGGGCGGACACAAGAGCGTGGGCAGGAGGACCCACCATGAGACAAGTGAGGACCACCACCTCACCGCCATCACCCGCGCCTCTACTTATCACTCCCCGCCTCCTGGGGCCCTGCTGCCCCACACACACACACACACACGCTACACATGAGTGAACGAGGACAAAATATGAGTTGTGAGTGCATTATGAGTACCAGAGGAGGAGGAGGAGTAGGCTGAAGGGGGTCAGTGACTGCCTCCTGGCCCAAAGTGCCTCTGACCACCACAACAAACACCCTCCCTTAAGCTTACCTTCACATTGCGGCCACAGGATCACTAGCAGGTATAAGACAGTGTAGCTCCATAATCCCATGTTTATAGGCACTGGTTAATTCCTTAGGATTCAACATATAGTCCCCCAAATATTTACACTACAATTTTTTACACTAAGCTCCCCCAACACACCCTCTTTGTCTTCACCATCGTCACACACTGAGGGAGTCCCGCTGACGTCACGCCCGGGATGAACCACGCCGCCGCCGCCGCCCTCGCTGGAGAACTCGTACCGCGCAACCCTAATATCTCTTTCTCTCTCTCTTACACGCTGTTTTCACTCTTACTGAATAACCTATTTGCTAGCTAGCCTTTAACGACTCTCTATGCGATTATATGCGTCGGTAAAACAGCCTCTAAGCGAGGTGCGTGAGTGTGGATGTTATGTTGTTGAGGAAATTTTGTTGTGTTTTGTGGGATGTGAGGTGTTGGAATTTAAAATGTAACGGTATATACTATTTACGTTTTCACGATAAGCTCATTGTGAACTTGAAAGACTAAATGGTGAGGTAATTATAATGGTAGAGTTTATCATAGGGGGAAATTAGAGCAGTGATGGCGGTAGTCGCAGAAAACGCATCAACCCCCATTTTCTGTTGCCTTTGTGTGCAACGCGGAGGACGAGCCTATACAAATGTATTATTATTATGATGGCAATTCAACATAAATTTATTTTACATCCATGGGGCTTATATATTTGTATGTAATTCCACAACTCCCACCACAAATGCTGGGTATATTTAAAAGTGTTCATTTAAATTTATAAATTTTCAGGGTAGAAAGCCATAATTCAAGTTGGCCGGGACAGTTCTTTGTTCGGATTGAAAGTCAGCTTCACAAAAGTAAAGTAATAACCAATTGCACTTCTTGCTGGCAGGAATTAATAGCGTGGCGATAATGACATCCCCTTGTCTTGAAACCACCATGCGGAACCAGCAGGGAATGGAATTTAGGTAATCATTGGCTCTCTGAGAAGCGTTCTTTGTTCATTGACTAAAGGAGGTAGTTTCTGCGTAGTTTGAGCTGCCTGCGGTGGAGACCTCCTGACCAGTGCCTAGTTTGCCCTCAAATCATTTAACTTTTTGCCTTATATATGTAACAGGAAGTTATACTTCAAGTTATTGTGGATTTTACATATGTTGGCTTGACATTCAGATGATAATATTATTTAATCCACTGTTTGGAGCAACCCTGCAGCGTAACTCTCCTCCTCCCCCACTCGGATGCAATAGTACAATGCTGACTCCCCACGGCGTTAATAAGTCAGTATTTGGCTTATTCAGCAGGTAGCAACCATTGGAAACGATGAATCTTTCATATGAGATGTACTGGGCACTCAACACTCTCCTCTACACACAGGCCCCATATCTGGCTCACCTGTCACGGTGTTCAAGAGTACTTGATACAACACCCTTAAAGGATACCTCATCAACCAGGCTGTGGTTCATACGTCAGGCTGCGAGCAGCTCCATCCAGCTGCCCGACCACTTGGGGTGGACGGTAGAGATTGATTGATGAAGATTAAGCCACCCAAAAGGTGGCACGGGCATGAATAGCCCGTAAGTGGTGGCCCTTTTGAGCCATTACCAGTATCAATACATGATATTGGAGATCTTAGGAGGTGCGACTGCACCCTGCGTGACGGGAGATGCCTCCCATGGCGCTAGAGGGACGGTCTCGCTTCATGCAGGTCGGCGTTCAATCCCCGACCGTACTAGTGATTAGGCACCATTCCTTACCGTCCGTCCTATCCCAAATCCTTATCCTGATCCCTTTCAGATGCTATACAGTCTTAATGGCTTGGCGATTTCTCCTCATAGTTCCTTCCTTTCCATCCAACAGCCTGGTTGACCCAACCACCAATCAGTAGGCCTTACCTTACCTTGAGGTGCTTCCGGGGCTTAGCGTCCCCGCGGCCCGGTCGTCGACCAGGCCTCCTGGTTGGTGATCTGGTCCGGGAGACCGGGCCGCGGGCACGTTGAGCCTCGGAACCAACAACAGATAGATATCAGGTTCAAGTTCAATTAAGTCTATTGAGATAATAAAATACAGCTCAGAGCAACTTAGGCTATTTCTACCCTCGTCAATATATGGTCCCTCACGAGGCTCACAAATCCATACGGTACGCCGTATGGATTCGTAAATCCATACGGTACACCGGTCCAGGAGGCCTGGTCGACGACCGGGCCGCGGGGACGCTAAGCCCCGGAAGCACCTCAAGGTTACCTCAAGGTAAGGTACACAAATATTAATCAGATTTTACATTTCACATTCCACTAGTATTGACAAGGTGGAAATCTTATTGCTGCTGCTGTCATGTCTTGTTTTGGTCAAGGTAGACTCAACAAATTGGAGAAGGTACAAAATGAAGCCATGAAAATAAGCTTAGGATGCCCAAGAAATGCTATGATTGCGATAATGAGGATTGAATTGAACTTACAGAGTATTGGGGTAGAATTTCAGAGATAAATATAGTTTCGGCGATTAGAATAATGAAAGGCTGGGGATGTAATGAAGTAATGTCAAAATGTAATTAAATAAATGTCTATTTATATATACAAAAGCAGGCGATGAGTCACAATAACGTGGCTAAAGTATTGTTGCCTATTTATTGCCTGTTTCTACTTCCTCATCACACTCACGGGAGACATCTCCCCGTCACGCAGGGTGCAGTCGCACCTCCACAGATCTCCAGTATCATCTCTTGATACTGGTAATGGCTCAAAAGGGCCACCACTTACGGGCTATTCATGCCCGTGCCACCTTTTGGGTGGCTTAATCTTTATCAATCAATCAATCCTCATCACAATCGACTTGAGAATGGTCCAGGACGGACCGAAACGTCGTCGTCCCTTCACATTCTATATACAAAAGTTTTCATTTTTGAAAACCCAGCAGCACGCACAGCGTTTCGGCCAGACAACTCCCGTCGGTAGTAAGCAGTGTGCTGACTGTTGTACTTATACAGTGTTGTGTGGACCAACGTGACCGGGATTCGGGCCAAGAAGAGTTACAAGACGACAGTAGTATCCGTCTGTTGGGAAGTGCTGCTAGCATGTAGACTGTTGCCAGGGTGTTAGTGGTGAGTCTTGCACGTATTATTTGGGACCCCTGTCAGCGTGTTGCTGAAGACCTCTGCCAGGTCTTTATAGGAACAACCGTGGACATCTTCAAGAGGAAACTAGATTGTTTCCTTCAAGCAGTGCCGGACCAACCGGGCTGTGGTGGGTATGTGGGCCTGCTGCGGGCCGCTCCAAGCAACAGCCTGGTGGACCAAACTCTCACAAGTCAAGCCTGGCCTCGGGCCGGGCTTGGGAAGTAGAAGAACTCCCAGAACCCCATCAACCAGGTATCAACCAGGTGTCAGTCCGTTTCTCGAGAGCGGATGTGGGGTATTTGGACATCGTGATAATAGGGTGTGTGAGGACTGGCTAATATTAAGGAAGGTGAGCTCGCTGATGATTACCATTGAACGTGGACGACGTATACTTGCAGACAGTAAACTCACCGGGATTTGAAGAAAACTGCAGATAAAGTGTCCTATGCGAAAGAGACACTGTGTACATAACTACTTATTTTTCGATACATAATATATTGATGAAGGTGTTATTGCGTCATGTTTACCTCCCTTTATTCCTTGACTTGCTACCGCCAATTGTTGATAGTTAACCGTTGACTTGGGGTGATATCATAGGCAGGATAAATATACTTATATACTCGAACTTAAAAACAGAGTATATATAACAATGTATACTGTTTTAATTAACCAATAGTGAATCGTGCTGTGTATTTGTTGACGATATCCAATATTGTATGTATGAATAACTAATAATACAAAATGGGGGGAATCTGTAATACAAACAAATATGCAAACACTTTAATAATGAGTCACATATATACTGCCCTTGAGTCACATATATACTGCCCTTATCCTTAAGAAAGCACTGTAAAAGAATAAAAACTAAATATTCAATTTGCAACCCTTTATATAAGTAGATATATTTATATAAGTATATATATATAAGTAGAAATAAGTATTTAGAGTAGAAGAATAAATACAATTGTGTCCATGTGTCACAGTCAGACCAGGAAGAACACCGGTCACGGGAGAAATATTATTGGTCGTTGTTGAAAGTTGAGGCAACTGAGCTCTCAGAGATGCGCGTGAGCTGGGAATAATTTCAACATTGGTCGACTTTCCCTGCTCAGGTCTGAGGTAATGAGCAGTAAAAGTGCACCAGGCCGCAGTACCTTAGGCAACACATAATAACTTCCTCATTTGCTTGGCTGGATTTTCTTGGCGAGCGTCAGATCCTGTTTGGTCAAGAGATTGTGTCACGTCTTTCAGATTGTATTAGACGGGGTGAGGGGGAGGGGGGGGGGGGGGGGCTGAGTTAAGTGACTTACTCTAAGTCACCTCAAGTCTACTCTCCCAGCGCCTGTGTACTACATGCTCTTGTTTAAGATTCGTTACTTGTAACAAAATGTTCCAAGTAGCACGGGCTAAGGCGAGCCCATAGTAGACTTATCACTGTGTACTACAGTATGATCACGGTTCCACCTTTCCTTCATGGATATATACACCCACAGCTGAAATATGCGTTTAGGTGTATATACACAGAGTTTATTAATCCTGAGTAATGTTCAGGACTGAAGTATATATATTTACTGTATGGCTGGTCAATAAACAAGGGTGCAGTCGCACCTCCACAGATCTCCAGTATCATCTATTGATACTGGTGATGGCTCAAAAGGGCCACCACTTACGGGCTATTCATGCCCGTGCCACCTTTTGGGTGGCTTCATCTTCATCATCATCTTCTGGTCAATAAGCTATTGTGGTGACCTTAACACCCACTGCAGCAAGGCTCATACCAAACTACCCAACTTTTCCCCCACAATGTATCAATAAACTATAATAATGCAGACATGAATACAGAGATAATCACGTGTTTTGTAATGAAATAAAAGATCACAATAAGGCAAGCGCTCTGAGAATAAAACAAGCAAGACTTAGAGTGTGGTATCGTAATGGATGTATCGTAGCTGTAACTTACATATATCGTCACAAAACTTGCAGCGATTAAATATATATTCAGTAGATTAGACGAGTCACAAAGTATAGTATTCTTGCCTCCCTTCGTGAGGCCAAGCTCGCCAAGTTGCCCGAAGCGCTGTGTATATTAATGGCTTTAGGCATAGTATGCAATAGCTCTATCTAGAACTCCAACATTATGTTTGTAACTCATTTTGAATGTATGTAGTAGTAGTAGGCATCCATCAGTCTCAGGAGACTATGGAGTTGCGCTCTGGTTGTCGGTCTGGAGTGGCCTCACCAGGGCGCAAAGCCAGGGTAGGTTGATTCGGGGAAGAAGCTGTTACCCAGGCAGCAGGTCCCCCGAACTCTTATACCCGAATAAACATTATCTTATCTTACACTTCACATAGTCCGCACATACATCGTCAGGATAAGCCTCTGGCTCTAGACTCTCACTTAGCAAGTCTCAATAATGATGCAATTTGTAAAAAATAATAAAAAAATATGAACCCAATGGCAAAGTATCAAAAGAAGGCACCACCCAATGGCAAAGCGCTGTGAACCACGCCGATAATAAACAACGTTGGTGGGCCTTGGGATAGGAGTGGATGAGACGGTTCGACAGTGAGATGCAAACTATCATTAGACGGGTAAATTCCTTGGTCACGACCGGACACGCCACCACTCCCTTGGCTCACTGCCTGGGAAAGTTCAGGCTGTATTTATATACCACATGAATGTGTGTGTAAAACATGCAAACATGCTCATACAAAGTAACTGGAGCGCATGGTACACCGTTTGTATTATGTTGAATTTGTATTTCACAACCTAATTATTTTTCCTGTACTCTACAATGGTTACACATCAGTGAATGATCCGTAATTTTGGCCCATCATTTAGCTTTCTAGACATGCGGGAGCTTTTCATTCACCAATATTGCATTCTAAGACTTGGTTAATGGATTATACAGTATCCCTGGTGCCAAGGCTCTACTTTTATTAGATTGATTTCGTGGTACCTAGTGTCGAGTGCCTCTCCAACATCTCACTTCCAGCAAGTACTCTCAGCTTATTCATACGATCTTAATTAACTCTTCCTGCAGCTCCCTCTGAAACCTGCAGTTTCCAGAGGGGTAGAAAAGCACATTAAATATTTATATTTTTGCTTGGCATTTTTAATTCAACTTCTGGCAAGAGCAAAAGCTCCTGTTCTTTCTACTTATACCATTAATATACTGAAACACTTCTTGGGCGAGGGAAGTCATATAATATAATATAAAACATGACCCAAATAACACCACTAGACCCCTTTTCCACTATATTAATTTCATAAAAAAATCACGTTTTATATAATTACCATTAATCGTGACATCTCTCATAATGGTAAACAAAAAGTGACTAATATATTTACATAAAGCTATCACTAAGCTTGTAAATAAATTTTAAGGTACGTTACAAAATACCGGTAAATGTCACAACAAAAATAACAACTTACCTTAATTACATTAAAAAATCGCAGAAATGGGTGCAAAGTGCATGAAGAAGCACCACTGACATTTTACCCTATCAGGTGCAGTCGCATTTTCTTTCCACTACCAGTTAAGTTTTTTTTTTGTTTTTTTTTTCAAAAATTAGGCTGAAGTAACTAAGTGATGGTTCACCTTCGCTGGTCCAAACCATGAACTCTATTCATATAGAGACATCAGCCAGAACCCTTTAAACCAGGTTTTGTATTTCCACAGTTGTGTATACCTTAGCAAATCTGTTGGTATCCATGCCATGCTTAATAAAATTTGGGGTGGGGGCAGAGTTGTGATATTAGGATAAGGTAATTGTATCATGGAACGCATAGTTTGTAGTGCTTAGCCATATTCGAGGAATAAACATTAAGAATGACCTAGTATGTACGACTGTATTTGATAGTTGTAAGGCCAAGTAGAACAGACATGAAAGTGTGAGCATTACATGAGAAGAGATAGCTTGTCTAGATGGCAGTGTTTTCCAAAAGGTGCAGCAAGACAGGATGGAAAGTGTGGTGAGGCGACTAAAGGACAAATAAACATTTAAACAATTTATAAAACTGATTTATTTACTGTATTACTATTGTTAAATGTGAACAAACCGTGTGATCATACCTTGAAAACGAATCACAGGAGTATGCTATTGGACTCTGTATATACAGCCAGTAACAGTATCGGTGCATCCCTTCAAGAACAGTTGCCATTTTACAATACTCCTTGACGTACAGTTGAGAACAGGGATTTTTCAGCTCTTATAACTGTAAAAAACCCAGAAGTGCAAGGCTTTGTTGAGTTAGTTTACCTTATATAGATCTATTGAGAGATTTGATAAAAAATCAATGTACCTCTCATTGAGTTAGAATATTTATTTACTTAATGTTACTTATGAAAGAGGCTTGTTTATAAGCATATTTTGGGAATGAATAAGTTTTAAGTAGCTGCATATAATTTAATGCTTTCTGGATGTCCCGTGATTATATTATAAACCAGTTATGTTCTATGGTATGAATTGAACACAAGTTTTTAAATGTACTTACCAATAACAAATTTGATGAAGCGAGAGCAAATTTTTGTTCTGAAAGTGTGGTCTAGAGAGAGGTTGGGTACCACTGGACTCCTACGAATGCTTTCAAATGGATTAATACTTACAACTACAAAATTAAATTCAACTTTAAAATAATAATTGAGCGTTTCCATTCGAGGATGATTTGGGGTTGTTATATAACTGCAGACACCTGTTCTTGTTGCTTTCAAGAACTTATAAGCATAACTAGCTTACTCATTACCACTATTCACAAACATGGTTAGCAAATTATGTCTAGAGTAAAATGCTTTTAAATGTTATTAACCGCCTAATGGTACAGTAGTAACTAGCAGGAAGCACTTGTCTCATCACATGTGCATAAGAATATTCTTAATATATAATAATTTCACATTCTTCACAACTCTCATCTTGGCCTACTATATACAGTATATTCAATATATGAACCTGGGAAAATTACAAGCCTGGCATACTTTTTATATTATTATCAAACCCCATCAACATACATTTACTCACTTCCTGTACAAAAGTTCTTTGTCGGAATTTCTAACTCGATACACAAATATATTAAAAGTTTAAATAAACAAAATTTTAAGGTGGGATAGGTTTATTATTCAGAAAAGTTTCTGTTTGCAACAATATGAAACTCTGAAACACAGGTACTAGCTACAGTGTCCAAAACCATTCAGAGGAAACAATCATATTATGAACACAGAGCATTACCTGACCTTCAGAGCCATCACACGTGTCACATTTGTACCAACATATTAAGACAGAAACGCAAGGAAAAAGGTTTCACTATAGCTAAACTTAAAAAGAGATAAAAAAAATAACATGAGCCTGTTAATCCATCATGGCTTCACATAGCCCATTTCTATGAAATAAAAAAGCATACATTTGTCATATACTTGGGTACGGGTTTAATATTCAGGATACACAACACTTTCCTCTTAACATCAAATTCTTAAAGATTAAAGTATCATTCTAGATATTAATGGAAGGATTTGCCATACCATACAAGGTGATGCTGATAAAATTAACAATCACAAAGCCAGGAAATCAAAATCACTTATCAATCACAGCTTTACAATAATGACCGAAGGTATTGCCAAGTTCAAGCCTCAAAATGTTCAATCCTTATTTGACAAGTAATATTACCATTTATTTAAGCATTAACTTAGCTTGAATCTGCCACTGCAACACTAAAGTAGCCACATTTGTGCTTAAAATGTTTCTTAGGAAAAACAAAATATATATATATATACACATTTATATAATAATTCAAAGATAACACAGATTACAGGGAAGTACTCAATATTCAGTAACTTTTCTGGGCTTCAAAAATATCATCTTCCTTTTCCTCCTTATCTCGTACTAGATAGACTCGAGGTTATTCTGTAAAAAGAAGATGTATAACCATTAAAAGCTTTCCCTAATCAGTGTGCAGTATATTAATGCCACCTACTGCACTCAACAATGTGAACCCTGCAAAATATAACTTACTTTTGTATTGAGATACAGTACAGTATATACAAAGTTACTTGAGTTACATATGAACAGCTGCACTTGTTTGTTTATTATTATTATTATTATCATCGAGAAAATCAACTAGAGCTGCAAGGTGACTCGAACCAGCGACTAAGAGACTCGCAGCGGCTGATGTTACCACTGAACCACCCCAACTTCATATACATTACACAACCTGGGATTCTATTGAATCAACAGGAAGTTTGGAGCCTGAAGCCAGTCCAAGTTTTACATACAACTCCCAAGCACCCTGGTATAGGCAATGTAATTCATTCACTGTATGCTACAATTTCAGAAACAAAGAACTCACACTAACGTGATATACATCAATGAGAAAATCAACTGGTGGTTATATGTAAAACTTTGACTGGCTTCAGTAGGGGTCTCCAGACTTCCTGTCCATTCAGAAGAATCTCAGGCTGTATAACTTTTACAAAGTTGTGTTGGTGCAGTGGTAATGTCAGTGGGTGGGATCCCTTTATTGTGGGTTCAAGTCACCTCACAGCTCGAGTTGATTTTCTTATTGATATACATTAACGTTAGTGATTTCTTTATGGTTATTATTTTTATTACTCTGGTATTTGGGTTCGAGTCCAAATACCTTTAAAGTCCTTTAAAGGCACTAGTAACATCTAAGATGCATAAGGTCTTATGGAAACTCTTCCCTCATACAGACCAATAAAAGCAGGGACTGAAAATTTACACTGAAGATTATAATGCTGGAAGTTTAAAGTGTACAATTTAACAGATACCCCATGCTGAATTGAGATGCCATAAAATGCCGTTGTGGTGGAAAAAATATTCCTAGCATCAGAGAGTGTGTAGAAATATAATACACCTTTCAGCAAAAAGGAAAGCATGCAGTAATACAGCACATCTATCATTAGGGAGTGTGTGTTAAGGTTGTAGTAACAACCCTCATTGTAGTATGACAGTCCCTTAATTCTCCTACCTTTGACAAAATTGTTTCTACAACCGGCCACCAGATGGCAGTAAAACTTAGTTTGTAACACGCTTTGCTTTACAAACATACGCATGTGTTACAAGTTTCTCGTCAAAATGATGAAGCACCCAAGGTAATGTCAGGAAATGCAGTGATGGGTGAAAACAAGACAACCAAAGATATTAAATTATATAAAAAAAAAAGGACCGGCACTGCCACTTCACAAGTTGCATAGAAATGGTAGAAAATCTGTGTAGCTATTTACCAACACACCTTCATCACATCCAGAGTTCGGTGCTGGAAAGTACTCCTGAAGGGCAGTGGCAATGTCTCGAGTTAAATTGGGATCACAAGAGGTCAAATATCCCATGTTCAATGGAAGGGATTTCGTCCCCATCTGACCTTTAACTGACAGAGACAGCTGCTGCTCCTTTGCCACCCCTAAAACAACGAGAAGCTATTCAAGAAGCTTCATCAGAGAAAGGTTGTCTCCATCCATTAACACTATTAATCTATATTATGAATTTCATTTGCAATAATTAGAGCATGTATGGACTAGATACACAGGGATACAGAATATGTAGATAATATTAAGGAAAAAGGGGTTAATGGAAGGAAAAACTAGTCATGTTTATGTTAAAACTTTTGCAGCAAGCATTAGTCTTCCTAAATTCACTTAAAGCTACCTTAACACTTATTCCTAAATGTATATTTACCTTGTTCATCTGCACCATCACTGTAATAGTTTATATCGGGGGCAACTTCCACACAAGTTTCACTGTGCCGTTCCCTAATTCCAGCATTTTCCGCATATTCTTTACCCTGAAAAAATTAAATTATAATTAACATTTAGGGCTGTGCAACTCCTGAAACTTGCACAATCATGGATGTGAGTTGATATTTTCGAGTACACACTCAAAATTCAACAACTACTGAACTTTCTGAATGACAACATGTCTTAGCGCTGAATCTGGAAGTGGTCAATGGAGTGGCCAGGCAGCTTGGAAAGGGGTTTGAAACTAATTTGACCTTTGATGGCCATTCATGGCTGGACCGAGCACACATGACCCTGGAGTGATGATTCTTGTTGTACTGGTGCAGCATGTCTCTTACCCGACTGTACATAATCCTATCTAAGCATACAGTAGGATGTTACTTTATGGAACAGACTATGATCTCAATGTAAGCTTAAAATTTAAGAAAAGCTCTAGTAGTAATGAAAAGAGGAGATGCCTATACAATATTACAATCAAGGTATCTATGGATGCAGTATCTATTGGGACATGGTATTAAAACAAATATGTTGGTAGCTTTAGTTTCAAAATGGCCAAAGTAATCTACCACCTAGTGGTCAGAAAGGTCAACTCCTTTGAAAGGAGTTTCACAAATCTAAACATGTATATCATATATTAATCTTCCTATGTAATATCTTTAAACCATGCTGCAATATTGTCCCCTGGTACTGGAGTCATCAACCACTGTACTATGGACTATAATTCCTTATCAGAACACCCAGTGATACTGGATTACCACAACAAAATACCTTTAAAGATCTTCTACTTTAACCTCAAACATGCCACATAAATCACTAGGGTCGAAGAATGACTGCCAAGTAGTAACCTAGTGCATTTAACGTTGCTCAAACACACACACTAGGTCTGGCCTTAATTCCATGCAACACTAAGGTTTACAGAAATCAAGGAGCTAGTCATCCATAACATTAAGTTATTTTAATATTTATTTTCAGTTTCATGCCATATTTTAGTTACATATTGTTTTGCCTAGAGTGGCTGAAAACTGGCAATTCTACCCAAGTAGAAGAGAAGTTCAACAGACAACATACCAATGGAGAGAGAGAGAAACACAAAAACAACAAGACATGCATCATGTCAATGAATGTAAACTGATTGTGAAAACTGACCTCACAGAAAGCTGTTGCAAATTCTTCCAAAGCTTGCGAGGATGAGAAAACAGCCCTAAACGTGGTGGTAACAGATGGTTCGGGTTTTAAGTTCAACACTGTCCAAGTGGCTGCATTACCCTCTTTGTGCATTGTAGTCTGTATGGCGATGAAATGTTCAGCCAAAGTCTCGCCCTTGTCTGAAGTCATGGTGATACAAGCGCCATAGACGTCGTCATCGTACTTGACGCGCAATTCTCCCATGCCTAGTCTCTGTATGAGAGAGATTGCATATCCATCCACTTGTACACTCATACCTTTAGTGACTTTTCTAATCCAGAAATAAACTTCTTACACAAGTCAAGAGAAACTTAAAACAGGATTTTGTCTATCCACATTAGTACTGTATCTGAACTTTGGAGATTTATCAATACTAATAACTATCATGTACCAAGAACTATATTACATTAAATTGGGGAACAAGGTAGAAATAAGGGAAATAAAGTATTGCCAATGTTTAATCAATATTTTAATAATATAAACCAAGAAGAGAGAACTGGGAGGTGATTTAATGATAATTGAGCAAAAGCACAGTATTCCATTTTCAATTAAGCAAATTATATTAAACTTGCAGTTCAGACCCTCTTATTTGTATTATACCAATAACCCACCTAATTGTAATACCAACGGAACCAACTAGAACTGTGGAACTGAACTAGAACATTATGTAGAAACAACTAGTACTAGTATAGAAGTTTGGCACTACTCCACACCAGTTATTCTCCAGGAAGATTTTTGCCCCTAATCAGTTCTCACTGCCTACATGTTAACACAGTCCTGTCCATACCAGAAGCCTTTCCTTATTTCCATTTCCAGAACAATTTTGCATACAACTTTCTTCTTAGGTCCAAATAGATGCAGTCTGCCTAACCACCTCTTGCACAATCTCGACAACCATCATCACACGTAAGCTAGACCAAAACAGGATCTTCACGGCTAAACAAAACTGACGAGTCCTTCCTTTCGAGAGTTTTACTCATTTCAAGCAATTCTTCTACCATACATATAATACTACCTTGAAAAAACACATTGTATATTATTCAATACCTCCCATATGCTAGTAAACTGTGGCAGAGTTGTAATCTCTGACTTTTGAAAAGCTATGCATGTTAATGGCTTTGCAAGAAGGTACCACATAATCCAACCTTAAACAAAATTCCACCTCTCCACTAAAAATTCCGACCAAAATTCAATCGAAATACACCAAAAACCACCAAAATTCCAACCTCTTACAAATCATGTCATTTTTCGCTCGTATGCACTATAGCTAAATATCGACGTAATTCAAAATGGAAATTATTTTCCAATTAATTTTTTTTTAAAAAAAAGTTAAGGGTCCTCTGGTAGGTAAGGAGGGCAGGAAATTCTCCTTAGGTTTCAAATGAAAACCATTAATTGAAAGTTTCCTCTCCTACCCTAACAGTCTAAGCCAGAGGGCACAACACAGAAAAGGAACAGTACAGTACATCACTTTCATGAGCCACTTTCATTTTGAAGCATCGCAAACAAGTCTCTCAACATCCTCGCATCCTCTTTTAAAGTTGGGGTACTTCAATGTCATACCAAGAAGCCAAGAGGACACACCCCTATTACCCACCGCAGGTAGATACAGATAAACTGCAAATTATGTAGCAATGGCTAATAGGCAGTAGTATTTGTGTGTGTATGTATGTATACCACCTTAAGCTACAAGAAGCTACCAGACATCACCTAGCAAATGGCAGGTCATTAAAAACTCTAGTTAGCTCTAGCTGCAAATGAGATCTTCACTGGCATTATTTTTTTTCAACCGAGATATGCATAAACAACATAAGTGTGTATTTGTAGGCTATGGATATAAATGCTGTTCACGATATTCCTTTTTCCATAAATAATTTTATAAATACCAATGCAAATTAACATCTATTGAACCTGGTTGCCAAATTTATAGTTCAAATTTTGTTATAGCAGAGTTGTATAAGGAGGGTTGCGCACGCACACACACACACATCTATTCCACACAATTTCAACAAATGTCCTAAATTAAACGCAGCACGAACATAAATAATGTTCGACAGTATTAGTAAAATAAGGCAATTATTAATTCATAGTTACTCATGCGTTTTAAGCTGTACATATCTGAAAGCCTACCAAAAGTTTTTATATTGAATTCCGACATTCACCGCACAATCATCTTGCTTGTTACATATACACACGATCTTTAAATATTTTTTATTACAAAACAGTTATCCAAATTTATCAATTATGCAATAGTTATATCCTTAGCTCTGTCCAGTTCACTGCACCACGGTCCTTGCAATAACTAGTTTAAGCACATTTTCATAATCTATATTGTATACCAGAATGTAATATTTTTGTTATTCAAATTAGAAGGTTAATACGAGCAGCAGCCAGAAATCATAAATATATCCTTACCATCCAGTTATCATTTTCCTTTTTGTCCAAAGTGCATCTCTTATTAAAAATTATTACATTTTCTTCCCCATCTTCCTCCTCATCATTGTCATCATCTTCATAATCATCGTCGTCGTCATCATCTTCATCTTCATCGTCGTCCTCCTCATCCTCATCTTCCACTTCATCCTCATGCTCTTGTGTAGGCTCAATAGCCTGAGGGATGACAACAGAGGCAGAGGCGCTTGTTGACGTACATGCCTTGCCTTCTAAATTTCTTAACTTTTCTTGGCATTCTTCTATTTTGCTCTTAAATTCTTTGGCCATTTCAATGGTCTGCAAATAAAGTAATAATGAAATACAGGGTCCAAGTAATGGAATACTAAGACCAAAGCTTTAACCCTTAACATGCTCGGGGTCTAATATCCTGCTATCCACACAGGCGCATGTCATTTTGAAAAAAAAAAAAAATTTTTTTTTTTTGCTAATCTGTTAAGTTCTGTTCACTGATCACGGGAAAAATAAAAAAAAAATTCTATTGTACTTACTTTTGTTGCAATAGAGCCGAGAAGCTCTGCGATGACGTCACAATCTGCATGGTCGCTCATGCAGTACACGCCCGGGAGATGTTGCGCGCGGTCCTCAAACAGCCAGAGTTGCCACAAATATATTTTCGCGCTATTTATTTACAATGTCTAAGCGCATTTTATCTAATCTTTTTTCACTAATTGTGTTTCAAATACTGTTTGAACATATTTTGTATCAATAATTGTTGCATATTTGAGTATACACAGGCGCACACAAATGTTTTCAATTACGGCAATATAATATGTCATTACAGTCTATTATATTATATGTTCTGCTTATATGTTTACATATTTACACACTCGCACACGCTATACACACTTTGAAGCACACTTAGAAGATTTCTAGACTGTGGTAGTCATTGAAGCAGTCGACAGCACATAATGGGATACCACACGTTTCACACCATGTTTGCACAAGCTTCCGTTTCTTGTCTCTACGTGTCGTTGTTTTACACACCAAGCAATCACGTTGGGCTATTGCACGCTTCACACCAGGTGGCAAATACTTAAGTTTGTGTGCTAGGAAGCCTTCAGTGTGAGCGAGGCGTGGAGTACCAGCATGCTGCAACAGTGGGTTTATGATGGGCCGCTGAATACCTGGGACATCTTTTGCAAACTTTCCTAATAACTGTATTGCAGCATCAAATACAAAGTCACGGAAAGTGGGCTTACGTCCAGTTCTCACAAGGTACATGTTGAAACAGTTCAGCATGCTCATGTCCACAAGATGGAAGAACACTTTTTTCGTCCACCTACATGTCTTCCGCACACACTCTGCAGTGCCAATCATCATGTCTGATTTATCAATCAACCGCATGTTGATATTATAGTCTAAAACACAGTCTGGCTTATATAGTGGTGCGTTTGTTTTATGGCTCACTTTCCCACTGTTCACCATTGTTCCATCATGAATTGTTGTCAACAAGTTCACCTCTCTTTTGTCTTTCCACCGAACTGACAGAATGTTATCACTTTTCCTTCTCTGACACTCACCAACTGCAATGTCGTTGTCAAACACAGGCATTTCCCTTCGTTGTGGCTTTACTGTACCAACCAATCCGGTTCTATTTTCTAGCAAGAACCGAGCTAGCAAGGGACTTGTATAGTAATTATCGGTGTATGTGTATAAAATGTGTCCCTTGTTCATCCACGGAGCCATGATGGTCTTCACTACACTCCCCGAGAATCCATGTTCGTCGTTACCGGGAATGTCTACATCACTAGCCGAGTACAGAATCATGTGTAACACGTATCCTGTCTCACAATCACAAAGAACAAAAAATTTCAGGCCAAATCGGTTTCGTTTTGAGGGAATGTACTGTTTGAATGGAACACGTCCCTTGAAAAGTATGAGAGATTCATCAACCACCAGCTTCTGTGCTGGTACGTAAAAATCTCTGAATTTTCCAATAACATCGTTCATGTAGTGCCTCACTCGCCACAGTCTATCATCAGGTGTTCGGTCCTGAACACTTCCAAAATGTAGACACCTGAGGAGTATCTGAAACCTGTCTCGTGACATATATTTCCCGAATAAAGGTGTTGGTATTGTCTTGTCCTTGCTCCAATAGTCATTTATTGCATGTTTGTGACAGTGCTTCATCAACAAACAGAGTGCCAAAAACACATACATTTCCGCCACTGTGGTATTTTTCCAACGCTGCAGTCGTGAAAATTCTGTGATTTCCCTCTCAATCAGGTAAGCAGCATGCAGGTTCGTTTGGTGTACAATGTATTCCATGAGTGGTTCATCATAGAATGCTGTAAAATATTCCATCTCAGCCATGTCCTCACCTTGATTAGGGAAAAGGTTTGTAATCCCTACATCTTTATCGTCAAAGTGAGGAATATTAGGAATAAAATCGTCACCATCACTCCACTCAAGTACACCAGGCGTCCTGCGAGATGCAGAGGAAAGACGGCGAGGAAGCGATGCATACCGGCGACCAGGAGCTGAATACCGTCTGCGAGAAGCACGGCGGCTACGTGCACGTGAGGTGGGTGCACGTGAACACGAGGGTCTTGGTCCCTCATATGGTGCCATGCGGTGGCGCTTGGCTGGGCGAGATGCTGCTGACGCGACAATTTCTCGCCCAGTTACACCACTGGTACCAGCCACAGGCTCAATAAAACTTTGATCTGAGTCACTAAACCCAGAAAAGGAGTCACCTCCCTCTGACTCGTCACCCTCAAACAGAAAATATCCACAGGAACTGTGAGGTCGTGGTAGAATTGGGGTAGAAAATGGGCGAGGAGGCATGGGAGAGCGTATAGGCCTCGCCATGGCATGGCGGTCATTCTCACTTTCACTGCTGCTGCTACTATCTCCCGACAACTGTGTATAATCCTCATCGTTGTCTGAATCGTCAAACACACTTTCTTCACCTTCAGAGAATAATTCGTGGGCTATTTGCTCTGGGGTGAGGGACTGAGTGATGCGTGCTCGTGAGGCGTTTGACCGTGCGCTCGCCATGGTGACTCTCGCTGGAGGGCAGGAAATTCTCCTTAGGTTTCAAATGAAAACCATTAATTGAAAGTTTCCTCTCCTACCCTAACAGTCTAAGCCAGAGGTCCCAACACAGAAAAGGAACAGTACAGTACATCACTTTCATGGGCCACTTTCATTTTGAAGCATCGCAAACAAGTCTCTCAACATCCTCGCATCCTCTTTTAAAGTTGGGGTACTTCAATGTCATACCAAGAAGCCAAGAGGACACACCCCTATTACCCACCGCAGGTAGATACAGATAAACTGCAAATTATGTAGCAATGGCTAATAGGCAGTAGTATTTGTGTGTGTATGTATGTATACCACCTTAAGCTACAAGAAGCTACCAGACATCACCTAGCAAATGGCAGGTCATTAAAAACTCTAGTTAGCTCTAGCTGCAAATGAGATCTTCACTGGCATTATTTTTTTTCAACCGAGATATGCATAAACAACATAAGTGTGTATTTGTAGGCTATGGATATAAATGCTGTTCCTGATATTCCTTTTTCCATAAATAATTTTATAAATACCAATGCAAATTAACATCTATTGAACCTGGTTGCCAAATTTATAGTTCAAATTTTGTTATAGCAGAGTTGTATAAGGAGGGTTGCGCGCGCACACACACACACACACACACATCTATTCCACACAATTTCAACAAATGTCCTAAATTAAACGCAGCACGAACATAAATAATGTTCGACAGTATTAGTAAAATAAGGCAATTATTAATTCATAGTTACTCATGCATTTTAAGCTGTACATATCTGAAAGCCTACCAAAAGTTTTTATATTGAATTCTGACATTCACCGCACAATCATCTTGCTTGTTACATATACACACGATCTTTAAATATTTTTTATTACAAAACAGTTATCCAAATTTATCAATTATGCAATAGTTATATCCTTAGCTCTGTCCAGTTCACTGCACCACGGTCCTTGCAATAACTAGTTTAAGCACATTTTCATAATCTATATTGTATACCAGAATGTAATATTTTTGTTATTCAAATTAGAAGGTTAATACGAGCAGCAGCCAGAAATCATAAATATATCCTTACCATCCAGTTATCATTTTCCTTTTTGTCCAAAGTGCATCTCTTATTAAAAATTATTACATTTTCTTCCCCATCTTCCTCCTCATCATTGTCGTCATCTTCATAATCATCGTCGTCGTCATCTTCATCATCATCATCGTCCTCCTCATCCTCATCTTCCACTTCATCCTCATGCTCTTGTGTAGGCTCAATAGCCTGAGGGATGACAACAGAGGCAGAGGCGCTTGTTGACGTACATGCCTTGCCTTCTAAATTTCTTAACTTTTCTTGGCATTCTTCTATTTTGCTCTTAAATTCTTTGGCCATTTCAATGGTCTGCAAATAAAGTAATAATGAAATACAGGGTCCAAGTAATGGAATACTAAGACCAAAGCTTTAATAATGAAATGTTACACAAATGACCAATTAGGATGTAATCCCCCCCCTTTTTTTTAAGGATCAGAATTTCATAATTTTTACAATTTATAAGATAATGGCAAGTTACTTCAATATATGCAATGAAAACTTTGTAACTTTTTATGTCAACAAACACCAATCTGCCCTTTTCTCCAAACACTGGTTGGGCAAGTCTCTTAACATTTGTAATAAGAGATCAATATTTTCATAACTCCCTTAAATCATAATGGAGATAGTTTTGAATAGGATCAAATTATGCTTAACAAATCTAAGTCTACCGCATGAGTATACCTGGAGTGGGTTCTAGACGGTGTACTTTGCAAGCCCAGCCTGAGGCCAAGCATGACTTTTAATATCTTCGCCCAACAACTGCTGCTTGGATTGGCCTACATGTATTCTACAACCTGGTTGGTTTGGCACTTTTCTTGCAGGACTTAAACACATCTACTTTTGCACCAACAATATTTCTAATATTTGTTGGGAGAATATTGAATAGCCATGGACTGCTGGTGTCCCATAGCGCTCTCCAATTATACCTATGGCGCCTCAAATTTTCATCGGGTCGATTCTGCATTTCCTACCGTTTCTTTTGCTTCAGTATCTTCCATATGTGAATGTTGTACCTCTTTTGGGTACATTTTGAGATCTGAGATGATCGTCATAGTTTAAGTGCTTTATCATTTCCATGCATGCTATAAATCATCTCTGTATTCCCTCTATTTCAGAAATCCCTCTTGGTTTGAAAGAGAAAGTGAGTATTGAGCAGAACTCAAGGTGGGAAAAGACAAGCAATTTGTAAAGTAGAAGCACAGTAGTGAAATTAGTGTCTGCTCACTCCAGAGTGATTTTCTCACACTTGTCGTTTGATAAGGTCTTACAAGAGCATTCTAACCTCTTGAGTTTTTACTCCTTTGCATAGATTAGGAACAGCAACTTGCCAAGGGCTGCACCTTGAGGGCCTTTATTTGCTACATTACCCCCTCCCCTGAGTATCACCCTTCAATTCACAGCTCCTGAATACTTTATCCAGTTTATTTCCAGTTATCTTAGTTAATCTCTCCATCTTGTATTCTAGTTTTTTGTGAGGAACCGTATCAAATGATTTCCGACTAGAAAATTCAGTCAATTCAGTTTGCCTTCTGCTGTCGTATCTTAAAATTATAATACCAAAGGCCAATGCACAGGTAACCAAAAACTTGAACTGTACATGTTAACGTTACTCTAAAATTTCAGATTACTTCAAAATACCAATGGAAGTGTTTTCAATCAACACGTACCTTAAACCTAATTGCTAGTTGTTCACTGCTGCCTTTTAAACCTTCCGAATAATCCGTGGCGTACCAACACCAAGCAGTTTCTGAGGTTTGTAGAGGTCGAAACTCTAGCTGGGGTGTAAGGTAATGGTTACAGCAGGTCTTGTGTACCTGTAAACCATAAAAAGGAAACGTCATTTAATTTCTACTTGTCTTCATTTTCTTTCTAATGCAGATTCTTCTAAATACTGTAATGCCTTTCCTAGTTCATCTGCATGACACCTCCTTCCACCTTAATACAAAATCTGAATTGCACCTCATAGTATAAGTATAGTTATTACAATTATGATATAGATTAAAAGAGAAATAAAGAGTTTTCACAGGAAATTGTTATGCCTAGGCAGGTTACATTCTATGAAATCTAGAAATTGTATAAACAAAAAATGTGGAACATACCAGTTCTCTTCTTTGAAGCAGACGATACTTATTATTTACAGGATCATGGAGAATCTTGAAATCTCCAATACCTCTCTCCTTCCATTGTTTTGTAGCTCCATCATACCGGTATAACTTCCCGCGGTTAGAAAATATCGCTTCCAAGTCTTCTTCTCCCGTCTTAATCTGGTAAGCAAAGATATATACCGTACTTAATATGTACATAAAAATTCCTATCCTAATTCTACACTTCCATTAACCACCTTATGGACAGTATATCCGAGACCTGGTTACCCTCCCACGACAATTTTTTTTTTTTTTTTTAACAGGAATGGACGACTTCTGACTCCTGTTACTAGGCTTAAAGTCGTCTTTGCCCATAGTTCACATTAAGCCGTACCCACTAGTTGGCCCTGTAATACAACCTGTCAATTGGTTAACAACCATGTAACTAATTACTGCTGCATGAACCGATGACAACAGTTAAGGATTGGTGCCCAGTCAATCTTCCTTGGTCAAGACTAATGTAGATCGAGTTGCCTGCGAGGCCCGAGGAAAGTGTATTAACACTGTGCCATCGGGGATCCTTGCCATATTATTTTCATTGTTAACAAACATCCCTGGCTGTCTCTCTCACTCCCTGTATGGCTGCCTTACTGCTCTTCCTGTATTTCCACACCTCACAAATTCAATCCAATTCATACTCTAGTAGCATTCTTATCCATTTCTTCTGCATGCCCAAACCACCTCAGTATATACAAGAAAAATAGTGTGTTTGCACTAAGGGTAGCTACAAAACCTACTTTAAAAGTACAGCATCATAGACGAGAACCTCAACTAAGTAACACAAACCAACCTTGGCACAAACACGCGTACGTGTGTATTTACTATTTGTATTGGTAGAATCGAGCTATTAGCTCTTGGACCCTGCCTTTCTAACCAATTTTATTTTTCCTCTAAACTGTCTTCTACATATATATCACATGCACACACATTCCAGGAAGCAGCCCATTGCAGCCCAAATTTCTCCTAAACAGATCTACTTTTAAACCAACAATATTTCTAATATTTGCTGGGAGAATATTGAATAGCCATGGACTAGGCCATGGACATTAGGCCAGCTGCTTAACTCTCAGGTACTTATTTACTGCTAGGTGAATAGGTGCACCAGGGTGAAAAACTCTGCCCATTTGTTTCCGCCTCCATTAGGAATCGAACCTGGGCCATTAAGACTACTATCCCTTATGCGGTATTCACTTAGCCACGAGGCCCTATAGGACCTCACGGCCATGTAGTGATTGCTTTGTCACATACATGGGTGTATGTGCACGTGTGCTTGCGTGCGCACACACATACGCTCCTCACGTAACTGGGAGACAAGAGTTAGAGGGGATATGAACACCACGTACAAAATTCTCAGAGGAATTGATAGGGTAGATAAAGACAGACTATTTAACACAAGGGGACACAGGTGGAAATTGAGTGCCCAAATGAGCCATAGAAATGTTAGAAAGAATTTTTTCAGTGTCAGAGTAGTAGACAAATGGAATGCATTAGGAAGTGATGTGGAGGAGGCTGACTCCATACACAGCTTCAAGTGTAGATATGATAGAGCCCAGTAGGCTAAGGAACCTGTACATTAGTTGACCGACAGTTGCGAGGCAGGACCAAAGAGCCAGAGCTCAACCCCTTAAGCACAACTAGGTAAGTGTACACACACACACACACACACACATGCATCCGACTGAAGAAATGTCAAGCATGACAGGGTTCAGTTTTTGCACCAGTAATGTTCAGTGTCTAAATAAATGGCCTACCAGAAGGAATACAGAATTATATGAACAGAGAAGATAAGAAACTTAGACAATTGTCATGCCTTTCAAGACATGGACAAAACAAATATATGGATTACCACTTGTTAAATTAAATTTAATGTGAATAAATGCCATGCTCTGGAATAGGAGACGAGACCACACACAACTTACAAATTACTGTATGTTTAAATTCTTTAACAATTCTGATAAAGAAATATTTGGGGGTGGTACTAGATAGAAAACTCATCTGAGGATCACAGAACATTGTGTGTAGAGCCTATGTAATGCTTTCCAATTTCAGAATTGTTATTAAATACATGGCTGGTGAAATACTGAACAAATTGTTCATGACCATTGTGAAACTAACGTTGGAATATGTGTTGGTTGTATGGAGCCCGTAATTCAAGAAGCACATCAACGAAATGGAAAAGATGCAAAGACATGCAACTAAATGGCTCCCAGAACTGAAGGACAAGAGTGATGTGGAGGGGTTAGAGGCATTAAATATGCCAAAACTAGAAGATAAAAGTTAGAAGTGATATGATCACTACATACAAAATAATAACTGCAATTGCCATAATTGATAAGGAATTCTAGACCTGGAACTTCAAGAGATTGCAAATTTAAGCTAAACAAAGCTGCTGAAGAAATACTGTATGGTATAGGAAAATTCCTTTTTGTAAGCAGTGCTAGACAGTTGAAACAAACTAAGTGAGGTGGTAGAGGCCAAAACTGTTAGTACAGTAGTTTCAAAGAGTTATAGGCCAAGTGTTGGGAAGATGGGACACTACGAGAGCCTCGTCCGGTAACTACATACTGGTAATTATACTCTGGAAATTACACACACTAACCTCTACAAGGTCTGGCATTGGCACAACTGGCTCGAAGTGTGGATCGTGCGAGTCTCCTTCCTCGGCTCCCTCTTCCTCTTTGTCCTCTATCTTCTTGGGCGATTTGTTAAACACAGGTTGACCTCGTGTCGCCCAAACAGCGGTTGCAGCATGACCTGGAAGAGCAACTATGGTAATAAAAGCGTGTAAGAATAGGGAAGAATGCACGTCAATGGAAGATTTTGAAAAAACGGTATAAATTTAAGGAAATGGAACAAAGAATGATCTTTTAAAAAGTAATCATGCCAAAAGTTTTACACATTTTCAAACAATTCTATTACTACAGTATTTATTCCAAGGTTTAAACAGATTACAATAGTAATGACCAAAACTAAAATTTAGACAAAAGCATAATTCAGACTTACTTGCTTGACCAAAGCTGTTATGGGAAGCAGCTTTCTCTGCAAGATCACCAAATGACACCTGTGAAGTACTATTGAGTGAGGAAAACAATCCCCCTCCTGATGTTGTCTTTATGATGGTAATAGTATTGGTATCTACCGGAGTTGTGACCGTGGCATTAGGAAATGAAGTACCAAGCAGCCCTGGAGATTCCGCAGGTTTTGCACCAAAAAGTCCAGTGGAACTAGGTGCATTACGGAAGATACTGCAACTTTTACCAAAGAGGTCTGCATTACTAGATGGGGTGTTATTTCCAGAATTGTTAGCATTAGTGAAAGTTGTGTTCTCACTTCCAAATATGGTGGTGGAAGTGCTTTGTGCACTGCCACTATTGAACATACTAGGAGAACTGCTGCTAAAAAGACTTGAAGCACCAGTCGCAGCCTTTCCAAATATGCTGGGGGAACTACCGGCACTGTTGCCTCCAAATATGCTGGGGGAACTACCGGCATTGTTGCCTCCAAATATGCTGGGGGAACTACCAGCATTGTTGCCTCCAAATTTACTTTGTGTATTTGATGGCAATGTTGCAAATAGAGATGTAGAGAAAGATACTGTAGCACTGTTGCCAAACACTGGTGGTTTTAATGATTTGGCTGAGCTGATTCCAGTTTGCTCTGGCAAAACCTCCTTATTTTCCTGTAAAAAAAAAAAAAAAAAATATATATATATAAATAAATACTAATTTAAAATCATTGCAAACACCGAGACAATGCTTACAATATATGATTTGTAACCTCTACTTGGCTGCAACATTCAAAGCAGCACAATTATAACAATCTTGGTTTGACTGCAATTCAAAGGAAGAACTTTGGGTAAAGGTATCTGTTAGCTACATGCATTAAGGGGGCATATCAAACGCAAAAATTCGGAAAAATCGAATATTTTTGAAAAATTTATAAAAATACTACAACGTTCTGGCAACACTTTGGCGCAAACACGATAATGTTATGATATAAATTAAAGTATTTATGGTACATTTCCATGCGTAATTGTGCAGAATCCGGTGCCCCGCGGCTGTGGCGCGCCAAGAGTATTGCGTCGTACGTTCTAAACGTCAATTTTTTCGTAATAACGTCGGAAATAACTATATATATATGACAACAAATATACACTAATTGGCAACCGTCTCCTAGTGAAGGTGAGTGAGGTACCCAGCTACAGTCACATGGTGTGTCCTGTTGAGAGTGGAGGTATCGACGCGCGCTCCATTTTGGCTCCTGAAATCTCGCTTTAGTAGCGTCTAGTGCACAATGACCTATAAACGGAGGACTCGGAAGACAAAGGAAGCCAATTTGGCACGCGGTCGCCGTCTTTGGCAGGAAAAAGAGCCGCTGTAGCACAAGAGAGAGTTATATCAAGTGAGGATGTAGGCGGCCTCCCCGCCTCAGCTGTGAGAGGCCTGACGCCGCCGCCACACGCCTCGACCCTCCTCACACACACTCCTCAGCCCCTCGATGTGTATGGACCGGCCACGACAGTGCCATCTACATCTACTGGTGTGGCAGTGCCATCTACATCTACTGATGTGGCAGTGCCATCTACATCTACTGGTGTGGCAGTGCCATCTACTGGTGTAGCTGGTGTTGCAGTGCCATCTACTGCTGTGGCTGGTGTTGCAGTGCCACCTTGAGGACCCACAATTCGGACCAATTTCAATAGGTTAGTATCTTTTAGTGTTATAATTTGGTATTTTGTAATAATTGTAATATGTATGTGCAGGATATATATATATGTATAATTTTTTATTTTTTTATTTTTTTTTTTATTTTTTTTTTTCGTTTGTTATCAGGGGATGTGCATGGAACTTGCACACCTTGCTCAATGGATGCCTATCTGCAAGGGTGCCAATTATGAACAAAATCTGTCGAAGTGTCAAGTTCAGCAACAGGTGGCCGAACTTTGATCTTATTTTACTCAGGTAAGTAATTTACAACTTCAAAGTACTTCACAGCTTTCATTTATTAATCAATTTACATGCAAATTACACCTTATATGTAGAGTTTGTGCTTCTACAAAACCTAGTAGACATTTTAGTCCAAAGTCCATTTGTTGATTTTATAAAAATTTATAAACATCATATATTGCATATTTTTGGAAGGGTAACTTTGAAAAATGATATTATTGCACTAAACACTTTATTGATAAAACTGATCACTACAATCCTTTATTATGTGCTAATTTTAATATCCGAGTGTTATAGAAATGATTTTAGTTGACAAATGTGGTCCCTAAAATTATTTGAAAATGTTGAAAATTCGTTGCATAATACGTTGTGTATTTTTTTTCTCCTTTTCTGTTTAGGGTGTGATGGTGAAACTTGGACCAGTTGCAGCCCTTTCTATAACCATTTCATAAATAAATTTATAAGCAAATTGAACAATTTTTAATTTCACCTTGATATGCCCCCTTAAGAAAGAAAAAGAAGGAAAACAATAAGTGGTTACCAGATCTTAATGTCAAGTGGATTCAAAGAAAAGCAACTTAATACTATGTGGGACATAAATGCCAGTAATCAGCCATGGCCAGAAACAGGAACTGACCACCTGCATGATCAGGTATTCAATTTATGTAAAGGCCATTATTATCGAAAGATGTACCTCACTAAAAAGACATTATCCAAATTAAAAGCATTATGCCACAAGAGTAAGAGAAGGGGATGTTCCGTGTTGATCAGATCATGCCCTATTGAAAATTACACTATTATATACTTGGAGAAAGGGAGATACCATAGAAAACACACTGAAATAGAGGATAATATGGGTAACTACACAAGTTTTAGTAAATTTGGTTGGGAAGCATTATTATTGGTGAAAATGCAATAAAGATGTAACATTAAAAAATTTGTGAATGTAACTAATGCACAAAAAATGACAAAAATTGTACAAGACTTATCGAGGAGAAATTCGTTATAAATAGTTAACTTTAAATTTATCCCTCAGAATACGACATCAAAATTTCTTCACATCAATGAGGCCAAACTAAAATTTAATTTTTTTTCTTCATATAACGTGACATCAGGAAATCAATCAAATTTTAGGTGTGCAGTGTAAAGATTACTGGAGTGCAAAGTGAAACCAGGTGACATTTAGCTTAGGAATTACAGCAACCAGAACTTAAAATTGTTTTAATACCATCTAACCACAAAATTTTCTTTCCGAACCCCATACCATGTATTTGACAATTTTAACGTTTGGTTGGCATTTATTACCAGAAGCCGTTTTTACCTTGTCTACCTCGTCACCCTGGCACCCACGACATCCTGGGCAGGGAGGAGCATCCTCATACAAGTAAAAGTTGTCTGGGAGCTGGAGTTTCCGTGCCTTCTCGACTTGCTCCTCTGTTGCCTTCTTCTCGTATATGATTTCGACAGCATCTAGAGAATATAGAATAAATATTTATAAAATTTACTATTAAGACCCATTTAGCTAAATTAACACACACAGTACAATCTATTAATACAATCTGAATAAATACTTATTGTATGCTAGTGGTCACAATAACTATTCTACAATTATAAAAGGCTGACATTTTATACATCACTGAAACTATTATGGATGACCGCCATTTGAACAAACTTATGCATGGCCCAAATAAATTCTACTTGGCAGTTAACACTTTAGCAGTTATGATTCTAAAAGTGTTAACATTATTCAACCAAAATACTGTATCTGGTGTAGGGACGGACCACTAACAATCGGAGAACACTGTCTGAACATTAGAGATTCACAGCTGCTCAACACCCTCCCAGCCAGCATTAGAAATATTGTTACAACAAAGTTGGATGTATTTATTCAAGAGGCAGTTAGGCAAGTTCTTGCAAGAAGTGTTGGACCAACCAGGCTATGGTGGATATGTGGGCCTGCAGGCCACTCCAAACAACAGCCTGTTGGACCAAGTTATCCCAAGTTTGAGCCTGGCCTAAGGCCGGGCTCAGGAAGCAGAACTCCGGGAACCCTCTCTAGGTATGCTTCAGATATACTAAGGTGTCTGCTACTAAATGGGCCACTCTCGTTATTCACAAAACATACATCCACTTTACCAAACTTTTCATGCCAGGTTGTCAGAATTGAAATACAATTTACATACAATATCTAACTAATCAAATGTACACCATCACTGTACTGTAATGATATATTAAATATAAAAATCAATATTCAAAATAGATCCCATGTATCTTGTGAAAAATAAAAATGCAAAATATATTCCCACTGTAGACATAGTTAAGGTTTCCCATACTGTAACTTGCACCAAGTATAGTAAAGTGGAAGGAGTTTGAGGATGACTCAGTTTTTGCACAGCAACAAAAAGATCCAACCCATCCTTGAAAAAGTTCTGTACTAATAGTAGTAGTAATAATAAATAATAAAATTCATTGTGTCTGGGGACAAGAAGCCAGAGAGTATTCATACACGTTTTGACTTATATCGAGGCCTAAGGCACTCGTCAAGAATGATCAGGAACGCATTTGTGCCATAAGAGATTTTGATGATTGCAAATTAAGACCATCAATAGCAGGGCTTGGCTGTTGCTTGGGCAAACAATGCTCACCGTGATGAGCATTTGTTTGTTCTATTGAACACAAGATGTTCAAACCATCCAGAAATTCAAGTGAAAACCCATTCTTTTGTGCTTTAGCAATGATAAAATATAAATATAAAAATTTGAAAAAATTTATAACAAAAACATTTGCTAGCATTGGTTAAGCATGTTGACAAACTAGTGTTAAAAAGAACACTGGCATTATATGTACACAACACTGTATACAGTATATATCTAATTATTTACAAAGGAATTGTAATATTTTTATTATTATCTTATATATGTATAGTTGCAAAGTTTTCTCAGAAACACATTTAAGCTTCTCTCACATTATTTACAGTAGCAGTAGTACTCCATAACCTGACTGCAGCATGTACCCCTATGGCTTAGGGTAGGTTCACTCGTGCTGCTATACCAAATATAACCTAGAAAGGCATTTCATAATACATGAATGAGCCTTGTATATCACTCGACGTCAAATTGAAAATTCTCCAGCATTTCATATGGCTTGGCATGGATGTGGGGACTGCTCAGAAAATCTAATTACTATGTATTTTTTCCCCACACACTGCGATTAGTGACACTATAATAACTTGTTCAAGGATGGAGAGTATAAAATGCTTCCACATGGCAAACTTGTCAAGTACAATGGCATTCATGCAAAATACCAAGCCACAGCTAAACTAAAATTTTTTGGAGGCTGGATGCTTACCGGTAGTCTCGCGCTCAGAGGAGAATTTATCTCCAAAGCTAAAAGAGCTCCTTGTGGACGTAGACGTTGAGGTTGCTCCCCCAAACACTAAAAACAAATACAGTGCAGTGTAACTCCAATGTGCACAAACTCAGGTGCTTCACAAGCTTACATCTAAGGTAGCTACAACAAGAACCAATATAAGTTGCCTCAACATGCATGAATATGTTAATCAAAATATAGAATTAATGCGACATTTAACACTCGCTCTCGAGCACCTGCTAGCAAAATAAACGGGTCGAGTGGATCAGTGAATCGTTAAAACCATTAATCCTTTTAATAATTTTACATTTACTCAGCTATATTATGTAGTATGAAAGATGTTCTAATATGAACATCACTGGACTGAACGACATGAGAAATGAGCATGTCAGCTGACGTAGCTATGAAAGAAGCAAATACATTTGTTTAGAAGATAAGTAAAGAAAGCTTCAGGTGATGAGAATTTGCCAGCTGGCATGGGACAGTGGTACCGTGTCAAAGGAGTAGACAAAAACACTTTGTATTACTATATAAAAAGTTAAGACAACAGTGAATACAAATTAAAAGGCATTAATTCATTTTGGTATTGGTTAAAATGAACTGCAGAACTGATCGTGTATCAAGTTCTGTGGAGCCTATGGTTGAGGGTGAGTAAATGGATATTTGCATCGAGACAGCTTGAACAGAATGTATGAGAGACTTACGGTGCCTTATAGAGACTAAGGAAAATGTATATGACATAGTTAAGGAACTTTTGGAGTGATTATGTTTGGACCTGGCAGTTCTGATAACACCATTACAAAGTTATTTAAGAAGTAATGTGAATGTTTTATTTGACGGTATAATGAATGACTCGTTTGTGTTAATGTAGTGTACAACAGCATTCTGCGATTTCTGGCCTTCTGCAGACATTGTAAAATTCTACGATGTCTAGGACGAGCGGTTTACAAAATGTGGAAATTGTGCAACTGGAGTTGAATGTTTAACACTTTCGCCCGGGCATGACGCAGCATTGCGTCATCCGTTTACTGTCGGTAATGCCGGGGATGACGCAATGTTGCGTCATCCATTTTAAATAATCGCCAAAAATCAGGTTTTTATCCAATTTTTTGGGGACTGGTTTTAAAATGCACGCCGATGTCTTCCCATTTTCTTCGTTGAGCCTCGTGGCCCTCAGGCGGCTTGGCACATGCCGTGGGCCCATTGTTTTTGCTCCACTGTTGTGACCAATGTCGCCTCCCCTCGCATCTCAAACGTGTGAACATTTCAGCTATTTTCCGTGGCTATATTTCTTACTGCGGCTTTAGAAACTATCAACGCTTACTCCACAATGGATAGTGATCATGAACAAGGCCCTTCCAGGAAGAAAATTGCGAAAGAAAGGCTTGAAAAGGGCGGGAATTCGGAGTGTAGCTGGAAGGCGTCCGAGTGCTCACTTGCGGATAACGCGTGGCCCGTCTTCAACTCGTCGGCGGTTGGAGCGTGACCAGGTTTTTTATTTTATATGCTAATGTTCCTCTTGAGAATTCTATTGCGAACCCATTGAGACCAAAATGAAAGACCTAGGACGAAAATTGAGGTGACCAGAGTGAAAATAGTGAGAACATTTTATCGCGTTTGCGCGCTCCTGGGTAACTCGTTCGCACTTTCTGTTTGCTGCGGGTCATTAGCCGGGCTTTTGGAGTTTATATGCATTTAGTGCTGTAGAGAATTCTATTGCGAACACAATGATACAAAATTTAATCTCGTAGGACGAGAATTAAGGTGACAAAGTTGAAGAGAGTATACACTTTTCAGAATTTACACGCGCTCCCGTGACACCCTGGGTCCCATATCGCACAGTTGAGGGGTGGCGCGCGGGGTACGCCAAAGTGTTAATTTAATCAGGGAAGGAAATAAGATAGTAATATAAGTTACCAGAGTGCTGTGTGAAGGAGTGGCAGTGTTGAATCATTATGTACAGTTATAAAACTATAGTGTGGTAATTACATTAAAACAAGACAGCCATATAAATGGATCAGTCGAGAAGCATGTGTGTTCGCAACATAAAGAGTCAGGAAGTGAAATGTAAACAACAGGTGCAGATGCAAGGCAATAAACCATAAGACTGAGGAGACAATATATTAAAGGAAGTATATGGTCCTTTTAAGTTATTGGGTGTTACTGTGATAGATACTGTATGGTAAATAGAAGCAAATAGCTGCCAGAAAAACTTAATTATTTTTTGAACCTTCACAATGGACACTGCAGCATCAACTTCAGCAATGACTTTGCTCCTCTTTTCTTTTGCCGTTTCACGATAGTGTTACAAGTAATCTCTTTTGCTGCAACATTAGTAATGTTAGCAGATTTTCCTACAGAAAATCATTACAAAGCCCCAAAAAGGTGCACATGGCAATATTTGCAAAGTCTTGTAGGGTTCTAGAGTGCATTTGGAGAAGTAACCAAACACTGATGCATAGTGCATCAGCGCAATACGAGTGTTAAGATGTCTAACCATTCAATTTTGTATTCAAGTACTAGCTAGGAAAATTAAACTTCTATAAGTTGACTAGATATATAAAATCTGAAAAATCAGTGTACTACTGTGCTAGAGTAACTACAATAGACTTGAAATCACCCTAGAAGTAACCAATTAAATTATTTTAAGGAATTTCCTCAAAATTACACTATTGTTTACAAAATATGTAATTATCAATAAGTTATTAAAAAAATAAAAATAAAGCACAGGAACAAATGCAATATACTTATATACTTTTGGTTATATTTCCTAAACAAAAATACATTATTAATTACATTTTCCCTTTATACACATGCGTCAAAAGTCCTACTACGTATTATTCCCTCTCAACAAAGCAGTGAAGAATAAAAGAAGAAAAAAAAGGGGGGGGGGGGGATGGGGGATTCATCACTTGGCACATTTCCAATGTGTAAAATTTTAAATAAAAACTATGTAAAAGTCAAAACGAAAGAATAGTGTTCAATTGACCAAACTATAATTAGTCAAACTTTTCTTGTCACTTCCCAAAAAAATAAATGTAGTAACCACAAGGAAAAATAATAAAGGGTTAAAACACGAACATGTCTAACAGACTTACGTGATGAGCCCCCAGCTCCACGACTGACTGTGGTTACATTTTGCACATTCGGCTGTGCTGGTGTCTTTAAGGAGAAGTTGGTTGACACATTGGTAGTGAAAGCGGGCACAGTATTGATGCTGCTTCCACCAAATACTGGTGTTCCTCCAAATATTGATGATGATTTTGCAGCTCCCCCAAATATAGAGGGTGATGAGGATGTTACAATTCCCCCAAATATTGAGGGTGATGAGGACGTTACTGTTCCCCCAAATATTGAGGATGATGAGGACGTTACTGTTCCCCCAAATACTGACGATGAGGATGTTGTGGTTTCCCCAGTTATTGATCGAGAAGGCGCTCCTGATACTCCAAATATGGAGGCAGGGGATCCTGTATGAATTCAAGATGTTGTAGTGTGTATAAAGCAGTGAAGAATTTTACAACATTAAAAGTATGCTAAATTGGTTAATATTACCCATATTTCCCATTGCATGGCCTCTTTATTTTCCCATAAATTGCAATTAACAATAAAACATCTGACTACATTCTAAATGATCTACAAGGTAGATTTAAAATAAACCTACGACTCATTGCATTAAAAAATTTACTCGTTACATTTATATCTTCCATGAAAATAATGCCCAGTTTTTATGCATGTAATGCCATGTTTTATTTGTATCCCAAATCCTTCTGCAAATTAAGCTGTCCTGTTATTAAACTAAGCTGTCTGGTTAATACTAAGCTTGCCTGTTCAATTTAATAAAATTTTTCTTTTCAAGTTTTCGTTTTAACACTTTGCTGGCCCGCGGGCAACCCGCCCCGCACTGAAAGTAGGTCGAGCAGTGTGCGCGAACTCACCACCACCCACAACTGTTTATACTCATTTTAGCTTTCTCACCTAAAGTTTCGTGCTACGTCGTCCAATTTGGTATCAAGTTGTTCGCAATAGAATGCTGTAAAGGTGCATTTAGGCACACAAGTCTCACTTTTCTATACTTTTGCCGAAAACTAACTTTTCCCTCATATGCGTTTCTTTCAATGCTTTCATCATAGATTGGCTCTGTTTTTGACGAGTATCCATCTGGGAGTCAATTTGCAGTGTTTATAAAGCCGGTAACAACAAACACTCGTGATAAAATAACCAGACTAGGGAAACTTTTATACTTGAGGGGAGGCCGCAGCTGTCACGAGAACAGTGAGCCTCCAGCGTGGGTGGGCGTCCACACGGCGGGGTCAGGATGCCACGTGACGTATACAGAGAATGGGAAGAAACTGGCACACATTTTAAAACAAGCCCCATAGTATTCGGACAATAAATGGAATTTCTACAATTTTTAAAAATATTTATGCCTATTTGCATCACCGGGCATACTCCGTATTTTGGCTGTATGTAGCATCAGGCAGTGAAAGTGTTAGCAAATTAAAGCTTTTTCCCGTTTTTGGTCAAAATACCTGGTTGATACCTGGTTGATGGGGTTCTGGGAGTTCTTCTACTCCCCAAGCCCGGCCCGAGGCCAGGCTCGACTTGTGAGAGTTTGGTCCACCAGGCTGTTGCTTGGAGCGGCCCGCAGGGCCACGTACCCACCACAGCCCGGCTGATCCGGAACTTCTCTTAGAAAACCGTCCAGTTTTCTCTTGAAGATGTCCACGGTTGTTCCGGCAATATTTCTTATGCTCGCTGGGAGGACGTTGAACAACCGCGGACCTCTGATGTTTATACAGTGCTCTCTGATTGTGCCTATGGCACCTCTGCTCTTCACTGGTTCAATCTTGCATTTTCTTCCATATCGTTCACTCCAGTACGTTGTTATTTTACTGTGTAGATTTGGGACCTGACCCTCCAGTATTTTCCATGTGTATATTATTTGGTATCTCTCTCGTCTCCTTTCTAGAGAGTACATTTGGAGAGCTTTGAGACGATCCCAATAATTTAGGTGTTTTATCTCGTCTATGCGTGCCGTATATGTTCTCTGTATTCCCTCTATTTCAGCAATCTCTCCTGCTCTGAAGGGGGAAGTGAGTACTGAGCAGTACTCGAGACGGGACAGCACAAGTGACTTGAAGAGTACAACCATTGTGATGGGATCCCTGGATTTGAAAGTTCTCGTAATCCATCCGATCATTTTTCTGGCTGACGCGATATTTGCTTGGTTATGCTCCCTAAACGTTAGATCGTCGGACATCATTATTCCCAAATCCTTGACATGCTGTTTTTCTACTATGGGAAGATTCGATTGTGTTTTGTACCCTGTATTATGTTTCAGATCCTCATTTTTGCCGTACCTGAGTACCTGAAATTTATCACTGTTAAACATCATGTTATTTTCTTCTGCCCAATCAAAAACTTTGTTGACATCTGCTTGTAGTTTTTCAATGTCTTCAGCAGAGGTAATTTTCATGCTGATTTTTGTGTCATCTGCAAAGGACGACACGAAGCTGTGGCGTGTATTTTTGTCTATATCAGATATGAGAATAAGGAACAGTAGCGGTGCAAGGACTGTACCTTGAGGTACAGAGCTTTTAACATCGCTTGGACTTGATTTTATCTGATTGACTGTTACTCTTTGTGTTCTGTTCGACAGGAAATTGAGTATCCAGCGTCCTACTTTTCCAGTTATTCCCATTGACCTCATTTTGTGAGCTATCACCCCATGGTCACATTTGTCGAACGCCTTTGCAAAGTCTGTGTATACAACATCTGCATTTTGCTTTTCTTCTAGGGCTTCTGTGATTTTGTCATAGTGGTTGAGTAACTGTGACAGACAGGATCTTCCCGCTCTAAATCCATGTTGTCCTGGATTGTGCAATTCATTGTTTTCCATAAAACTAGAAATTTGATTCCTAATCACTCTTTCAAACACTTTTATTATGTGTGATGTTAGTGCAACTGGCCTATAATTTTTTGCCAAGGCTTTACTCCCCCCCTTGTGCAATGGAGCTATATCTGCAGATTTAAGTGCTGCTGGTATCTCCCCTGTATCCAGGCTCTTTCTCCATATTACGCTGAGTGCTCTCGCTACTGGTACTTTACATTTCTTTATGAATATTGAATTCCATGAGTCAGGCCCAGGAGCTGAGTGCATAGGCATATTATCAATTTCTCTTTCAAAGTCTTCCGAGTTTGTGGTAATATCCGTTATATTATCTGCAGCTTTAATGTCATTCATAAAGAAGCTGTCTGGGTCATCAACTTTCATGTTGTTTATTGGTGTGCTAAACATAGCCTCATACTGGCTTCTTAGAATTTCACTAATCTCTTTGTTGTCCTCTGTGTACGTACCTTCATTTGTAATTAACGGTCCAATACTGGTCGAGGTTTTGGATTTTGATTTTGCGTATGTGAAAAAATATTTTGGATTTTTCCTTATCTCTTGTTCCAATTCCATTTCCTTAGACTCATATGATCGCTTCAACGTTTGTTCTATTTCCTCAATCTCCCTGCTTAGGCTTGTTTTCCTTGCTTGTGATAGTTGTGTCTGCCGAAGCATTTCCGTTATTTTTTTCCTTCTCCTGTACAGTCGTCTCCGTTCTCTTTCTAGAGTGGTCCTCTTTCTGCCCCTCCTCACAGCGATGAATTAAAATGAATTAATATGCAAAGGATTTCGAGTGTTATCTAAATGTGCCTAAGGAAAGTGAAATAAAGATATCGGGCCCTGACTCATTGTGTTATATGGCACATTAATACCTCTCAAAATTATAGTGCTCTGTTATATCTTCTCATAGCTGTGACTAAAGATGGTTTCATAGACTTCTGCTCAAAGATGGTCTCACTTGTTGCACATGAATAAGTTTGTATATCATGTGCACATTTGTTTCAAGTTTACACCCCATCTCCTTTTCCTCCCCCTCCCCCATTTGCCTTCATATGGAATGAGAAATTCACTGTATATTCCCCCCAGTATCATTAATGATATAGTCTTCCAGTCAAGAATGTGGCAGGCATGCAAGCCCTTTGGAGACACAGCCATTAATAGATAACACCCCAGGTGCAATACAAAATTCAAACTACTTATTTCCTTCTAATACTGTATTGTTAAAATGCATTCCCTGATCACTGGGAGAAAAAAATAATCGTACGTGACGTATTTTTGTAAGTCTGGCATGATATACATCCTGGCCGGTCGGCTCCAGCCAAACCGTATGGCAGAAATTGCCTTAAGATAATATTACCTAACTATTTCAATGTCTGATTGGTTTTTTGCCGCAACATTATTCAATAATGGATGACGAGATAAATTTATATAAGTGCGGACCATTACTATACTCAAAAATATGGTGAGCATATTTTTATGATACAATTATTAAATCCACAGAACAATAAAACCTAACCATCTAGTATTTTCCATGTGAATATGAGAGGATCTCGATCACTATTCAAGTGCTTTACTGAATCTATACAATCTAGAATCTGTAATTTTTTAGCTCTGCTATCTTGCTTGCCTTTCGAGGGGATGTAAAAATTGAAAAGTATCTTATACGACACAGGACTAGTGTTTTGAAAACTACCATCACTTGTAATGCATACCTGCTCTGAATATTTTCCTTGCTGTTAAATTTGTTGTGCTCTCTGAACATTAGACTTTTGACATTTGGAGAACTTTAACTGCCTTTATTATTTTTAATAAGAAATGACTTGTGTTCTCTCCTCCATTCAGTTTTTTATACTGAAATATGCATTTGAAATTTGTCATAATTTAATGTTATACTGTTTTCCATGTTTGTCAATGAGAATACAACCTATTTTCAGAACACAATGACCAAATCTATCATAATTGAGTAGACTGGGGAAAATGGCTGAAAGATGCAGCCCACACCTAGAGAGAAACAGACCTGGGATGAGTGACTACAATGGACGAAGAACAGCACAGCCAACACTAATTATCTTAGAAAAAGCAATATCCCACACAGACTAATTCAGATAAAGATTGCAAATTAAGTAAGATTTCTAACAATAAAACAAAGGCACATATTAGAGATATGAAAGAGGAGAGACCACCCTAATAAGAGTGTGAAAATGAAAAGTTCAACTTTAAATGGAAAACAAAAGCAAAAACAGATTATGAAATCATGTTTGCCAGGAATGCAATCAAATCCCAAAGGCTTTTTCTTAAGAAAACTAACACAGAATGCATAAATTTAAAACCAGGCATCAGAGCAACAAATGCACGATCATCCTTGAACTATACAGCTCTGCCAATTAGTCTTACGCTTGCCTCCTCTATTTACTAATATCATATACAGTACACCTAAAATAATAACCAAGCTATTTGTCCATAGTTTATCTACACATTTTTATAACCTTTGCTCTTATACAAGGGTAATAAGTTCCCAGAAATCAATCGCTTTTGTTATTCCCCTAAATGAAACCACATGCTACATAATCTGTCTCAGCCAAATTGAACCTACCTTGCATAATATTCCATCCACTCTCAAACTTTCCTGTGTTTTACCTATTTATGGCTACTTGGGAGCCCCTGGTATGACTTGACACTCTTACAAGAATATGTCTTTAAATTTAAAGTGCAAAACACACATCTGACATTAGTATAATTGGTATTATAACCAAGCATTGATACTAGGGATTGCCTTTTCAAATACAGTAATACAATTTGCAAGACAACTTACGCCCAAAGTTAGAATCTCCAGATAGTCCTCCAAGTGGAGGCTCAATCGGCTTAGTTAGAGTAGAAACTGGAGTAGTAGAATCAGCCGGGGCAGCAACAACTGGGGAAGGTTGTGGTGGTACTGGTGATGCTAAGGTCTTAGACATTTCCAACGTTTCTTTTAAGATTCCTGTTTTGCTCTCCTCCTCTTGCTTCACTGGGGTTGATGTAGTAGCTAGCAAACGTGTAGCTGTTCCTCCCAGTTTTACCTTGAAAAACAACAATATCATTAATACACTGCCCACTTTGACTCCTGACATGCATTCAAATTTAATACTATAAACATTTTTATGTTTATAGTATTAAATGCTACACTGCCTAATTGGGTACAGGCAATTCATTAACTAAACTTGGTCCTACAATATGCAGGAATACAAAATGTGGTTTCTAATCATGGCTACCTTGTGGAGGTTCTGTGGCTCAAAGGCCTTGTGGCCAAGTGTGTCTGACCAGGCCCTGAGGCCATGAGCAACAAGTTACTGGTCACCGACAGTCAAAAGATGGGCACGTGACAACTTAACGGGATAAACAATCAGGATAAGTTAAACACACACACACTGCCTACCATGACAACTGGGTTCCAAACTTTTCTGTTTCAAAATGCAATTTATATTTAGTAGGGACAAAAGTGAATTAGAACTTTCAAATAATTAGTTTCACCTTATGATTGTTATTAGTATTTTATGGATCAACTTGCAATAATGGATTTCTTATATTTATGCAGTTTTAATTCAGCACCTGATTTCAACACTTGAAAGACCAACTATTAATAATTGCAAAAATAATCCAAAATATCTGCATAAAATGAGAAACCTTACCTTGGCATCAGCTATGGCATTAAAGAAGTCGGATGCAATCTCGAGCGTTTTAAACCGAATAGCAAATGTCTCATTCTGAGGATTACTTTCTGCATAGTCTAATGCTGCCCAGTAGAATGTTTTGTCATCCTTCTTGCGGAACTCCATATCTTTAGTCAAGCAGTGATTCAGGCAAATCTTGTGAACTTGTTCTCGACGCATCAGTAACCTAATCTTGCCAGTCTGAATAAAAAAACATTAATTAAAATATATTTCCATACTCCCAAGATAATCACAAATCTTGTCAACAGCACCAGAAATATGAAGTAAGAAAATACTTATACCTGCTTATGGCCAAGGATTTTTATATCGCCAAGACCCCTCTCCTTCCATTCTCCAGAGATTAAGCGGAACAGTTTTGCACGGTGGGAATACAGTACATCTTCATCTTCCTCTCCTGTCACCACATCTACTTTCTCCGGAAGGGGGATGACAGGCTGCATTAACCAGAGAAACATGTATTATTTACATCTGCCTGATACCCACTAGAACACATTCAGCTTGCCAGTCATTTATATACATGTTGACTGTTTTTAGGCCATGTTTTACAAACACTGTACACAACACAGTTTCTGGTCAACATTTGTCAAGCATCCTGTAGATCCTATTTTTAATTATGTGCTACGCTTTCATTCTACTATTTAATGCTACAAAGCATATGGCCCAATTATTATTTGAATTGCAAATTTTTAATAATTTTTTTGTATTCCAGTCAGTTTTTTTTTTCATAACTTCTTTAGCATGATTATTATCAAACTTACCTCAAAGTATAGGTGATCGCCATCATCCTCTTCCAGAACACCATCTTCAGATTCACACAAACTTATATCTCTTGAGCGTGGGGATTTAGATTTAATTCCAGCAAAGGAAAACTCGTATTTTCCTGGGCTACCAAATACAAATCCAGACTTTTCATCCTTTGCTGGTGTAGTGGGATCTTCGTGAGTGCTTTTAGGAATTGTTATAGGTCCTGTAGAGAATGTAGCAGAAACAGTAGACGTGGTAGAAGACGACGAGGAAGAGGAGGAGGAGGAAGAGGAAGATGACACGTCACTTGCTGCTGTGTTTTTTGGCAGCCACGTGAAACTGAATGGTTTACTTGATTTGTCACATGAAGTTCCAAATGAAAATGCAGGCTTAATCTCCGATGGACTTGCGATTTCTTGGGTCGTCTTGCCTAGGGCACCAAATGTAAACGCAGACTGAGAAGTTGCAGCAGATAACGTTTGACTTGAATTTTGTGGAACACCAAAAGAGAATGCTGGTTTGCTTTCTGTGGTGGAAAAGCTGAAACTTCCACCACCTGTTATTGTGGATGGTGATACCACTTCACTGATTTTCATGCCAAAGGCAAATGGTGGCTTACTTTCAACAGCAGCAGCAGCAGGACCACCTTCTCCACAGGCAGCACATTTCACAACCTCTGCTGCATTACGAAGCAAACAGCTGCCACACTCCCAAGATCCAGTTGCTGGTTTGAACATAGCAGCAAGTGAAGATGGCTTCACATCACTACTCTTCTCTAGAGGAACTCCAGAATCCTTTTCACTTGATTGGGAGACTACTCCAAAGCTGAACTTAGGCATGAAATCCTTGGGAGGTTCAAATCCAGGTTTGTTTGCAGAACATGAAAGGCATACATTCTTCTCTGCAGGGTTACGAACTAAACATGTCTGACATTCCCATGATCCAGCAGCTGGTCTGAACATAGCTGCTAAGGATGTAGTTGTGGTGGGGACTGGCTCTGAAGATGTGCACGATGATATATTTGTTACCGATTCGACACACAAGGTTTTTTGGGCCTTTTCAAAAGCTTCCTTGAAACTCAGGGCCTATATAAAAGAAAAATAAATAGGTTATAAATAACATCTAAATATGCAGGCGATGAGTCACAATAACGAAGCTGAAGTATGTTGACCAGACCACCCACCTTACTTTCCTCCTCAGCTCTCTCTTGCCTATTTATTGCCTGTCTCTACCTACTCATCACAATCGACTTGAGAATGGTCCAGGACGGACCGAAACGTCGTCGTCCCTTAAACTTCTAGTGTGTGGTCTGGTCAACACATCTAAATATATATTGCATATGTACATTATTAACCGAATGGGAAACTGACAGTTGACATCTCAATTTTATTCCAAATTATATCAAGCGAATTACTTCTTATCTGGCCTCTAGATACGATTCTATGAATATGCAACACACTTTTGCCAGACGAAGCTCTACCAATTAAAGAAATAAAAAAAAACTAAAGCGTTTATAATGCTTGGTAGTCATACTGTAATAAAATTGCCAGATTGGCTAACTCACTAATTCATGTGTTTTGAACCTGGCTGCAAACTTTTCTTCCTTCATTTCTTCATCAGCAAAGTCATGTGTAGCCCACACCCAGGCCTTATCTGATGTCAACATTGGTGAAAGCCTCATTTCTGGTGTCAGGAAATGATTAGCGCATACCTTAAGAATTTGTTCTCGACGCATCAAAATGCGCACCTAAAAAACAAAAAACAATTTCTTAGGTATACTTTATCTGTATCTGGCTGGCTGTAGAATTCTTGATCATCTTGCCATGAAGAGAAAGTCGAGTATTACAGTAATGTACTTCAATATATTAGCCTAACAACTCTCCATTATCTCTACCACATTTCACAGTGACTTTGAAGGCATCTGCCAGGAAAAGAACTAAATAGTAATACATTTAAGGCCTTAAGGATATGAAATGACATTTGCAATGCAATCTTTCCTATTAGCCAGACCTCAATAATTTCAGTAAAAAAAAAAATTAACTTCTGACTAACCTTTCCAGAGGAAATACTTTTTAATATCTTGAGATCTCCAACACCCCGTTCTTTCCATTCCTTGGACTCATTTTCGAACCTGTATAACTTGGCTCGCTCACAGAACAACTTCTCCTCCTCTTCCTCACCTGCAAGATAAGTTGCAAATTATTAACTAAAGAAATCTAGGAGTGCTTCCTTAGCATCAATAACAAAGTATGCATATGCCTGGGAAGATTGTAATGTCCTTCATAGGTAGTCCTTTATTCATAGATTAGGTACAACAGGAGCACTAAATACAATGAACTAACTTGAAAGCCAAGTTCAACTAAATTGAAAGAGATTAGTAAGCAAGTTGGGCGATTTAACTTGCATGGCTATGTATGGTATTTTGCAATATTTTGTATTATCTAGTATTATGGCCAATTCATTTAGTTAAAATGAAACTTGAAGACTTAAATATTTATGTAGCATACATCTTTAGCCTACTCATCAGCCACAGAGCAAGTGACTTACCAGTTTTGATTTCAACTAGATCAGGCATAGGGATCACTGGCTGGAAGTCCACCTGGGGTTCATACTCATCTACCTTGTCTTCATCATCCTTAGATGGTGACTTCACCCCTAAAGAGCCACCGCCAAAAAGTGCTTTTGGTTCCATCTGTAGAGAGAAAAAAATCAATGTTTTGCAAATTATAGATGGCTACATGAAACTTCTACAAAGTTGGAACTTTACCTACTTAATGCTTAACCCATTAAAAACAAAAAAGTAAACATTGAGCTCATAATACATATTATTCTAATAATAATTATTACCCTGTTAGAGTAATCTATTCTCCCAGAGAAGGGTGTACTAAGCTGCAATTATGAAGTGATAAATAGATGTACAGCCCTGACAGACCTCTTGTACATAGAGCTTTCATGCACCAACATTCTAATGTAATCATGCTTGCTCTTAAACTACAAATCTAGGTTTCTTCAATGACTTCATGCAAGTTTTTAATTTGTTTGCTACCCTCACCGATTACAAAACTTTTCTTGTTCATCTCAGACATATTTCCCCAACCTGTCCTCTTAAAAAAAAACGTCGCTTTTGGCCGTTTGCCCGTATGGCCGAATATGGACCTAACTTGAAAATTAAAAAAAAAAAAAAAAAAAAAAAAAAAAAAAAAAAAAAATTTGGGATTTTTTTTTTCCAACAACAGTAAGTTAAGGGTCCTCTGATAGGTTAGGTGGGCAGGAAATTCACAGTTTCAAAACGGTATGAAAAACGTTAATTGAAAGAATCCTTTTCTAAGCTTGCCGAGTAAGCCGGACGACTCAAACAAAAAACGGAACAGTACATTACTTTTGTGAGTATTTCATTTCAAATTACGTCCAAATTTGGCCATAGCGCGCATACGGGCCAAAAGTGACATTTTTAAGAGGACGGGTTGATTTCCCGCCAACTCCCCCATACTGCCTTCCCTCAATCTTTTATGCTTCAATACTAGCATTGTATTGTAATACATTAACAATATTTATCAATACATTCAATATTCCATTTACTGTAATGCCACACCCACAAGAATAATACAAATGGGATTATTTGTCTTAAATTAAAATGGAAATAATGTAAAGCAAGACAACATTTCACTTGTTACCAGCTCCATTTAAATGAACATGTGTAACTCACGGCTTGTGTGTTCTTAGTAGTGAACAAGTTGGAGGGTGAAGTAGTGTTGCTGGCCAGACCTGCGAAGGATAGCATTGTTCCAGATGCAGAATTGCCAAATAGGCCTCCACTAGTTGCACTGCCATCTGAAATATCATGCAATTATGAACAATAGTGCACATTACATCCAAAGGTCTACCCTGATAAATTACAAGTGCAGAAAATAAGAAAACATTACAGAAAGTAGTTGCAGAAATTAACATACTTGTATTGACCTTGCACTTTTATGAATACAATTTTTCTGAGTTTTGTATCTTGGCACAAAACAAGCAAATAAATTAAGAATAAAAAGCAAATAAAGCAAATACATAAAAACAAAATATGTCCTGAATTTAATCAATTGAGGGAGGTATCACTAGTCTATCAGACTGGTGATAATACCTCTAGATGGTATTATCGTATGAATTCTACCACTGCCACCTCCAAACACCTTCTCTAGAATCTACCTTATTCTCTAACATTAATTCATAAGTTTACTCAACTTGAAAGAATCTTAATCTTTCAAACAACACACTTAACCCTCCTTAAAAGTGCTTATCAAATACCCAGTGAAAAAGTTACAATCCAAGATAATTTGTAATTCATTCCTTATCTTTCACTCATTACTCACCAGTCTTATCTCCTTCCTTTCTAGCTTCAGCTTTAGGAGCACTGAAGGCAAAACCTGTGGTTGCAGAATTAACTGCACTTGAACCAAATGAAAACCCAGCAAATATGGAATCTTTCTTCTTCTCATCCTCTGGAGGCTTCTGTTGAGCCTCTTCTACCTTCTCTGGTTTGAATGATGGGCTGGTGGTGAAGGTAAAGCCATGGAAAGTAAGCTTGCTACCATCCTTGGATGTATCGGGCGTAGTCACGGCAGCTAATGAAGCACCTGTGGCGCAAGCTGGCTCAACCGAGGTAACCGGAGTTGTATTAGAGATTATGCTGGCTGTCGGGGTGCTGGTTGTAGTTGTGCCAAGCCCAAATTTGAATGCAACTGCAGAAAACAATATGATACACAAATTATCAACTGATTGAAAGACTTTAGATTATTATAATTAAACTATAAATTATTTACACTTAAACACCAAAACTGGTAATATTGTATTTCACTTTCAAAAGTGTCAGAATGTTTCACAAGTAAATACATCAAATGATTAGTAACATACATATTGACGATGAAGTGGTAGTTGGGGTGCTCGTTACATTCGAGGACAAGGGTGACGCAACAAATTTGAAGCCGCTGGTTAAAGCCGAGGCACCCCCATTCCTACTTGATGGAGAAAACTTGAAAGATGCTGAAAAGTATGCAGAAAAAGATGGTCAAACTTTGATCATAATGAAGAGTTTATAAAGTAACAAAAAAGTGCATGTGCACCTTATGATAAATCAATGCTAATGTTAGACAGGTACTTCTTGCCCCTCAAACAATGCTCAATGCTGCCCAACTTCACAAGACCCAACATCAATCCAAGCAACCAATTGTTCCGGAGTATCCATTCAATTGCAAAGCCAATGACTAAATATATATTTACAGCTTAAGATATTAAATATCCCAAAGAAAATATCTCTTGCAGAAGGAGCTAGATACATCCCCCATCTGCAGTATTTATTTTTCAAGTGTTTAGTTTCTACTTAAAATTCCCTCTAGACTACAGGTAAATAGGTCCAATGGACCAGGTGAATAGTGAGACGCCCATTATCTCACATTACAGAGAAACATTCCCTCTACCTTACTACAGCCTCTGTATTGTTTGCATTCAATTCCAGCTTCCTCTCACACACCATGTCTACCCATCCTACCCTTCTGTTATGGACAACTTTTGCAGCTTATATTTGACCAGTACTAGAATATACAACAATATACAATACAAAAAGGAATTTAAAAAACCTACATGATACTGAGGGGAATAGACAAAAAATAAGTGTAGCCACTTCAAACAAAGTTCAACAAAAGTAATTGCAAGCGAGTCTAAATAACATTTAGTACACTAATCCTACGCATTGTTGGTCAGAAAGTGGAACACATCAAAAGTGGTTGTTGATGCCACTTCCATTCTCAACTTCAAAATAGAGTAGGCCTTGACCATCAGACCTGAACCATCAAGAGATTTAAAACTGCATTATGTACAAGTAGCAAGATCTCACACTCCATAGTCATTAATATTTAAGCATCTACACTTTAAACAGTCGAGCTCCACTGTGCATTTCTGAATATAAACATTCCTGCCTCAGCGATGTGAAAAATGTTTACAACCAGTAAGTTTCCTCAGTTATTTGTTGGGTTATAGCTATAAATTTGGTGTCAAAATGTTTGCTAATGAAAGCAAAAACAAACTAACAGATAATGCACAATGGGGATGAATATCAATCAGTATCAAGACTGTTTATGAATATCAATCAGACGATGCATTTTAGTATCATAGAACATGAAAGTAAAACTCTCCTCAGTTTCCAAATAAATAAATAAAAGATTAACTGCCTATTACCGAAACTAACCTCGCCTTTAAGATCATAAGATAAATTGAATACCATACAATGAGGCTCATAAGTATATATATAACAAAATTGCTCTTTAAATAGCAACTACTTGCAATCGAATTTAGATATTTAATATTTCATATAAGCACAATGGGCCAACAGAGATACTGAATAGAAACTGGCATTAAAAATATAACAAAACCAAAGATAATTTCAAGTACCTGGGATAACTAATAATTAACTCAACTTTGTTATATAAATATATATATATTTGGGGGTGAAGGGTGGAAAATAGAAACCCTAAGGGCCAAGGATTAGAGCATACATGCAGGCTATTCAGTGAATAGTGTATTTTGTTGATATCTTACCAAACTGTGTTTGGGCCTCAGGAAGTGGTTCCTCTGATTTAGGTGCATTGGGATTGGGTGTTTCACAAGCCGCACATTTTGTCTTCTCTTGAGTGTTGGACACTAGGCAGGTTGAACAGCTCCAGGATCCTGCAGATGGTTTAAACATATCTGCTAGTGAAGTGGGTTTTGTTGCTGCTGCTGCAGGTGTTGTCTCATCACTTGCTTCCTTGGGTACTGCATTTGCATCCTGAAGGACAAGTTAAATCAATAAAGCAAAACTCATAACAATTAAGGATTTATATACCATACTATAGTTGTATAGAGTAGATAACTATACCCTACGAATGTAGATAACTTCTTTATAACCACCAAAAATAAAATTATAAAGCAGGTATTGTTGTTAGACGTTTTCTCAACATTCAGTTCCTGTAAAATAGCAACCAAATCTCGCTAGTTTCTACCTCTACTCTCTCGTCAATATGTGCTCATCCTCTTTATTCACCATGTATGCTACCAAGTTAATACTCTCTGACAACACCCAGGTAGTTTCAGTAGGGGGCTACATACACACTTCCCATTCATTTACATCCTCAATAATGTACATCTCTCAAATTTGCCAGCCTTTGTAGCACCAACAATGATTTTCTGTCTTACTTATTCCTTAACACTGGTACCTTAACCAACTGGCTTTCAAAATTTGACTTCTCCACTTTCATAAGAACTGTGAAGGTACTGTGAAGGTAAACAATTTTCCTATAAGCTTTTGTGATTAAGGAAGGTGTTAAAAAAATACCAGGCATGCGCTGGCATCTGTGTCAACAGACAAAAACAGCTTTCATGTAACAGCTCTTCAAGTGGATCAAGGAAGTGGTACCAGTATTACAAGACATGCTTGTGTCTTGCTAATGAGCTATGCTCATTAGCTCAAAAACTACATCTTATTAATAAATTATACTGCAATCGAGGTATTCAAATTGGATGCTCTCCAAGGTAAGCAGGGGGCAGGAAGACAATATATCAAAGTATATGAAAATCTAGCTCTTTGGACATGCCTCTCCGCTACACGTACCTAGTTTATATAAATTACCAGTGTTTCTCAAGTCATATTTTCCCTGTGCCTTTCATGTTCTGTGCAGTTCTCTTCCCAGCACAGTGCAGTGAAGGATTAGCCTGTTTTTTCTTCCTTCCCATGTGGGAAGAATTGTTCAGCGCAATTTGCATAAATCTTGAAAAGGATTTATCTTATGTGTCACCTTCCCCATTAAATCAGTTGACATTTTAGAAATAATGTAGGTAGGTCCTTTCACTTCTGAAATCCGCTTATCTAAAATTATTAATTTCTCGGATAGTTAAATAATCACATAATAATAATAAGTGATGACGGGCTCCTTGGGGACTCTCGCCACAGTCAAGAAGTAATGTACAAGTGGGGTAGAGGCTCTGGGATTCTCTGTTCCTGTGGAAACGCAGCTCTTACTCCAACTACCTCAGCTTGACTCTAAAGAAGGCAAGATGTGAACTTATGTGAATGAACAATTTCAGGCGAGCAAGCATGATCAATATCCTTTTGCCATAACAGCCAAATGATACTGATCAATTTACTGCACAACTTGCCAACCGAGACAAGCATATAAAAGTACAAAGATTCATATCTAAGGTTTATTTAAGGCCATGCTCTAGTGGCCACTATTTTGTTATCACAAGCAAGGTGCAGCCTGACCCAAGTAATTTCCAAATCGAGTTGTGGTAGCCTCATGCAATTGCTATCAGAATTTTAGGTAGAATAACACTAAATTTGTACTTGAAAGCAAACAATGTGGCATGATGTTGCTTTGCAAATAACTGTTCTGCTCCACCGAATAATTCATCAAGCATAAAACTTGAGGCACTATGTACAATAATAAAATGTAAGCCTTCATTTGTTAATTCAAACATTTCACTCAATTTCTCAAACTATTATAAGACAATGCACAGAGTTTATAATAGAAATTGTCATAATGTAAAACCTTACCTGTTGCATTTTATTTTCTTCCTCTTTTTTCTTGGCAATGGCTTTAGCTTTCATGAAGGCCTCTTTGAAACTGGAAGCAATTTCTAAAGTCTTGAATCGGCAGCAGAACTTTTCCATTCTAAGTTCCTCATCGGCAAAATCCTGAAAATTGTAAACATAAGTACGGTATGTTTTCTGTGATCAGAAGCAGTTACTGAAAGGACACTAAGCACTTTAAAAGTACCAGGCTCAATTCAGTCCTTTAGGGCTTTGTTATCAGTGGCATGGTATTATTATGATCTATATGTGAAGTGTCAATTAACATATGCAGTCGACAAATCCCAACAAGATGGCTGAACAAACGATTACCAAAACAACTCAGAAGAGGTAAAGTGATGACACTTTGGTTCATCCTGGACCATTATCAAGTTATTGTCATAATACTTGATAATGGTCCAGGATGGACCAAAACGTTGTCCTTTCTCCACCTTCAGAGTTGTTGGTCATCGTTAATTAACCGTCTTTCCTCTATTTCATTCCATTTGTTCAGTGGAACTAACGAACAAGAGAAAAAATGTAGAGGAAGTGGGTAGAGATGTGGGGAGGTTGGAAGATGAAATAAAGATGGGGGGAGGCAGAAGATGAAGATGGGGAAGGAAGGAGCAATAAAGATAAGCAAGGCAAATTCTTCATTGATTTATTACCACTCTTGATAGTAAAAAGTAAGTGCCAATAAATTCATGGAAATAAATCTTTCAGGATAGTGTGAATCTGCTTGGCGCTCGCCAACTTCCACATCCATTAATAGTTGCTTGCTTTGCTTTGTAAACCACTGGTGGGATTTGGGCCCCTGGACAGGAAGAGTTGACTGGGCACTGATCCTTACCTAATCACCCAGTAGTAGTTGGGGACCTGGATGTAAATCAATTGGTGAACTGTGTTCCAGGGTAGGTTACAAGGATAAGATTTATGTTGAGCTATGGGAAGCAGAAGCTCCAAGCCTGCTGATGAAAGTCAGACGCCATCTACTCCTGTACCCACTTGTGTAATAGGTTCGTGCCCACCCATAGCTCTTGTGGATTTTCTCATTGATATCCATCACGTTAATGTGATTTCTGTGCGCTTCTAATAATAATAATAAACATAGCCTTCTCCAATACTCAAAATATTGCACAATTTATTTATTGAGCCACAAATTTCAAACATTATTTTAACCTTTATATACATATATATGTATATAATATGTAATACTGCAAGGCTATGTGTCTACTATAATATAATGAAATGCTTACCTGTGCAGCCCAGATCCAGGCTTTATCTATGTTCTTTAAAGGCTGGAGATCAATATTTGCTGTCACCAGATGATTGGCACAAATCTTGTGTGTCTGGAAAGATGCAACCATCAAAAGTTATTCAGATATTTTACTAAAAATTATTTTTTACTAATTTATAATTGTCATCTATATTATTCATTATATAAATACACATTATTGTCATCTGTGGCAAGTTTTCCTTACATGTACAAACCATTTATTAACAACCATTTTCTGTAAGAGTAACAAATTTATTTCTTGCCTTATGAATCACTATATAATTACTATAAATGAACCAGTAAGAAACTCCATCTGCCTGGCAAGCAGCACCACATCACTTCACGACTGCAGACACCTCTTAACTTATATAAATTTAAATCTGATACATCATTATCACATTTTGTAAAGGTCATTAGTACTTAATTGTTATCACTCATTCAGCAATTAAAGCACTGTACTTTGAAACAGCCCAGATGGATTTCATTGCAAAACCACTAAACTAATTCGTACTTAAAGCATAATTTTACTTTTAAATGTCCTCATAAGATGCCAAAACATTTCTTAAGAGTCGGGAGCATCTTGCCAAGTGGCATGTGACCTACCTGGTCTCTCCTCATCAGCACCCTCACAGATCCCTGAGACGGGTTGTGCAACAGCTTCATCACACCAGTGCCACGCTCCCGCCATTCCTTTTCCAAGAACCTGAAGAGCTTGGCTCGCTCCTCGAACAACACCTGCAAAATGCATCAATCACATGTCCATCAGCAGTGTGTTCGAGGTATAATAAAAATGCTTTGCCAACAAAGCCATATCATATAATGCCATATCATAGGTAGTCCACACAAAGGACTACCATGATGGTGAAATATGGATCTCAGTGTACAATCTTTTCAGATGTGATAGGAAAAACAAGGAAACTAATACAATATAACTTTCAATCAATAATGTCATTCAGGCCAATGTAGAAAAATTATTTTTGCACATTACATATAATGAAAATACTATGTGAATGTGAAATTTAAGATTAAGCTAGTGAAAACGTGTAATGTTTGTATGTAATGATAATCCAAATTTTAACAATTCTTTACCATATGGATATTTTTGTGGTGAATTAATCCAGATACAGTATTTACAAAATAAGTTTGAATTTAAGCCTAGAACTATTGTTATTCATTGCCATTTTCTCCCCTCAGTAGCATTCGCCAATTGTTTCACACCAGGCCTAAGAATTACTGCCGGATGCACAAAGTGCAACGTGAAGAAATGGGTCGAATCACTGCACTCTATACACGAGTAATTCAGAGCCTCTAGCCTATGAGCGTGATAATCACTATACAATTAAGAGCCCTAATTTGACCGTGTAATAAAAGATGTGATGTTTTCAGACAGAATGAAACACAGATTTTGCAATATAATTATTTATAGCACGCTACCATAACATAGCACAAAAACCTCATTACTATCAGTCAAGTTTTCATGGTGCGGTGGGTTGGCATCCATGCATATTATATATATAATTACACACACACACACACAAAACTAACCTTTTCATCTTCCTCTCCTGTTAGAACTTCCACCTTTTCTGGCAGAGGAACAACTGGTTTAAAATCGGGGCACGGATCATGATCATCTTCCACATAACGATCATCATCATCTGCCGTCTCCTTACTCTTGATGGGTGTCATCTTTTGCTCATTCAACCCTCCAGGAGACTTGAACGCCCCCATAAAACCTGGGAAGTTATAACTTTGTTATCTTTTATTTGAATGTGGGCAACTGAAAAGGCATTTCTGAGTCTACATACAGTACTTTAAGACAGACATGGTGGCGTAACAAGAACAGATGGCATGCGGAGACAGTGGCGGCAGCATGAAGCGATGACATGCGGAGGCAGTGATGGCAGCATGGGAGATAGTGGTTTGCAGTGGCTGGGATGGCGCAGATTTACAGTAAAAGGCATTTTGAGATATGTGGCTAAAGTGTTCACAAACAGCATGTGGCATTGTTGGTAGCCCCTTTTTTCCCCTGTCATCTTTGACCCTATCTTAAGATTATCTTGAGATGATTTCGGGGCTTTTTAGTGTCCCCTCGACCAGGCCTCCACCCCCAGGAAGCAGCTCGTGACAGCTGACTAACACCCAGGTACCTATTTTACTGCTAGGTAACAGGGGCATAGGGTGAAAGAAACTCTGCCCATTGTTTCTCGCCGGCACCTGGGATCGAACCCAGGACCACAGGATCACAAGACCAGCGTGCTGTCCGCTCGGCTGACCGGCTCCCCTATGGCAAAACTAAATTAGCCTGGCATGGTTTTTTTTCCTCCACTCTCCCATTGCACCTTTACTGTTAAAAAAAACTATTTTATAATTTCAATGTGGAAAATTGGAATCAGTCCCCTCCAATATTTGTTAAGTGTAAATTACTGTCTCTCTCAAATGCACTCTAAAGAGTACAGAGAGGTATTTAAAGTGATCCAAATAATTTATGTTTTACTAAATGGTTTAAATGGTAATAAAAGTTCTTTACATTTTTCAGCTCAGCAACTTCACCAGCTTTGAATGGGGCTGTTAATGAGCAACAATATTCTAAACTAAACTGCACCAGTCTCTTAAGTACAGTTGATTTCCCATCTCGTTGGAAAGGTTCTCTCCGTACAACCTATCTTCTTCCTTGCACTTCATATGGACAATTTATTGTGTCCTTTAAAATTAGCGTCTTCAAACATGATTATATCACGGTGAACATGATACTTCATCACGGCCCTTGTCGGTTGTTCATATCGTACTTGTAATCTTTTACGTTTTTTTCTATAGTGCAATTTGACTGCCTTTTACATGTAGTATCTGTTTTGGTACAAGATAAAATGATGGTGCCACAAAGTTAATTGTAATTGCACTAATGTATACAAAATCATTACTACAGCAAACTTTCCAAATGAACCAATTATAAATGAGATTACTTGGAGAATCTTCAAGAATCAAGGAGGTGCAGATCTGCTTGCTTGGTTTCAAGATGCTCCTCATGGTTCTTACCCTTTAGATATAGTTCACAAACACCATTAAATTCACAAGGGATACCTAAATAATAAAATATATTCCAAACCAATTTCAATACACTCCAAACTGCATTTATCAATATATGCAGTATGACAATTTTGTTTACATACTAGTAATAGAAGTGCTTGTAAATCTTTGCTTCAGAATGTAATGTTAATTTTCCCCACACAATATTAGTTAATGCAAGTTATTACACAGGTTCACCAAATCTGTGTAATGAAACAGGAAATAAACACCACAATTAAAATCTATACACAAATCAAATGTAAAAACATGCTTACGACCAGTGAAGCCAGCAAATCAAACTACACGATAAGCTTTGATAACAAAAACAAATAAAAGCCAACCAGGGAAGCAATACAGAGTACAGTATATATCTTGTCAAAGATGCCATTCAACTGCACAAATAAAGTATGTCTATTGAATTAAAAACAATAAATAAAAATAACTACTGTACTTACAAAATGAAATCAATACATAATTTAATTTGACATGAAGTACCTTTTCTTTTTCTCAGCTTTTCAGGAAATCACCTTTACGTACAACTAAAATAATCAATGACAAGTATCCTGTCAAGGAAAATGAGTGACAAGTAAATGTTTATTTTTTACAATACCATGATTTGAGGGTAAAAAATTTTTTTTACATTGGATTAACACAAGATGTTAATATTTATGATTTGTGTGTTTTAAATATAAATTTAAAATAATCGAAGCATTTGCTCAATGCAACAAATGAGAATGATAGGACACTGCATACTCAGTACTAAATGTATGCACTGTCCAAGTCATTGTTGTTGTTAATCTTCAGCAAATTATAGCCATTTAAACATTATGTACAACACTTGTCACAACTCCCCGACACCATCTACGAATTCAACCTACATTTCTTTCACCTAATCACTGTACTAATAAATGAATCTTTAAAATAAATAATTCACTTATATCACAAAACTTCTGTAAATCTCTTAATCTAACCATTAAATTGCTTATCTATTTTCAGGGGTATCCCGTAGCTTTCACAATCCTCAGCAGAAATTCTTAAAATTAGCTTGCCATGTTCTCCTTCCCCTACATCCATAAATGTACTGTACTGTTTTCCTGCTCAACATTATATGTAGACATTAAAAGGAAAACACAAAAATGGCCAGTTAAGGGTTTCCTCCATAAATGTCAAAGTATGGATCTTTAATCACAACTATTATTCTGTGAACTCATGACATAAATGGGAGCTGATGCTATGCATAATTTTACCCAAATACTTCCCATGTCATTAAAAGTTTGGATATTTTTCCCAAAGGACCACTTAAATTATCTAAAGGATACTTATATCGTAATTTGGCTACTGTCAAGTGAAGATGTTGGCAGTGGCTAACCCCAAAAACACCAAAAAATATTAATGAAGGTTCCCTTATGCAAGCTTTAGTACATTTGTCAAACCAAGAATTTAATATAGAGAACCATTATTAAATTCACTTACACCAACATGGATCAGATGCTTGAGCACTTAAATACACTACTGTTCTGTCAAATACAAAAACTTGCAACAAATAATGTAACACTACAGCAATACTAAAGAGTATCGGAGACAAGAACAAAAGTAAATCGAGTATTGTACACAAGAAGGACAACTAAATGTGCAAAAAGACTCGGGTATCAGCCATGCAAAAGCAACCCTAAAAGCAAAAAAAATATAAAAATATTACTGTATAAAAAAAAAGTAAGCAAATTAGGACACTCAAACAGAAACAGACATACTAAGAGAGCTATCCTGTGAACTGGATGCAGCAGTCGGAGCTATCAAACTGTTAGCTGCAGATGACAAGCCTTCTGTTGACATCACCGTCGACAGTGATTGGATGTGAGACTCGCCACGTACTGGGGACGAGTCAGGAGTAACCGCCGAGTAGAGTGGGGGAGGCACATTGGCCAGGAGACCGGCAGTGGTGGAGCAGGGGAGGGTATGGGACAGCGACTCTCCTAGTGTTATGGTGGTTGGCACGGTGCAAGTAGCAAGAAAAAATTTCACTTAGTTCGAAATACCTAATGTTATTCATGTCTAAAAACTACGTTTGTCTAAAATAATTAAATGATCAAAATATAACAGCATCAAAAATGTAAACAAATCTTAGAAACTTTGATAAGCATGTTTTTTTAATGCAATGCAAACACTAGCCAGTGTTTAGGGTGGAATATTCGTGACATTATTTAGTGTTTGAAATCTATTTTAGTCTGACAGTAAACAGACTCTACTCTTAACACAAATAATGGGCAAATTTACTAAGCTACCACCAAAGCCTTCATCACCTACACAATTATCACTGCCAAGCTATTTATTCCCAATGTTTGAGCTAAGTTAACACTCCTTACAAGGTACTTGTTAACCCACAACTTGGTAACATAGTATAACAAATTTTATGATAATGGTCAAAGACCGATTGCAACTCCTCATTTCTTCATTTTCCGATGCATACTTTGGACATCATATCTTCAGCAACAATGACTCATTGCCTGCATATTATAGCATTTCTAAATTGCTAAGTGTCAAAATAAAATGCTGCGAGCTAACTTTTATCTCCTGTGTGCCTCCTAATAGATCCCTTCTGCAGCACAAGAGGTGTGAAGACTAAACCACACACCAAAAGTTGAGGAGACAACGATGTTTCGGTACATCCTGGACCCTTATCAAGTCGATTGTGGCTTGGTAATGGTCCAGGACAGACCGAAACATTGTCGTTTCTTCACCTTCTGGTGTGCGGTTTAGTCTTCATATATTCAGCCATGTTATTGTGACTTATCGTCTGCAGCTATACAAAGTCTTCATTGCAGGTTACAGTATAAACAAAAATGTAAAGCAGTGGCGAATAATTATCATCTGGCCAGAAGTATAATTTAAACAAATATAGTAGTGCATTACCAGACAATTAACAAGGATAGCATCCAAAGCATTCCAATGATCAGTTTATTTGCTTGCAAGGGGCTCTTAGGTATAATTATATTATTGAAGTCATTTTTAGCACACAGGACTATTTTTTCTAAAGTGGCATAATTTATTATTGTAAATGATGCCTGATTGTCAAAGCAAAACAGCAAGCAGGATGATAGAATCCTCCTGATGTGCATTTAGCCATCTGTGCTATGAAAACTCTAAGGCAATAATTCCAGCGGCAAGTGATAAGCTTTTTGACAATACTAGCTGGTGGTGGTCAAGCAGAACACACTTTTCAAATCTAAATCACTGAAAAGTGTGACTTGTACTCAAAGTTCAAAAGCCAATATCTTCTGTGTCAATGCTCACCATTATTCACAATATAAAACCAAGCATTTCTTGAGGGTTTCAGATATTGCAAATTAAAAATGGCATTCCTTAAATACCTCAGTTATTTTTACTGAAAAATAAACCAGAGCTACTGAAAAATAACAGCACACAAACCACATTCCAACACTTTTTATGACTTTAGTGTGAATAACAACTTCTGATAAAAATGACTTTAGCAAAAATTAAGACAGTTTAAAATACTATGCATAATTATTACAGGAGTGTCCACGAATGAGAACTGGTTATTATATGCTATAAAATTAATCATTTCCATCAGTCCATCAATGTCTAAATCTTCTGTTTATATTTTTCTTTAGAAAAAAATAGTGTCAAAGAGATACCCTAGTTTAAAATAAATAAAAATTCCAGCTGCTGTCAAGATTGAAGGAGTACTTAACAATTACTGAAGCTATCACCACTTTTTACAAGAACAAGTAATTTAGCGAGACTCGAGGCATTGACAAGAATGTGTTACCGAGACTCGAGGCATTGACAAGAATGTGTTACCGAGACTCGAGGCACTGACAAGAATGTGTTACCGAGACTCGAGGCATTGACAAGAATGTGTTACCGAGACTCGAGGCATTGACAAGAATGTGTTACCGAGACTCGAGGCATTGACAAGAATGTGTTACCGAGACTCGAGGCATTGACAAGAATGTGTAAGTAGGAAGGCAAAAAATGCAGTAGGTACTGGGAGGGGTAACAAAGTAAACAGTCCACCAGTAGTTGTTGAAAAACACAGCAGGAGCAGAGCAACAACAAGTACAGATGACTGCAATAACAGGTTCCACAAATAAACAATTACAATGAGAGGATTGGGGGGGCACCCTTTTACTTTCTAAAGAAGCTCCATAGGGTGTTGAGTACCTCGTTAGTATCCTATAACAATCCTTTAGGAAGAATATTAAATATTATAAAACAGAACTTTAAAAATTACTTTAATACAAATGTGTATTTTGAAGGATATTAGCCACCACAATAAAAATATTAAATGAAATTAGTTTCAAGTGTCCAGCTAATGTAATCGCCCTAAAAATATTTAAACATTTTATAAATAATAAAGTAATGCTGAGCTCTTCTGCATTATGCATATAAAAGTGCCAGAAATTTAATTGATGCCAAGATAATCCAAATTAACCTACAAAGAGATTAATCTATCAAGGAGAACAGTAACTGTACCAAAATAGAAGTGTTAACATTAACTTATAATGAATAACTTGTATATGAATGAAATCACACCCCCATACTGCACCAAGTCTACTCTTTCAACTTTACAATAAACGGCAGAAAATACATTTTGGAAGACTATCGGAAATAAAAATCCACTCCAATTATGGCTTCTACTTATCAGAAAACTAGAGAGAACCGAAGAAATGTGAAATTCAAGCTTACGAAACAAGCACAGAACGTGTACGAGGCTACCATATTAAATCACCTTCACCTAGCTTCCTAATTTCATGCAGGTAGGTAAAAACCTACAAATGAAACGATAGTACAATACGAAATATTCATGGCATATTTTTTTAATATCTACCCTTTTATGTGACCCTCTAACACACCGGAGTACAACAAACATGGACCACTAGACTCCACTATTCCAACCCAATGAGAAAACAATACAACCCCCCCCCCCATCCACATACCATGTCATCACCTTGCCATACAGCCACCATGATGAACAAATTTGAACAAGTAACAAAACCCTGCAACTATAATGAGCCCTAAATGATGGGGAAGCAATGTGAAATACCATTTTAAACTATCATTAAAATATACAAATCAAATGACTGAACATCTTGAGAACTAATTAAAAGCAATTTCTTGAGAAGATCTAGGTATAAAAGATGAGAGGCCAAAGTAACATTCTTTAATTTACAATGCAAGCTTGTCAATAAAAGTTATTGTATGCCAAACTTAGCACCAAAAAGGACCAGTAACCTCAAACCTAAGCCAGTATGCTCAAGAAGAATAAACATAGCATGTCCTCCAAAAGAGGAGCTTAACTTGACATTAATTTTATAGTCCCGTGTCAACGTGTCCGACAAGAGTGGTCAAAACTTACCTGGCATAGACCTTGGTGGTGGAGTAAGAGCAGTTGATATAGGTGGCATAGTGATCTGGAAGGCATGTGCAGGTGGTGGTGCATCAGAAACCTGATAGTTGCTACTACCAGCTGTAGTGACCGATGCAATTGATGTGGCCAAACTCCAACTAATATTACCCAGGCTGCTTGCAGGAAGGCTCTGTCAACCAGAAATTTGGAAAACATCTTATAAACACCCATTATAAGTATCCAAAAAACATTTTAAAATCACATATTTAGTATTAATAATAATAAATCTGCAATGTTAGGGAAATTCATAATCTTCATAATCAATCCAACTTTGCTATATCACAAACCCATGTAAAATCCCTTTCTTTCTGTGAACTTGCCCAAGAATTGTGAAGGATTATGATTACTGCTGGAAATTGGGGGATTTGACAATTATATCCAAATGGCTAGTGCTGGATAAGGAACTTATATTAAGGCTGCCAAACTACTTATCTTCAGAAAAAAGAAACACTTACCCTGGGAAACAACTGGAAGATTTAGTCTGACAAGCACACAAAAACGGCAAAAAAGAAAAACAAAGGTTTACCCGAGTAGCTGAAATGCCAGATGGTGATGGTAGAGGTTCTTTGACAGTGATGCAGACAGGAGAGCCCAATGTGGGAGTTACCATAGATGTACTGGCTTGGGCTAAAGATATGGAGGGCCCTTGGGTCACAGTAGTAGACATACTGCAACAAATACAAACAATATTAGTTTCATCAATACGAAGATTTAAGGAGAGACTCGTCTAAATAGAAAAGACAATTTATTTTTTATTTTTCCTAGAACCTCATCCACTCTTTTCTGCTAAACCTGTTAAAACTTTCATTATACAACTACTACATGTTAATTCACGACTTCAAACAATAAGGCATCTATACCCAGGTACCAAATCATTGTAAGAAACTACTGTAGTTTACTTTATGCTAAACAGTACAATATAGTCAATTTGCATTCTGCGATAATTAAATGAAAGAATTTATTTACGGTAATGAATCCAAGTAATGAATGAGCTGGGACAGATTGGGAAGGGCATAATTCATGAAACCACGATGACATTTTGGGAAATAATGCCCAAATACAAAACTGTCACAGGGATGCCCTTAAAATTAACATTGCAAAGTTTTTGGATTACATTCTTGCCTCGCAGCACCTTCCAGGTATTCTGAAATTTCCATGTACTGAATATGTGGTTGGAAATGGTAGGAGCAGTAAATAATAATGTTCAGGTACACATATTTGAAAAACTTCGTAGCAATACTCATGGACATTTATAAGAACCTCATTTTCCCCAAACGAATTATTGTACAGTACCTATATAATGGAAGTCTGCAATTTTAGAAACTGTAAATGGACCCGAATGTATTACCATGGATATACTGGATGATATATGTTCCGCCCACATATTTGCGGCAATATTTTGTACTGTATATCAACTAAAAACTATAGTCTTTAGACATAATTTGTTTGCTAAAAAACGAATCTGGATGAATTAATTTTCCAAGCTGCAAGCCCTTTCAACATTTGCAAATCCCACACTGTACATACCTGAATGACTGCTCCGGCATTGTGGATGGTGGGAAAAACGGAGGATTGCCAAAGAGTCCCGGAGTTGGCATCAGTGGGCTGGGCACTGGCTGCTGACCGTAATAGCCCATGTAACTACTGTACAGACCTTGAGGTACAACAGCTGACAAAAAAGAATCAACATCTGATGGAAACAAATAGAAGAATGTCCTGGTCACATTATCTATAACTAGCACATCATTTGGGAAACAAAATACAGTATACATGTTCTGCTAAAACTATGAAAAAAATATCTACCAGGGTGAGAGATTTATCAAGCCTTCAGTTGATAAAGCTCACATGGATTTGAAACTGCACCACACAATATGGTTGCCTTTACATAAGGCCTCTGACCTAACCAGTTTATTATTTTTTTATATGTAAACTTTTTTTTTATTAAACTATCAGTTAGAAATATATAATTTGTCTTTTCGAAGCTACACTTTTCTATGTGGACACTGAACAAGCCATATCCAAGGCTATCAATAATCAGTCATATAAGCCTCAAATACTCTTCTACACTTCTTCCTAGGGGTTGTTCTATTGTCTCCTTAGCAGAAAATATCGGAAGATATAGTGCCCACTACAAAAAAACCTATTGATTATAGTGTTCACTCATTTTTTAGTTATCATTAATGGTTATCTTACTCTAAACAACTTTACATTCCTGTCTGAGGGAGCCCCTTTTATGGTTCCCTATTACTATCTCACTGAGACTGCTCCATATTACAAATATATGGCATGCAAGTTTTGTTTGGCCTAAGTTCTGATACTTTAAATGACATATCATGCCCCTTTTTACGTATACAGTATTGCATTGTACACTAAAAATACCATGAAAATTAGTTACCTTTAAAATCTCTCCTCCCCCTTGTTCAGTAATGTAACACATTCACAATAAAGAGCATGATACGACTCTGCATGGCCAAAGCACTTTTCTATTTTCTACTCTGTGCCAGGGTTTCCCCAACATAACCAGTCTGTTTGAGAACAGGCCCACTCAACTAATATGATGCTACCTTATAAAATGTTTTCTTGAAAAGGTGACAAGGCCCTACACACATTCTCGGGGTAAAAACAAGCAAACACTTTTTACTGCATTAATGACTGCACAACTAAATTTTCATGTAAACTAACTTTTATAGCTATTAATATACACAAAAATGTTATCATTTGCACTAAAAATATATATATACTGTATCTGTAAAGAAAAAGTTACCATGAAATGGCTGAAAAACAACAACCAAACCCCACAATGAAAAATGTCCAAGAAAATTAAATTACAAACAAATGTTATTGACAACCACCAAGATACAACCGCTGCATTTATGTACTGCCATAAAAACAATTTGTTACAGACCCATGTCTTATTAAATCGAGAGGGCTGGTAAACTGTCGTTCACTTTCTCGTAAACAGATTTCTCGTAAACGTGTTTCCTACTGCTTCACGTATTCACAACCAATATTTACTTCCTCACCACTCAAGTCTACTAATATATGTCTAGGTCTTTTCTTTACATTCTAAAATTCACCCAAGTACTCAATGTCATCCAAGTATTCAATATAATCAAACATGCATATCTATTATTTTTACGTAAACAGCTTTTGAAGGCACGAGAACAGAGAAAGTACAGTTCAGAAATATCATCCACACAAAAGTATACAGCATCACATAAGCAGGTACAACCCACCCTCACTACCACTTACTCATACATCTTAGGATAACAGATGCAGTTTCCTTCTTAACCACCTACTTCAATTTACTGTTAACAGTCTTCCCTTGCACATGTCAAGGATTCCAACCAACTTACATATACCGCTATGAAACCAACATACACGCTAGAATTTGATGCCAAGACTGCATCCATATATACTAATAAAATTTCATACTTTTTATTTATCATGATGCACTTAGTCATTCCCCTAACTAACAACAAGAGGCCCAGGAAGAAGTACTGAGAACAATGACAATAGTCAAAAGGTATGTGAATCGAGGGCTACACTGCTAATTTTCCAACATAAATTGCCCAGATATTGACTGCAATGATGGACCTCCATGGAGGGAAGGACATATGGAGGACAATGTTAGTGGACACTATGGACAGGTTCATGAAGCAGCATATAAAATAGACAAGTGAATTAGAAGAGGAAAATCAAGCAATGTCAGGCTCTAAGCCAGGATTCACCAAGCATTTAAGCAAACACTTATGAAACCTGTGCATCTGTTCCTCAATCATGGCATCCTTATCATTAGGGTTATCTTGAGATGATTTCGGGGCTTAGCGTCCCCTCGGCCCAACCTCCTTTTTGTTACACCCCCCCAGGAAGCAGCTCGAAAACTGAGGAACATACAGAAACCGAGAAAACTACAAATGTGGCAACAATGTTGAAGACAGGAGACAAGCACGAAACCTTAAACTACAGACCCGTTTAATGATACGCCTTACAAAATACTAGTTAAATTAATCAGCAAGACAGGGGTCATTTGGAGATTAATAATTTTGTATCCAAAACCTTGTTTTTGGCAACGTGATTAGGGTTCAACGACTAAGATTTGCCAAAATTCGGCAGAAGACTGTAAAACAGCTTTTGACACCATCTCTCACAAAAGTCTGAACCCCTACAATTTTGTAAAGAAGGCTGGGGTAACTGGGAAGATATTGGACAGGATTAGAGAGTATCAGGCTTAAGAAACTAGAGGGTTGAAGCAAAAAGGGGCAGTCAGGATTTGAGGGAAGTGACATGCGAGGTTCTAAAAAAGGCTGGATACTTGGACAATCACAGTTCTTGATTTATGTTTATGATCATCCATATTAGGTGGAATCAAACATTTTGTTTGTAGTTGATGCTCAAGAGGACTGCAAAAATATTACACAAGGGCCTAAACAAGCAGCAGGAACGGACATGCAATGACTCATGGAGTTTATATCAAAAAACTTAAAAGCAGCTTGAAAGAAAGATCTGAAGGGCAGTACAGTTTACAAGAAAGGCAGTTGCAGGAGTCAACTGATTAAAGGGACCCAAGAGTGGGTTTAACACCAGAGGCACACGTTAATGGAATAGCATCAGCTGAACATGGACGACTAACAAACATAAGGTGGTTTTCCAGAACTTGAATTCTGGAGAACAAGTCATCCTTCAAAGTATTATATACATATATTGGACAAGAACATGTAACCCACACCTGCACAAGAAAAATACTGTATGGAAAGTGTCGAGATTTGCAACACCACAGGTAACAAGCTAACACTGATAGAAGAGACACACAATATAATCGCAAAAGATACCAACAACAGCCAATGTAAGTGATAAGAGTGAAGGTACACAGATGGAAGTTGAAAATACAGATGAGCCAGAGAAATGCAAGGCATGCACAAATGTAGTGTGTGGTAAGCAAAGGGAATGAACCAAAAATGGGGGGAAGCAACTACCATTCATAATTTCAAGAGCAAGTAAGACAAATGTACAGCTGGGAGGAATAAATGTACAAGGTGCAATAGCTACGAGACAGAGCTCCAAACCTGAATCTCGTTTCCTGTAGATAATTAGATGGCACACTTACAGTTACACATGTACACACTTACAAATACACGCAACAGCTTATTAAAACATCAACACATACCAGCTGGTATATCCACGGGAACTTGCTCTTCATTAGCCTTCACTTCTGCTCCTTCTGAATGCTGGTGATGAAAAAAAAAAATAAAAATAAAAATAATGGATTCTCCTACAAGTGAGTAATTTGCATGCAACATTCTATGAACTACTCAAACATTTGAATCACACATTATATACGCACACCACATCAGCTGGTAGTCAAAAATCATCTTTCATCATAAAAGATACTTAACAATTACTTGACCAATCACCGCATCTTCCATACCATGGGTATCCCTGGATTTCAGGGGAAAGTGAGTTTATGCAAAAACCGTGTCAATCACACTTTACCCTATCACTGCAGCACTTCCACTTCCATCCCATATTCTTCTTGGGTTTATATGGGGCTACAAGTTATATTTGCCAATTTTTTTTCCATACATAGTAAGGAAATTATTTGTACTTTCCAGGAGCACTTAAATAATTAAGACACTTTTTTTTAATATATTTTTAGATTTGCACATAGGCAAGTAACTGGGCCAAGCTACCTGCACACTTCATAGATTAAGAAAAGGCTCTATTAATTCAAAGCTGCAGCCAGAAAATGGAGAAGAGGCATCCAATGTAGACTAATAAAAAACAAAAAATCTACAATGCCTCTGCTCTAGAATTGGTCCGAGTTAGCAGAGAACTAACTCGGACCAATTCAAGCCCCAGGTACAATACCCAAGGCAAGGCTCTGCAGATAGATCCTTTCCCCGAAGACAACAAGGTGTGCACAAACACATTATGTAGCTGCCATTCCTCTGTAGCTTGCCAAGAAAGTACCTCGTGATTACCTTGCGATGATTTCGGGGCTCAACGTCCACGTGGCCCAGTCCACAACCAGCAATCCTGGTTGCTGGACCGGTCAACCAAATAGCTCGAATAAGTTGCCAAAACCACATGGCAGTCAAGGTACAACCAAGGTGCAAGCCAGCCTTGAATACAAGGAAATTCTTAAAGCAAACTGCATTGGGTAGGACCTAGAAATTGCGATAAACCCACCCCTCTCCCGTTATTTTTTAACCCAATATGCACAGCACCACAAATAGCGCCTATATTGTTGCATTGTGAACAATCACGAGGAAAAAAACCATCTGCCGTGACCAATTTTCCCTCACCAGGATCTTCTCTTCGGACCGCAATAAGAGTTAAAGATGCGAATGCTTACCTAACTGTGCTCACTGTACCTTAAAAATACTGAAGTAGAGAGTGAGATATGTAATTGAGCTGATGAGATGTAAGGATGCTCTCATTCCCTGTATTGGTGGGAGTTAAGTGTTATGTATTAAAGGAACAGGTTGAAGCCAATTCCATCCACAACTTTAAAAAGAGAGATGATGAAAACATTGAGTGGCAATTAAAGTGCCAGGCACAAGTGGTTATGTGGAGAGCCACAAAGAGTTAGATCTCCCTCACCCAAAATCACTGATAGGTAAGCAACACTTAGGTTTTTCTCCTTCAGCATATTTTAAATGTTTTGACATTCAAATTTGGGGTCTTATTTTTAAATTAGGCTGTGAATTGAGGTGACTGGTATTTTAATGTCATTCCACTTTTTAACCACTCAGAGTGGTTAATAATATATATGTACAAACTAATATAAATGTACTTGAGTAGACAGCATGCATGTAAACTGAAATAGTTCCAATTTTCTATATAATTTACTCTTCAACATAATTTCAAGCTTGAAGAGTATCATGGGCATTATTAGACTACAATGAAAACTGTTTAAAAATTATTATAAATCAAAGAAGTAAAGAAATTTAGAAACATGCCCTTGAGTGAAAAGGCAGCCAAATTGTTGTCACATTTAACGTATTTAAAATTTCAAAGAAGAAAGCAGGAAAGTTATAAATAATCAGACACCTGCTGGATATCTGGCAAATACCGAAGCCCTCTTGAGGTCCAAAACAGCAACTCTTACCTTTGCAACGGATTTTAAAGCTCGCAGCTCTCCTATGTCGACTGACATGGCATGCACCTGAGTCTGTTAAGAAAAAAATAGGCTCTCTAATAATGACAAAATGGACAATTGTGTGTATGGTAGTTGCTTCTCAATTTTAAATGCACAGTTTTCTCAGTTTACTAAATTCATTAAGAAAACCAGGCATTAACAGCCAGAAGATATGGAAAAAATATACACAAATGACTCGAGTTTCATGCAATCAGGACGCAAGATGGATTACTGCAATACTCAAAATTAAACTTAAAAAGTCAAGCGCATATAAAGCAGTAATGTATAAAAAAATATCTACAAGACCCTAAATATCAAATGACAGTAATCAATACAGATTTATGGATCAAATAGCAAGACAATTTACTCAGTGATTCAAGTGACTAGTTTTGATGAAAAACTAATTCCAAGCATTAAATATTATCCCAGGTTCAATCACACGGCCTCAAGATTGTGTGATTTCATTGTGCAATTCTTAGTATTCTTAAGTATTCATTAACATATAATTTTGAATGTGTAGCTAATATGAAGTAAATTGAGCCTATGTACTGTATATATCAATGTGAAAATCCACTTACTTGTAAGTCCCTTATAGAACAATGTATTTGCTTCATTTCATTTAAAATAGAAGAGCATGTATCTTGACAGAGTAATTTGTTTTGTTCTAGCATACTCCGATATAGCGATGAATTTTCTTTAAATTCGTCTGCCATTGTGGTACAGAACTTCCGAAGCGCTTCATTTTGAACCTTGAGGGCAGCATTCTGCTCTTCCATATTTCTGAGTGTATTCTCCTGTACTTCTGACAGGGCTCTCACCTGGGCATCTAATCGCTCAGGGCTGGGTCGTGCTTCCTACAAACATTAATAAGTAGTCCTCCTTGCAAAATAATGTTGGTTTAGTTAATTATATATTTACATTTGTATAATTGCTTGAAAACTACACCTACCCCACTGAAGTGGAAAACAGGATATTGACAATACTGTATACATATGAAAATGTTTGCATTGTCTCAAGAGATCAAATCCTTTCTGTTCATGACGCTAATCTTTATATATATTTTTTTTATGTTTAAACATGTTCATCCCTGAATTTCTTAGCTTTAAATACTCTCAGTCCCCTCCATAAGCAGTCATCTGAATTTCTAAGCCACCAACCTGTCTAGTTATCCGTGTGGAGTTTTTATTCTCTCTAAATGGTGTGCTAAACATAGGTATATGAGGCACATTTGTTAAGTGACCATTTGTAAGATCAGCATGTGGCGACTGTGACACATCAGAGATGGATTCTGTGTCGTCCTCCCGCTGTGCTGCCATGTCTTGGTCGAGGGTCATGTGGGACAACTGTCTTTCAACAACTTCCAACTGGTGGCTGAGCTTGGTGTTTAGCGGATGGAAACGATCCACACCTGAATATAAGAAAATATGAAATGAACAAGTTTTTCTAATGTGAATTGCATTAGTTTTCTTAAATATTTTCTGAAGTCACTAAATGGATCATGTGTTTTTCTAGAAGGTTAGCAACTGAATGCAAGGCATCAGCAAAGTCAGAAACAAATGTCCCCCCCCCCCCCAAAAAAAAAAAAATATATTGACCCATATGATTTCTGCAGTTTCTTTTCTTTTCTTAATAGGAATTGTGCATATAGACAAAACTTCAGCCCAAAATACTTTTGACTTGCTATTTTGAATAAGCAAACTGGCTCATTTGTCCTTTTATTACACTTCCTTATACTGTACTATTCTAGTATCAAGTATACAAAACTTTTATCAAAGCTTCCATCCCATCACCTTGCCTGAACCTATCAAAATCGAGTTCCTGCAACCTGGATACATTCATTTAACAGCAAGTTAGTTGAAATCAATGTTAATCCCCTTCAATATGATTTCTCACCTGGCATGCGTAATCTATCCAGCGTAAGGTAAAGTGTGTCTCGGGCCTGGGTAAGTAAGATGGTGTGCTGGGACCGCATTTCTGAGGTAACCGACTCAAGGTTACCCTCACCCAGCATCGCCTGTGCTCGCTCTTGGTATAGCTAAAGGAAAAACAAAACAATTGGCTTCACACTTCATTTTGATTCTCTATTTCATTATTTTTGTCATACCACAAGTAAAACCAAAAAACCAGTAACATACGATTACATCTGTAATGACACAGCATCGAATTTCCAATTAATTCAACGTTAATTTATTTAAAAATTCATTCAATTCAAATTCACAATTCATTTAAAAATGTAACTTGCATGACAAATGGCCTACTGAAACCAAATATGAAGAAGAGTAAAATTTAAGTAAACAATTTCTTGTAGTATATATAATGTACCACCAAAACAGCATTCATATTACAGTACTTAAATTCTTAATTTTCTCAATTTTAAATCAATATTACTATTACTATTACTGTAATACTTTGTTAGTGAATACTGACTATTGCTCTCTGGAAAGATGCCTCAGGACTCTTCAACTCTCCAAGAGCTTGTATGGCCTCCTGTTGCTTGCCAGCATGGACAAGACGCATTGCCAAGAAGAATTTCCCTTCCTCCTCTAATTTTTCCCGCTCCTCAGGAGTCAGACTCACACTGGAAATATTGCAAGCAAATGTTAGTTTTAATATATTTACTTAATTATTTAAATTAAGCTTTATTCCTTCATGCTGAACTTCAAAACTGAATATTTATAAATATCATTTTGCAATGCTTAAACCATCAAAACGTGTGAATTTAGACCAAGCACAAGCAACATTTTACAAGATCTTACTCATTCAAGACAAATGTTACAAGCTTGTACTCACTACAAAATATAAAACATGGAGAATAATATAATGAAAAAGTGGTTGAAGCATTCATAGTCCTGTTAGAAAAAACAAGAATATATCAGCCAGAGAACAATTAAATGCTAGAAGCAGACTTCTTGAAATTTATGTAGGACAAGTTAACCAAACCCCACACTTCACTGCCACACAATAGTTCCAAGAGATAAACGTACTTCTGAACAACAAAAAGTGGGTTTCGTGGCATTATGTTAGGGATGTTACGGGCAGCCCTCTGACAGAGTGCCAAAACACGATTCCAGTAATGTTCAGCTCGCTCTGCCAAGGCATCAATTTCACTATTAGTACTTCCATCGTCTTCTGCAGCACTGGCCTGAAGGCAAGAATATAATATTGTAGTACTATTCTAAAGTAAACCACTTAGAAACAATATTCTTTTACAGTAAAAAAATTCACATAAAACTTTAGTTAAAAAGTGATGCAACGCAAGCTGATAAACGTTGCCTAATGACACTTACCCACATGGTGAAACTCTTTGCGAGATGTGCCATGAGAGTGAGGTCAATACCATGATTACCAATGGCTCTAATAACTTCCAAGCCTCGTTGTAAAGTCATTCTAAGTTTGCTGAGCCTGTGATGCGCACGGTTGGTGAACAGAGTGGCAGCTGCAGTCCACCAGTCTCCTTGCTCTCTCGTGTTCAGGGCTGAAGCTACCACTGTAGGCAGGGAAGCTGGGGGTGGACCTGGAATTGAGGAAATTTTTTTTCCCCAGTTTGCCAAGCATTAAGTTTATATCCTATTAAAAGGTTCTGCTTCCATATGAAAAGTGTTACATTATTCCTCTAATTTAGTAAAAAATTATAATCCATTAGATACTTAGTCTAAATCAAAACAAAAATACTCTAAACCCTTGTGACAGGTATCTCAACCATAATGCATTACTTTACAAGCATATATTAACCCTTTAACACAAGGCTGTGTTACATTTTTTTCAAAGGAATGCATGCATTTTCATTAGAAGTCATTCCTGTAGCACAAATAGAAAGGAACACTAAACTACATTCCCTATTGATTTTCTATTTCCATGGTTCACTTGCAAGTTGCTGAATAATTTCCAACTTACCATGAGATTCTTTTGAAGCAGCAATCTGACAGTAAACAGTTGCAGCCAGGAAAGCCAGAAGATCAAGGTGACACAGAGTCTCCGGAGCCCCTGTATTGACATTACTTGTGGAGAACTGGAGACCCTCAAACAGAGTGAAGGTATAGTAAGGTTGTGGCTCCTTAACACTATTGGATGCTTGTTGCAAACATAGCCAAACCATGTCTCCAAGACTGGCACAGTACATGCTTCCCACCACTGAAAGAGGAGAGGAGCATTCAGATGGGAACAAATTATTTTAGGCAAAGGAACATTAATTTGTTTACAAGTAATGTCCAAATATGGTATAAAAATACAGTATTATACATTACCAACTGCACAACACACACAGTTCTCAGTTAACCATTCATAATGAATTTCCTTGTAGGCTCTCATAATGATACTTTGCCCCCAGCCTTTTCTTACTTTTTTCACAATCATCACTTTGATAACTTAATAGATTAAACTCACAAGTGAATTAACACCATATACTTTACGGTTCACTTTGGGAAAATTTAAAACAAACAAACTAGCAGTTAGCTACTCTAAGGCCTTCCTAACCAAGCATTGTTTTCTTCATAAGGCAATAGCTTCATATTTTATAGGTCTGAATTTAATCTTGGATGTATGTGAATGAACTAAATTTAAATAAACATTATGAATTTAGATGGAAGTCCCTGATCAGATTTTCTAATTGCCAGAAAAGACTTTTTCAGAGCCTCAAGACATTAAACTTTATATAATATTTATAACTTAGCAATCAAACATTATTTCAGACATGTAAGGATATCAAGTACAGTACTGTATAAGTAAAAAAAAAACAAAAAAACACACCAGCCTCAGGCTCACTAATGTACATTAACAGAGTTGTAGGATACAGTTTGCTTACCTCTGTCCCACACCTTTATTTGTTCGGAGTCGGGATAACTTAGAGAGGCATTTATAAAGTCATCGTCCTTCAAGAAGAAGCTCTGATCTTTCTTGTTGGCACATGAAGCCCCAAATAAAGTCTGATAGATGTTCTCTTGAGCTTCTTTATTGCTAAACTGCTGTTTGACTTTATTGATGAATGCCACTTTCTCAGCCTCAGTTTTGGCCATATGATGTAGGACATGAGCAGCCTGGGAGAGCCGGTGGCAGGCCAGTTTGTGCCAAAACTGATCTCGCGTTGTCCAAGATTTAGACTGGTGCCCACTTTCTGGGGCCCGGAAACGACAGGCATGAAACAAGAGCGCACCAGCACGGGTACTTGTGTGCATTAATCCATCCTGAAAGTAATTTAATTTTTAATTTCCCCTACACACTTCAGCTTCAATATGTTATCCAGTTAATTTTAAAGATAAACAAAATATCTAATGGCCAAGCATTTTCAAATAGACAACATTGCCTTTGCTGTGACCTATAAAAATTACTATGCTCTTCCAGGCAGTATTCTCTATGCCTCCCACACATCAGTAACTTGCACCAAGTTTATAACAAAATTAACACTAACGAGTGTTTCAAGCCATCATCAAACAGCTCTTAATACTAAATATCAGCAACCACACAAACGTTAAATACAGTCACTCACCAGTTCAGGGAGACTATGCTCCCACATACATCACTAATCTGTCTTCACACTTAATGCACCTAAATTTGAATGCTGTCAACAAAGACATTTAAATTAAGGTTTACTGGGATTAGAGCTTAAATGGAACACTGTCTATTGGCCTCAATAAATTAGGTGAGCTGATCAAGACTGTTTACATACCCTACCATTGACTACCTACTTATTCCACCAAAATGGTTGTTACATGACCCAAAGATGCCACATTCAACACCAAAATCACACATGCAAGCTAAAGTTCTTATTTTGACAAACTATTCTATATTTGTCTATTTTAAATAGAAAAGTGTGCATAGAATCATGTAGAATAAGTCACAACTGAAAAAAGGCCAAGTCTAAAGCAAACACTGGAAAGCAATGAGTCACAATAACATGGCTGAAGATATGATGACCAAACCACACATCAGACGATGGAGAAACAACAACGTTTTGGTCCAACCTGGACCATTATCAAGTCACCTGGCACACCACTTGATAATAGTCCAGGACGGACCAAACTATCGTCGTTTCTTCATCTTCTGAGGTGTGGTTTGGTCATCGACAGCTGGAAGCTCTCCTGCAGTGTTTTAGTTCTAAATGGTACTTTACCTTCTTGGCACTATGCATGAGGAAAATGGCCATATGAAGATACAGCTGTCCCATCATCAGCTGACCAAACTGTGTGTTTTGGCCCACAACATTGAGGCTTGTACTCAAGTTCTGATCAAATCTGTATAAAATATTACAGTAACTTTATGCAATGAGCAGCAACCAGAAAAGTTTCACATTAAAAATAAAACTTATTTTACATGTTCAATACATGAGCCTAAATCTAAAGTTACTTACTTTTTGCTATAACAAAGAACAAGCAAAGTTTTCACATCTGACAAATCATTAAATTGTAGCAGTTCAGTAAAAAAAAATTCTTTATGATAAATTAGTCCTTTATAAATAATATACCTAGATTTTATTTTCAGCTTTTATGTACAAAACAAACCACCAATTTCATGCAAAAAAGGCTTAAAAGGAAATTGAGAAATCTATTTGCTAAAGATGTAAACAAGGCTTGTGATTACATTGTGAAAAAAGGACAATGTGATGCATTTTTGAACAAGATAGGAAGGAACACGGTACAACCTAATCAATACATTCGAAAACTAAAGTGTTGTTGAACAAAGTATCACACACTTAAGAGTGCTACCCCACTGCAGATAACTGGATATTCCATACAAAGATATTTAATACCATTATATTATGACAAAACTTGATAGGTTTAGATCTTTGCCAAATGAGGGGGACATTCTTTATCCCTATACCAGACATCTATAAACAATACTACATACTGTGTCCAAGCAGATTGAGAAACCTTCTACCAAGTCATTCTAGACAAGTATCAGTGTGATCTCTCACACACATCCACATTTAGCTACAAGATATAGTATACATCATGTGTATAGAGTATAGTTCTATCTCAGACCGAGTGCTCCCAGGATTCACATTGCATTGTTGTGCATGCCATTATTTCCAGGACTCCACATGCCCTCTTAATTGCTGCAGCCTCATTAAAAGGCAGCAACGTTTTGTGTCAATCAATGTTGAAAGCAGGCACAGTTACGTAGTGAATTGGTTAAGTTTAGTCAGTTGCACCAGTGTTTATTTTTAGGGCTCTGCTATCCTAAAGTCATCCACAATTATTTTATTGTCACAAGCAAATTATATCTACAGTACTTAAGTGTCCGAGATCAAAAGCCTTTACGCAACCCTTCCTCAATGCATTTCTAAATGATAATTTGGGAGACCCAAAATATACTTGTTAAACAACACTAACAAAATCCCCCTCCTACAGGTTGATTTGAAGACCCATAGACCGCAGAATGGTATAGAACCTTGCACCTGTTGCAAGACACCCAGATTTTTATCTGGCATAAAAAGATAGACAAGCATTTTGATTATGGTTGACCAATGTTTAAGCATTGATCTTTAAGAGTATCGAAGCAGAGCAGCCCTCTACATTGTGTGGCTGGGTTATCAACATCTGGTGATACTATTGCAGTCGTGATAGTTCTCTTGGTTGCAGTGAAAGAAAGAGAAGCAGGTTCTGCACTGTCAGATCTGTAATTTAATGTCTCTAATATCTTTCTTTGTTAACACACCACATTTAGCCGCCCAGATTAGGTTCAATTGGTTGCGAGCCAATTGCACTAAGCACTGCCTGACTGGTTACTTTACAAACCTGCCAGTGGGTTATATATTATCAGGTTGCCACTCAGTGTTCATTGAAAGTCTAGTCTGTTCCTACTGGTTTGCCCTCACCCAATTCTTCCAGGAAATTCTGTACCTAACCTTTAGTTGCCAACATATCCTCCATGATGGCTTCCATCCTTCCATTTCCATCGGGCCATTATCATAGCCCTCCACTGATGTGAAATTTCTGCCGAATTCTTTGCATCCCTTTCCGTCACTTTTTTTTAAATAGGTTTCCATCTTTTCTTAGTGTAATACCTTGTCCTTTACTGTTTGCTGGTATTTCAAGACTTTGTAGCAACTGCAACAAACCCTCTGGCTTTAGCAGTGACATTATCTTCAAACTGCCTCTTCACCTCTATAGGTGTTAAGTCACAATGGAAATGTGCTCTATAGAAAAAAAAACTACAAAGCATCCCTACATAAGATCCCTAATAATCAATTACCATACACAATTACAAATTTATAAGATACATTTAAATGGAGAACCACATTTTTAGATTTCAGCGCTAAACCAAAACCAAATGCATGAGCGCAATAACCAACTCACTTGTGAAGAAGTGTGGCAGCATCTGTTAATGTGCATTGTGACATGAGGGCACTGCCACCGCTGGATGCCAAAGTGAGGTAGGCGAGCCGCTCCAGAGCGGACAAGAAGTTGGTGTGGAATTCCACATCATTACTGACATCAGTCATACTTTGGTAAGCCTGACAAAAAGAAATCAGGATTATGATTACATTGTAATAGCAGTTTACCTAGTCCAAGCTTTCAATAGCACACTTGGTCATATTCAAAGTATAAGATATTTGCTAACTTGCCCAAAGGCCAAAAGTGTTTGGCTGCAGGTAATGACAAGATATATGTTCATTAGTTGAAAGCTTTGTTGATCCATGTGAAAAAAACTAAAACTAGGGCAAATGGGTCATTCGATGTAAATAATGTAAACTTTTCAATTCAAATATTCAAAATGACCAGTACAATGCAATGTGGACATTTAGGAAACGAAAATGTGGAAACGACAACGTTTCGGTCCGTCCTGGACCATTCTCAAGTCGATTGAGAAGTCCATTGACTTGAGAATGGTCCAGGATGGACCGAAACGTCGTCGTCCCTTCACCTTCTAGTGTGTGGTCTGGTCAACATACTTCAGCCACGTTAGTGTGTCTCATCGCCTACGTGGATTCTGTTCATCACAAGTCAATGTTTTGACTAGTGTACGTAGTTAGGAAAGCAGGTAATAATGCAATTCTATCATGTACACTAAATTAGTAGGATATAGTCCTCTGAACACTGAACATATTAATATTAATGGTTCTCCTTACTTGCATAATGTCGTATAGGGTTTGATACCATTCTAGGGAATCTGAAAAAGCTTTCCGAGTCTCTACTTGACAACTGTAATTGTAGGCTTCGTTAAGCTTGTTCTTGTCTTCTGCACCCCAGTCTTTATAAAGTTGTAATAAGTTTGTCTGTAGTCTAACAACTGTTGGACTGGCTTTGATTTCATCTGTTAAAATATATAATTAAAAAATTAATACCTTGTTCTAACGAAATTTGGTATTCACATTGTAGGTATCAAAGTTGGTGGACAAGTATTCAGTGTGCCCATTTTGTCTAAAATTGACATGTGGAATAAAAAAAATTAACTCCATTAAAATTACAATACATACTGTAAACATAATACAAATTATTTTTACAAGCAACAAGTCATAATTAGGGTTGAGAAGACCATATTGTGTGACATTTTCCCCACATTGTTTATAAGTGGTTTGAATTTACATGGCCATGAAGCCATCCTGACCTGGGCCGGGTAAAACATCATAAGCAACTGAAGTTGCCGTCAGCAAATGATGACTGACAACGTTTATTTATTAGCATGTAAATAGAACTCTTATTTCAGTCTCTTATGATTCCTATTCAAATCCTTTGATGCTTGATGCTTAAATAATTATGCATCAGATTTTAGTGTGATAAACTCATTATGTAGTTCAAATGACACCCTACAAGTCTAATCTGTAAATATTCAGCATTATAAACAAGTTGTGTTTACAAAGGCATCACAATGGGTTATTCATAAGCATTGGCCCAGCTTTAATATCTTCAGACTAAGGCAGTTGAATGTAGATTTTAAAGATTGTATTTACCCACAACTGCAAAGATGCATTTTTACTATGGTAAAGTAATTAATTTTTCTTTACAGTTTAAAAAATGACAGGTTAAATTTCTTATTAAAAAAAAAAAGCACAATTATTTTAAACTAGGTACTGTACATGATTCAATAAAAATGGTATTTATAAATAAAGTGTCTCCATATGTTTCAGAATTAATATCATGCATGCCATAAAAACCAAATGACTCGCCTAAGTATAGTTTCTCGAGTTCCTGCCGTGAATGAGAGCCCGAGCCGGTGAGAAGAGCCTCACGGAGCTTTACAACACTCTCATGGTGAGGAAACAAACGATGGCCTTCTTCTGCCCAATATAGGCGAACAGAAGAGTCTGCCTGTACATCTGTATACAACTCACAAACTGCAAATATAAATAAAATAATGCATATGTAACATACTATACCCCCTTAGATAATGCAAATAAGCAAATCTTATTTTAAAATTTAAGTACTGCACGGATATAATAATTTCACCATAAAGAAATAAAATCAATGCTTGTTTTAAACATTTTCAGTCTCAAATGTGGCTAGTTCTACAAGCATTAGATGTATATACATGTACTATATACCTGCTATACTGTTTAAATTATAAAATATGGGAATTTCAAATACAGTAAACTACAGGTCTTACTTAAAAAATTATACACAGTACAGTATAATTAAAAATAAAGCTACTACTATTAGATTATACAGGCATGTACTCACTTTTTAAAACTATTTCTTTCTGACCCTCTCCTAACTCGTATGAAGTCTTGTATGACTGCACGGCTTTTTCCTTGTTTCCTAAACCTTCATATATTTGGCCCATGAGGCGGTGTGCATCCATTGCCTTGGGACGTACAGCAAGAAACTCGCTGAGGTAACGACGAGCATTTTCATATTCACTAATGTTGAAGTAGAGCCGTGCAATATTATAGCCCCGTACTTTGCGCTGAAAAAAGAAACAAATATTTGAAACTGTTGATAAAACAGCATAAACTGACTTGTTTGCCTCTACAATACACACATCCAAATAACTAATGGTTCATATCAGATTAAAACCCCCCCTTCCCCAGCCTCTACAATTCAAATTTGATCTGGACTTGTATAATCGTGCACAGCAAAATTCAGACAACCCTTATACTGTACCGTGCAGAAATTTACTAATCAAAAATTTATTATACGTACTCGTGATATTAGTTGTAAAAATAATGCATTTTTTGGTTTGAAAGGTGGGTAAACTTATGCTGAACATTTAGTTTAAATTTTACATTACTGAACACTTAGTATAAATGGCAAAACTATTTTATTCTGCAAATTTGGAACCCGGTTTTCCAGTACAGTATCTCCATGTAGATGTGCTCCGTCTGTTTTCTTTGAAAACAAAATATTATGAGAGCTCCAACAATGTCACTGAAATATGAGGGCTTTACTGTGTAAACATTTTGCATATACTGTACAGTACATATTTTGTATTCCTTCCATTTCACAAGTTACTCCTGGTTTAAAGGAGGAAGAGTACCAAGACCCACAAAGCTGGAAAGCACAAGCGATTTGGAAAGTACCAGCGGTGTGGTGGCATCTCTAAACTGGAAGCTACTATATTTTCGTGGCCATTACATTGCTTGGTTATGCTCACTAAATGATAAATTTTCTATTATTATGAGATACTTACATGTCACTATTTATATGAGGACAGCGAGTGCATCCCGATTCTTTTATTGTTTACGTTTATTTATTTTTATCGTATCTACCCAATATTTATCAATCACACAGTATTCAACCTCAAGAAACTCGCTTAGATCTGGATAAAATAAACATTGTCGGCACCGAGAGGGTCAATGTTTACTCGAGGATTTTCATGAAATGGGTACTCTGTTTTACTTTTGAATAAACTATAGGTTGAGCACTTATTTTTGGTACATCGTTTGTGAATGGGTCGATACACAGTATTTGTTGCCATTTGTATGGCAACATTTGCATTTCTGGTTTGATGTTCATGGGCTGTTACAGCCATCTATGAAGAGCTTCAAATTTGGATCAGATTGAAGGATAAGGCTTTATAAGTAAACACCACAAAAAACATATAGGGGTATGTTTAGCATGGTTTAATGATTTGAACAGAAGAGATATTTGTCAAAAATAAAAATATTTATTTTTTGTCAAAAAACAATCACTTTACAGTACAACCTCGATTCAACGTACCCCGATTCAACGAATCTCTGGCTAGGTTGCACACTTTTTAGGCCGGATTTACTCACCCGGATCGAATGGTTCACCGAAGCGGGGAATGTGCGGATTTGCTTACCATGTTGGGATAGTTCACAGACTGGTGGAAAACTTTCCCATTCTATCACAGGTTATAATTAATAATTCCTTCATATGACAAGTTGGACTACACAACAAGTGAAGCATATTAACCAAACACCAGCCAGAATGGTCCACACAAGTGAAGCATATTAACCAAACACTAGCCAGTGGTCCACACAAGTGAACGACCGTGTTTCCATGAGTTTCATTCACCGATTTGTGGCACATGCAAATTAATTTATAGGCTGAAGTGTGAATAGCTAGCTTATTTGCTGAAATCTTCTTATATACATTTTCTGTGATGAAACAAGATGAGTGTGGGTGGACAGATAAGGGAATACTGTACCGTAAACCTTGCTTTACAGTGAGGGTTTCACTCACTTTCCTGTCATAGTTCAGCGACCCATAACTTGAATGTCAGATTAATAAATCATTTCTAAAACTGGTGTTTTAATAGCTCTTTATTATCCTAATTAAACTGAACTAAATACTGTAAAACCAAAAATATACTGTAATATGATAGATATCTGCTATTTGTGAGGTTCAGTCCCTGAGCCCATTATGTGCCTCTAACCCTTTCTACTACCGTCCACAAGATGGGTATGAGGTGCATAATAAATGAACTATAACTATATAACTCTGCTATTTGAGAAATTATTCAAGTTATTGACGGCACAACTCCAGTGCAAGTGAACGAGTCTAATCCATGTGCACATAACACCATGTGTATTTTGTTCGATTTGGTCGCCACACTTCAGTGACCCATGGCTTCGAAATAATAAAATTAATAAATCGGTTCTAAATTAAGTATTTTTATAGCTCTTATTATCGTAATAATGTTACTAAACTAAATATATAACCCAAAAATATGTAATTCGATGTAAATCCAATACAGTATTTGAGAGAAATTTATGTTACTGGATCTGGCTTAAATACCAGCCTACTGTAGGGTGTATAGACCTAGTCTGCATTCATACAGTAGGCACCCAGTACCCTTAGCTTTGTCTGCAATTGACGTATTTATCTGCCGGTGGAAGAATAATCGTGGAATTTACCATTTTTTGACTACAGCTGTATTGTTATACAACAAGATATCTCAGGGGCTTGCTATTAGTGCCTTATTAATACCAAAAATGAAGCAATATTTTGCAGGAACTAGTAACAGAAAATCAACCAGCACGAGCACAGCCGTACCTCAGCACCGGTACAACAGCCAGAAGCAGCTGAAGCAAACACTGCAGCAGCGAGCACCAGCAAAGCTGATGCAAACATCTAAGAACATCGTGTGTGGAGTGTATGGTTAGAATAAGTGTTAAATTTAAGTACAGTGTTAGTGTTCAAATTAAGGTTGCAGTACAGTAATTTTAGTGTAAAATAGTTTTCATAAACTGTATTGTAGTACTCAACATACAGCAGAACTACTTATCAATATTGTGCTAATGGCATAATACAGTACGGTACGTATTTACTGTACAGCATTCACACCTCCATGAGAATTCAAGATGGAGATCAATACAAGATGGACATAACTCCAACAATAAGATAAATAACAACCGTGATACTTTTTTAGTAGAATAGTAATAATATAGATACACTATATAATATGATATGCATTTTTATTGTTTACAAGAAAAAAAAAGATACCGATGCAAACGCCTCTTGAAGGTCACCTCTTGCAACGAATCCAACGCTGCAACACACCGGGGTTGGTCCCATATAGTGCGTTGAATCGAGGTTGTACTGTACAACCTTGATTGATTGTACTTCTGATTGAAGATTTTTGCTGGGAGATGATGGTTTTAAGGTACAGTATTTTAGTTTGAGGTGGTTGACTCCAATGAAACATCGCAAGCGAGATAACTTGCCAATTAACAGTACGAGAAAAAAAGTGGTGGATTTATGATTTTTTTTTAAATACTCTATGCCGACCATTTTGTATACTCTCGGCTTTGTGCATTATGCAAGTGCTAAAGACTGGGGAGTGCTGGGATTTATACAGTATAAATACAAGCAGAACAAATAATCTTATGAAAATATTTCAAAGCAAATCAATCATTGGATTGCCACAGTCCTTACATGGGATCTTTGGAGCAGTTGTTGAAGACAACACAGCTCTGCAGCTGTTTATGGTTGGATATTTCCAAAAAATCATTAGAGACCTCTGCTTGTACGTGGTACATTTGGTTTTATGGTTATTTCTTCACCACAAGGTGTACTTTCAACACAAGAGTGACAAGTGGCACAAATTTAATGCACCAGCAAGACAACAAATGTAAAGTAACTATAGTTATAAAAATAAAAAGTACAAAGAGCCAATTTTGCTTATCAGTCTGAACAAGTAAGTTACTAGCAGTGATCCCAACTAGCTTACTGATGATGTGTTGGGGATTTCTGCAGTTTTTATTGCGGACTGTGTCCCCAACAGTTTCAAGATTGATTGATAAAGATTAAGCCACCCAAGTGGTGGCACGGGCATGAGTAGCCCGTAAAGCTGCAGTTTCAGTTTGTTATATACATATAATGCTACTCGGGTGACGTGCACCAGTACCTAGACCGCCTCACACCATCTTTAAACCCATTCTCAGTCCTATCTCATATACACCTTCACAAACCTATAGTAGTGACAATAAGAGATTTGAATGTAAAAAGTCTGTGTAAACAAACTTAATACGTGCTACTGTAAATATTAAACCAGCCCATCTCAGCAACTTTAAAGCGCATGCCATTTTGAGATTAACATTGACAACAATGTCCAGCGTTGCCTGCACACCTGGCCTCCCTCCTACAGGTGCCCCAGCCACTACCTACACCTCCATAACCTAACTCTTTAGCTTATTGCGCCGTTAAGCCAGCCATGATGCCACGCTGGGAGTCACGGGAGTGGAGGTGGGAGCGGGAGGCCAAGATAGCTGTGTTCTCAGAGCGGCAGGCAGGCATGGCTCACCACCGCCCCGGCACTCTCTTACCTCCTCCTCTGTCTTGGTTTTATTGAGCAAATCCCGCACGTGACGGTCCACTTCCTTCTTTGAGCGCAACATTGTCACTAGATCATAGTTGGCGGCAATGTGAGGGGTTAAAACACAATGTTGAGCCGCTCGCGCACCCTGACGATCAATCTCCAGGGCTCACCGAGGGACCTGTACTCAACGCACTTCTTAACTACCACTCAAAACCACCTTCTTATTTCTTCTCTCACCTCACATTTATACCCTTAATATCATTCAGATAATTCTAACTAAATACGACGTTCATATGGAAATAATAAAATGTGTAAAATCGTGAGGTTTTCAGATGTTTGTTAAGAAATGCGAAGTGCGCGTAATTTTAAAAATAAAGTTGCCTCCCCCACAGGAGGTGGCGGCCATTATTCATGTATATGTCTCGCACCTCTCCCGCCTCACACACTCGCTAGGGCAATACTATGCTCATATTTTAAAAACATAACACAAGAAAAATATCTAGGGGGAGGGGGACGTTTATTCCTGTTAAGAATTCCCTGTCATTGAATGGATCAGTAACCCCGCGGTGAATGGCCTTTGTAAACACCCATCTATAGTAACATTGTTTTAATTATTGGAAGATGCGAGTAAAATGCGACATGAAATAGCCAGACCAGTTACAAAACCTTTAGCTAGTTTAGTTCATTTATTAGGACCTGCTTATATATATATATATATATACCCGCCCTGTGAGCGGTCATGGAAACGTTACAAGCCACAGGTACCCGCATCCGCAGATTTCAATAACGACCTCAATATTTTATATTTTATTAGCTAAGTAAATTCCATCATTAATGATAAGTAACTTCAGTTTAAAATGTTTGTGCAGTTACATATACCCCGAGGCCCTCTTAACTAGACAGTTTACCTAATTTAATATGCACCCTATACTTATCATATGAGTGGTGCCTGAATTTACCTGATGGCCACATTGTGGTCTCGTCGAAAACAGGTAGATTTTGAACTAAAGTAATCTCTTGGCATCCAATTTTCCCTTCCTAAACTTGCAGTCAATAAATGTTAAACATAACTGGACTATTAAATATAACTGTAAGTTGTGTCATTAGATGAGAGCTATTATAGATGAATTTGAAGAAAGTAGAATAATGCAAACAGGAACTAACAGATTCATTGTGTATCACAATGAAATGTGAAATGAAGTATACCAAGTTTGTCTACTGTATATAGTGCATACAATGGGTCCTATAGCACAGCAGTCTACGCTCTCGACTCACGACTGAGGGATTCGGGTTCAGTCCCAGGCAGGATAGAAATAAGTGGGCAAATTTTATTTTAAAAGATGCTTCTGTTCACCTAGCAGTAAAATAGGTGTCCGGGAGTTAGGCAAATGTTGTAGGTTGCATCCTGAGAAAGGTCAGCAGTTGAACATAAGAATGAAGGTAACTGCAGAAGGCCTATTGTCCCATACTAGGCAGCTCCTATCTGCCTAATTGTGTTTAGTTGTTCTAAAGTGGTCCTCGATAGGCATAAGTGCCGGGTTCCTTGTCCTAGAGCAATTACCCCAATTAAACACACAGAGATCACACTAACGTGATGCATCAAATGAACATTAAGGCAGTGTCTGGGATGCTCCCGGACGCAGGTTCGAATCCTCGTCACGGCCCTTGTGGATTTGTACCCCAATTAAACTACTGTATATCCGGGTGTTGTAACATGGTCAAAAACTGGTTTAGCCAATGAACACAAGTTCAGTACCTGATGAGCCCAATGTACTATGGGACTGTCTGGGTTAAGGAACCCAACTGATTAATTAATGGTGTAACTTTTTAGCTAAATAAATATTGGCGTTCGGCTCATGGGCCTATTATATGTGTGCCCCTATAACCTATATTCAACTTGATACAAATATATGTATTGTGCTCTGAAAAGCTATCCAGGCGAAACTAAATCTGTAAATTAGACTGTCGATGTTTATGTTAAAAACTCTGTAACTAGTTCATATATTCAGTAACTTGCTTAGCGTAACAAATATTGGGGCTTGAAGAACTAAATAAGCTCTCAATACTGTAACTTTTCCACCACCACCGCTCACGGGGTGGGTATGGGGGGTGTATAATAATTAATTACAATACTGTATAATATAATAAAATACTATACCTAGGGTAAAATGTAAGAAATATGAACAATAGTCTAGCATATGTTGACCATCTCTCGCCTGACCTGAGCTTACAGCTGTGCTTGAGAGCCGGCCTCCACCCCCCCCCCCCCCCATGGTAGTGATAAGTGGTATCTCTGTTATCATGAGAGTGGTATGTTTTGGGCCACGACATATAGATTCATCTAGAATATATTTCATGTAACTAACCCTTTCATTTTCTTTGCGGTGGAGTCGCGTGGGGGGGGGGGGGGAGGTGCATAGGCTATTATGATAAATTTTGATAATGATAATTTTATTTAGTAAAAAAGGCCATACATACACAATGAGTTACAGGCAGAATGTTGGATTTCTAGACATTTTTCTTTTCTAGAAGTAACTAGACTTCTAGTTACGTTTAGTTGGGTTGAGTTAGGTTAGTTAGGTTTCAAAATTCAAAATTCCACTACGCCACGGAGCAGTGTCTGTGGCGTAGTGGTAAAGCGCGCGCCCGGCTCTTTGCTAGCGCTTTGACCTGCTGGCCGGGAAGGATTGTCCGGGCGACGATCCTTAACTGTTCACCCAGCAGAGAATAGGTTGTTTGGCCTTGTTGACGGGTCGTATTCTGGGTGAAAAAATTAGGATTAAGGACCTGCTCGAAACACTATGCATGCTAGTGGCTTTACAAGAATTTAAGAACTCGTTTTATATATAAATAAAATAAAATCAAAACAAAATCCGCTGACGAATCTTTTTGTGCGCGATGAGACTTGTATCTGGCATAATTAAAATATTAACTTAAATAATTCGTTTGTTAGACAATATATGATATTCAGATCTATAAATTACTTTAGAAAGGCCTATAATGTATATATAAATATTAATCTACACACTCCTGGCACTATACGCTAGGAATTTCAATATGGCGTTCAAATAATTTTAGGCAGTCTCTGGGTAGGTTGGTCGCTTGAGGGTCATCGACTACGACCCAGAAAATAACAGCCTCCTTAGCTCAGGGGCAGAGCACTGGTCTTGTAAACCAGGGGTCGTGAGTTCGATTCTCACAGGGGGCAGGTAGACTCTCTGAGTCCATCTGTTTCTCAGAATGTTTGGTAATATGTTTATTGTTTGTGATGTGTGTCTATGTATGTATTAACATGATGTACTGAACGGGGTGAGAATAGCTTGAGCTACCTCATCCCTTTGTGTGTATTTTACATCAATAAACTTATTTCAATTTCAATTCAACCCTGCCAGTCGTCAGGAAGCAGCGACGGCGTGAGCATCGTCGTTCCCGTGTAGATAAGGCTGATCATTTTTTTTTTGCCAATATATTTGAGCAGGTTGGAGGTACGCATGAATATATAGTTTACCTCCACCTACAATGCTTAATGCATTATACATTTGTTTGCTATTATAACATTGAGTTTTTGTGACGTCTCAGAGGGGTCATTGTTTCCGTATTGTTTTTTTTTTATCCGGGTTCTGTAGTATTCAAATGTTTGTATTCCACTAATGCTAAATAGTCTGTCCTCTCTCGGATATTGTGGAAGATTTTGAGGATCATGATTTGCCAACATTATATGGGTAGGATATTACGTAGAATACACTTCCCCATAGCGTTAAACCACCCCGTCGTCAGGCTAGGCTGGTTAACGCGGCGGTCCCCCCCCCCCACCCACCCCCAACACGCATTTATTATCGACTTTCATGTACTGTGTATTAAAACGCCGATAGCGCGAAAGTGTTTGTATTAAAAATAGTTTTTATCGTGTATAAATTAATTTTATATTCTGTTTAATTAGGCGTATAGTAGGTTCGGTAATTAGGTTCTGTTGGCAATTATTTGCACTTGAAATATGTGGAGGGTGAAGCATTTACAGTTGCCTGTCCTTAGGCCAGGCTCCCCTACGCCGCCGCCCGACCCAAAGCCGCGTTCGTCAATTTCAAATCAAATGTTTATTCAGGTAAAGTACATACATACAAGGTGAGATACACACATTGATGGATTTATAGATAGAGCTAGTACATACAAAGCCTAAAGCCACTATTACGCAAAGCGTTTCGGGCAGGGTTGTAAGCAATTTTATCGCTCTGCGTACAGTATTCAGAATTATTCTCGCGTATAAGGTAATATTATTTGATGCAATCCAATGTACAAATACTACAATAGTATTTGTGGCAACTTCCCAATGGGACGGAGCGGGGACACCCCTCCAGAAACTGAATTTACCTGAGGGCCACTTAACACTAGCGGAATCGATGAGAGCAGTAAGCCGACGGCTTGTCAAAGGTCCCCCCATTTGCCCTGATGATATTTTCCAGCTGTATTTTAAAACTCAGAAGAGTTTCGGCGTTTACGGCTTTGGCGGGTAGGCGGTTCCACGGGTTTACATCCCTATGGGTAAAAAAGCATCTCCTGTTTCCTGTCTAACATTCTGGCTTATTGAGTTTGAACCCGTTGCTCCTTGTTCGTGTAAAATCTGGCCTTTTGAAGACATTGTCCTGATCGACATCCTCCAAATTGTATAGTATTTTAAAGGTTTCTATGAAGTCCGCCCTGTCATGCCTGGTTTGCAGTGTTATTAGCCCTGTGGCCCTCAACTGCTCCTGATACGAGAGATGACTAAGCTCTAGTATGATTTTTGTCGTAAGACAAAATAGTTATATTATATATATATATATATATATATATATATATATATATATATATATATATATATATATATATATATATATATATATATTATATATATATATATATATATATATATATATATATATATATATATATATATATATATATTATTAAATATGACCGAAAAAGTAAGATTAATAATTCTAACACGAATTTTCTGTTTCTTATAATTCTTTTCACTGTTGATGGTAACTGAAAAATCAATTCTCCAAAATTCATTTTTATTTCTAGTCTGACGCGACACTTGAACGCGTTTCGTAAAACTTATTACATTTTCAAAGACTTTAGTTTACACACACACAACTATAACTGAACAGAGTTTAAACATCTTCGATTTTATACCTGCATTTGGGTGAGGTGATATGTTACAAGTTTTGGATGAGGTGAAAACAAACTTTCAACACAAGACAGAACACGAAACAATGGGTATAATATTTTGTAAGTTAAAGGGAAGAATGGAAGTAACTGCAAAGGGCCTATTGGCCCATATTTCTTGATGCTTCTATATTGGTGCGGAGTCTTGAAGTGGGTAGAATATAGTTGTGCATTAATTGGCTGTTGATTGCTGGTGTCGACTTCTTAATGTGTAGTGCCTCGCAGATATCAAGCCGCCTACTATCGCTGTATCTATCGATGATTTCCGTGTTTTTTGTTAAGACTTCTCTGGTGATGGTCTGGGAAGAGATTATATGTTCCTTAATGGAGCCCTGTTGCTTATGCATCGTTAATCGGAAGAGATTATATGTTCCTTAATGGAGCCCTGTTGCTTATGCATCGTTAATCGCCTGGAAAGAGATGTTGTTGTATTGCCTATATGCTGAATTCTTTGAGGCTTACAGTCCCCAAGTGGGCATTTGAAGGCATAGACGACATTGGTCTCTTTTAAAGCGTTCTGCTTTGTGTCTGGAGAGTTTATATTTATATAAATAGTTTATTATATTATATTTATATTTATAATGTGTGTGTGTGTGTGTGTGTGCGCAGAAATAATATTAATAAAACAATTAACATCGTGTAGTGTACTCTCTATATATCAAAACTGTTTATATATTACTTTGAAACCCGTATCAGTCACTAAACAAAAAAATTGGGCTACTTTTATTACAAATTCGCTACTTTTAGACCATCAGCTCGCTACTTTCAGCAATTTGGACCTGGCAACCCTTTAGTGGCGGAGGGGCGGAGGTAAACACTGCAGCAGCAGCAGCAGCAGCAGCACTAGGTGACGTGTGCTTACCAGTGGCCGTGGCTGCCGCTCCTCGCTCCTCACTACTGCCTCTCCTGCGGCCTCCTCCTCGGCACCTGCCTCTTGCCTCTCTCTCTCCTCTCTACCTCACCATGGAGTCCTCCTACAACTCCCGCTGCCCGGGTAATAACCACGCTGCAGGCGTAAATACATCATCCTGGTGCCGCTGTGCAGGTTTTCATTAGTGTGACGTTGCTGCAGGTTCTTCTCCTCCAGTAGGTCTTGGGCGACTGTCTCAAGGAGGCCAGCCTTCTGCCTCGATCTTAATTGTGTTAAAAAGACCTCCATAAGATTTGATGGACAACTAGCTTTGGATTCTGTTGGTTTGATTTTTTTTTTTGTAATAGACTATTGTCGTGTATGTAATTGTAATGTGTGTTTCTAATAGCATTCCCCCGTAGTGAACCAAGCTATTGGGATTGATAATTCAGGTCTATTGGGGTTCACTTCTCACATGTCCAAATTGCTATTGAATAATGTCTGTTTATTTTATTAATACTTCAAGACAAAACATTACATTGTTTTGAATTATGCAATAAATTCCTGTGCAGTATATAAAATTTGTTGTATAGGCATCAATCAGTGAGAGAATTTTCACTTGCAACATAATTTATTTACAGCCTAGTTGGGCATTAAACTAATTACAACATTTATACTATGTATTTAAAAATGTACTAAGAGTTGTGTAACAATTATGGTGAGGAAGAGTCGATGGGATGTTCTCACAAAGCCACTTGTATGCATAGCATTTTATGCGACTACTCTTTCTACATGGTCTTTTAACATTTTATAAATGAAAGCTGTAACCTGTTCATAACATTCGTAATTTAACATAACCATACCCCCAATCAGAGAAAGTTAGCAGTGAATGGGGTATTTATTTTCCACATGGATCACTGATCATGACTTGTAATATTGTACTGTAATGTATACTTGGAAATGAGCTCAGAAAATTTTAGATTAGAAAATATGCAAAATTTTAGGGATAACTATAATTTTATTGTATTAATGCATTCATTACATTTGCAACTTTTTATTTTAATAAAGTACTGTACTAGTATAATAAATTAATATAAGATTATCCAGCCAGCCCAATATTAAAGAGACTGATTTCCCTGTAATGTTGAGGGTAAATACTGTATTAGGGTCTCGGTAGCACAGTTGGGTTTGTTCTCGACTCTGTCTTGAATTCCAGGTTTGAATCCCGTGCAGAACAGAAATGGTTAGACTCGTTTTCTATCATTTAATGCTTCTGTTTACCTAGCAGTAAGTAGATACCCAGGAGTGAGTTGGCTTCTTAAGGGGTTGCATCCTTGGGAAGGTCAGTACAGTAGTTTGACCTAGGGGTGGGGGGGTGGAGACTTCGATATAAACTTAATGTGTATATATATATATATATACACACAGGCTGCCTGTCCCTCCAAAATAAATTATATACTGTACAGTATTAAATTTAAAGGTTTATAAATACAGTTCAAATGTGCATTGGATTATTGTATGATGGTAACACTGTTCTGCAATATCTTTGTATAGCATGACCATGTTGTAAAATAGATATTGCTCCTTCTCACGACTCGAACTGATTTGCTCATTAATACATCACGTTAATGTGATTTCTTCATACAATAAACATAATAGTTTTCATAACTACTTCAGACCGACTAATGATGCTGCTCAAAATGTTTCCTACTCAGTACAATTAAATATAAAATTTTACAGAAATCTTTGTCCACAGGAACATTGTATTGTGAGGATTTTATATTTGATACAGTATTTGCAAAGGCTGTCTGTCATTGATGTGACACCAGCTTGGTCCAACAGACTGTAGTGTACAATACATGCATACAATTTTAGTTGAGAGGCTTTTATTTTGCATGGCATCATGTAAAATACACTTTGAACTGTACAGTAATGTATTTGCACGCTGAAAAAATAAAAATAAAAAATCCTATTTTTCTGTACAGCTGTGAAGCGTCTGTTTCGTGAAGCCAAGGAGTTACACGAGGCCACTGAAGAGTATTTTGCCCAACCTCTTGATGACAATCTCTTTGAGTGGCATTTCACAGTTAGGGGTCCTGCCGACTCTGAGTTTGATGGTGGTGTCTACCATGGCCGGATAATAATGCCTGCTGATTACCCAATGAAGCCTCCAAATATCATATTTTTGACGGTAAAAATAACTTCTTTATATTTGTAGAACTTAATTTGTGTGATATTTTTCTTTACAAAGGTCAAAAACTTTGAATCTGTTTCCCCATTTACCTTCCAGAGATCAGTGTTTAAATTTTCTTGCATCCATTCCTTCCATAGGACTGTACTACTGGATGTTATCTGCAAAGCATTGTTACTTGTAGTACAGTACTTTACTAGCTCCATAACTCCAACATATTTCAGGAAACATAATTTTGTTCCAACTAAATAGATCTCTCACTTTAGAGTTCAAAATTTGCCAGTTTTTGTGTGTAGATGTATTGAAAGTGTATTGTACTCACCTAATTGGGTGAGGTGTTGGCACACTTATGGTAACAATGAACTTTTTCCTTCAGCCAAATGGACGATTTGAGACAAATAAAAAGATCTGTCTGAGTATATCTGGGCATCATCCAGAGACATGGCAGCCTTCCTGGAGTATTCGTACAGCACTATTGGCTATAATAGGATTTATGCCAACTCCTGCTAATGGCACCATAGGCTCTCTAGACTATACAGCTAATGAACGAGCCAAGCTAGCAATAAAGTAAGTAAATCTAAATTCAATTCTCGTAATTTGTCTTAAGGCCCTGCTCCTCATGGTTTTTCTTTAACCAGTGTCTTGTAGAATATATAAGATAAATTATTTTTTTTTAAATATGGCATGATTGATAATGGCTGATTTCATCATCTATATTGCTTGTGGGGGAGGCTGGGTGTTTTGCACTCATATTTTAAAACCCTGCACAGTATATCTGCTTAAGAAGATGTTTGAAATGCACATACAGTACTTAATAAAAGAAATGCTTCTAATTATATTCAATAGTGATATAATGTTTATTGAGGTTCATTATTAATGTGCCAACCTGAATTCAGCAGCTGACAGAACAGGCACACAGTTTGCCCAGCTGTTCATCCTTTCTCTGGAAGGCTAGATAATTACTTTTACACCTGTGTTAAGTAACAACTACCATAATGCTGTAATGACATGTGAAGCCTGGCTGAAGGGTGGTAATAATCATGTTATAACTATCAATTATACAATTGAATTCTGCATAGGATATGTAATTTTTATTTATGTAAATTTCCACTTGAATCAAACAAATTCAGTCAATATGAACCCCCACTCGAGTTGTGCACGTTTGTGGGTGAGGCAGGGAAGTGCCAAATGCCAGCTACCTTTCCCCCCCACTCCTCTCATAGGTGTAGTACAGTATTATTAATACAAATATAATATACAAAATAAAATATAATATACAAATTTGAATAATATATTATTCAAATGTAATTAATGCAGCAATATAAGTACAAGTTGAATGCAAAATATTATGTAATTATTGAATGAAAGATGTATTTTGTTTTTGTGTATAGCTTAAATTTACTTTTAGATCTCAAGAATATGAGTGTCCTCAATGTGGGAGTATAAATGTGCTGCTGAAGGAGAGGACGAGTGATAACAAAGAGCTACAAGAGGAAGCCAGAGAAGTTATGGGTCAAGTTGCTGTATCTGTCAGGGTAAGTTTGCTTGTTTCTCACTATTTGTTACTTCTTCAATTTGAGATTGTCATACAGTATTTTATAACTTATTTTTCTTGGGTTTTAAGTATGTTGATAGGTTAATCAACATCTAATATAATTGTTATCCCAGGTGGAAACTAAAGGAAATGAAGCTTCAATGGAAGAATCCAGTGGCATGAGTGACGTTATGGCATCTCTTGACCATTCCACGGCAGAGGACATTTCCGACCCCATTTCTAGCTCGTCTGAGCCTTCAGAATCTAGGAACGAAGAATTGGACACACTGCAGGCAACCAGTCAGATTACTCTTCCTGGCAACAGTGCCTCTGCCAGCTCCCTACCTGCACCAGTTGCAGATTCTGCTCCAGAAATATTAATGGAGGGTGTTGGTGCACATAATGGCAGACAGAATCCCATTTCCTCTGCTTCAAATCAAGGGTATTTGTATAATTTGGCACTGTCATCTGCTATATTTCTCTTTATTGGACTTGTAATGAGGAGAATATTTCTCCTGGAAGGAGATACATCAGAGGAACTTGATGATGTTCTTCTCTGATGTTAGTGGTTTACATTTTCATGTCCATGAATTGAATCTTTCACATATATTATTAATTGTAAATTATATAATATTTCCACACCAGTGTGTTGTATATAATGTATCGCATTCATACATGACATCCATCTTGTTTTGTTCTCTTTATCTTTGATCTCGGCAGTACTGAGTGGCAGTTAACTTTTTCATTATTTTCATGCATTGTTTTGGACTATAAATTCTGGACTATAAATCATCACATGTGCAGTTAAAAGAAGCCTCATTCCAGAACTCCATGCAGAGAAGGAGTTCATATTGTCATTTACTCAAGTGAGTTTGAATTTTTGATGCAAGTTAAAAAGTTAATTTTTTTTTTTTTTTTTTTTTTATCAATGTTTATGATAAGCTTAATTAAGAAGGTAATGGTGATGTCTTTACAATTGTCTATAATAATATAGCTTCAAATGGAGATTCCCATCTGCCAAAAATTGTTCTCCAAAGCTTTCTCTAAATCTAGAGAATGAATTACCATAGGTATTTCTATATTTTGTTCATATTGTTTTTCTTGCTACTCGTGTTATCCATACACATGCATGCATTTTTCCTTACTGTGCAAGTATAAGCATCTATCATGTTTGAGCAAGTTTAAAACCACTTTGAGTTGAACATATCATCATTGTTGTCACACATGGATATGCTCAAATTCATCTGATGTTTTGAGCAGTGTTTGAAATTTTGGAAGTGTTTAGCAACTTCAGTGTGCAGGAAAGGAACTTTCATTTAATTATATCTTTCATATTACATATTGTCTTGTCTAATAAGGGTCATAACACGTTTGTGTGATGGGCATTTTCTGTTGGGCATGTTAAAATACTCGGTAAAAAAAGGGTTTTTGAAGGGTTTGAATTTTTCTTCTATTTAGACTAAAGTACCATTATAGCCTATATGCTCGGTTTCCCATTGATAAATTTATCGAAGTCCCCCAAGGCAACTGACTTCACTTTTTCCTGAATGCACCCCATAAAAGATGCCTAACTTGGGAGTACCTAATTAATGCTGGGTGAACAGAGACATTAGGTGTAAAGAAACTCGGCCAAACCTCTCGTCCTGCTCAGAAATTAAACCTGTTATCTTTTGGTTGCAAGCTGACTGTGGCTGTACATTGTGTATTGTACAGGTCATAGGCTAGGTGGGTTTCTTAATGCAAGTGCACCTGTCACAGACTTTGCTCTATGAATTCTGCATGAACTTAAGGATCATTTGCATTCATGAATTAAATATTGTAATTTGCATAATTTAATATAATATCTTTAACCCAGTAAGAATTTTGTATTATTTGAATTGGAATTGAATTATTTGTAATTGCAGAAAATAAGCTTTGCAATTTTTTTCCAATCAAACATCAATATGAATGTTATGCTTTCACATGAAAGTAAGTCCCTATTATGTTAACTTATTAAATATTTACACATTTATGATAGAGGAATTTCATAATAAGTTTTAAACACATTTAAACTACAGGTATTTTATTTGGAGCTGCATGAAATAGTCTGTAAGCATACCTTATGCTCGTGCCCTCATGTCTGTTGTGTTGTTAGCATTCACGATCATGTGAAAGTGTCACTTTTCAAGGTGTTTTGTTGGAAGTTTTTGCCTTCATTATTGATATGTCTTTTAAACCTTTCCACCATTTTCCAAAAAATATATATTAATGTATTTTGTCAGCAATTGCAGTACTTTTACTCTTGGATTCCTGTGGTTAAATATAAATTTTCAGAGCTCCATTGAGCATCTGCATCCATGCTTGCATTCTCTAGCCACAAAAACAATTATTATACAAAAAATTTCACTTATTTAAAGATACTGTATACAGTATCTAAGAGTTGCCATGGTTATACCAGAAGCAGTTATACAAGTGTGTTGACTTGCTTGTTTCTGCCTCCTCTGTTCTTTAACAAATGCCTCTGGTGATTGGTAACATTAAATTGATGTATTCTCACATTTTTTTCTTTTAGCTTTGTTCAATTGTTATTATTTGTAGAGTTTAAAATATAACAGTACATACATGCAGCCAGTTCAAAGTTTCCTCCGAGCACCACAGCAAGGACAGTACATAAATATTTTTTAGAAAACCATCCACAATAGATCTTCTGTTTTGTGCATATTTTTATATACTGATGTACTGGTCCCACATTGTCCTCATTTGTTTACTTTTCCCTACATTACTGAGATAGCAAGACTCTTGGGTATCTTGGTGTTTGAGTTGTACAACACACTCTTATGTCTTTATTAATCTGTCTTTTCAACTCCCACCTTCCAAGTAGTGTATATACCTCACAATTTTTTCACAATTGCCCTATCATTCATTTATCTCCTGGTATTGATGGCTACTTGTTTTGTAAAGTTACCACTCACACATTGCCCTGTACAATACACGCACTAAGCCCCTTTCTGTTACCAACTGCAGAGGCAATTGTGGTGTGTTGGTGCATAAATTGTGGATGGTGATTTCCCAGTATTACACATCTGCCTTAAATACTGTAGTAGGGTATTTTTTTAAAGAATATATCTTTTGTTTTATAGGAATATGTAAAGTTAGTCATAAAACTGTTAAATTAACGTTTGTAAATATTATTCCCGCGTTATTTTTTAAAATCTTTGGTGCAAAATGTTTATTCTTAATCGACACTGATCTATCAGCTTCCAGCCCTGTCTCTTGTTTACTTGTAAAAACTCCTTAAATTAATAAAGAAAATGACTTGCATATCTTTCTTTAGATAACAGAAATGTTACTTTTGCTCCTGGGGGCTTGTAAGCTTTGGATCCATTATGAGCAGATTAAGCCATCTTGTGAACCAGGTCTTAAAGTGCATTACAGCTGCTATAAACATTCGTCTTTTTTTTCATTAATACTGTATTTGGTATTCTTGGCAAATGTAATTAGGGGGACGATTTTGTTTACAATATGCTATGGGAAGAAAACTTGAGCTTATTTGAAGAGTGCTTTTGTGTGAAGTGAAGTGTTGAAAATACAAGTTTTACTTGTGCTGGATCTTATAACCTAATACAGGGTACTGTACTAGTATTTTAATAATAGCTTTTGTTTATGGAAAATGGATATATATATATAATAAATGCTGTGATTTCATTGGTTGGTAAACTGTAGCTTATAGGCAGATGGAGTTAATAATATGGGTGAAGGTTAAACACAACCCACAAATCTGAAAATAAAGAATTGATGAAGTTTCTGTCCATCCTGGACCATTATTGTGTTCAATTCTCCATTTTAAGATTTTTGGGTTGGGTGTCTAATCTGCAGCTTATAAGTTTGATGTACAGTATTATATTAATATCTTAGTTTTCTTCAACGTTAAATTACAATGCCATAAATTTGTCATTCTTCATGTAGCAAAAAACTGGTTATACGATTTCAATATTAATCAGGTTTTGTGCTACATGAGAAATGAATTGACCTGTTTTTTTTTTTTTTTTTTTTTTTGCAGGGAATTTTTTTATTTTGACACATTAAAAATAGTTACAATTTTATGCAGAATTATTTTAGTACAGTATATTGTATCTTGCTACCTTCTGATAGTCTTGAGAACTTTGGTGATATAAAATATAGTTAACATTAAACAGATATATTTTGTTGTGTGCTCCAAATAAGAACTACAGTACATTTTGGTGTTTAAGCTAAAAGAGTTTGGAAAGTAGAATTTTTACCAAGGGTTGTGGTTCATGGGTTTGTATATCTAGTCACATCTTCAGACTAAATTCTTGTCCTGTACAGTACTTTTAATTATACTTCCATGTTTGCTTAAATGCAGGCTTTGAAATAAAATTGAATTGAAGTAGAATAGAACTGACTCCTTAGTGCCAAATAAAGAATTTTACCTACTAGTGTAATTATTGTGAAGGATATAGGAGATAGCTTATGCATGAGAATTTTCCCTTATGTTGTGCACCAGTGGGTAGAAATGGCAGAAGGCATTCTGCATAAGATGTCCTATTGTGTAATGTGCTATGGTATTGGAAACCAATACCTTGAAACCAATGTGTGTGAAGGATACAGAGCCCTATGGGAAGTGTCTTGATCCCTCGTACACATTGAATAATAATTCATTACTTGAGCCTCAAAGGCACTGATTCATGGGGTTTATATCCCAAGGGCCAGATTCACCAAGCAGTTCTGCAAGCACTTACGAACCTGTACGTCTTTTCTCAATCTTTGGTGGCTTTGTTTACAATTTTTAAATGGTTAATGATCTCCAAAGCACTAGGAGGCTGTTTATAACAATAACAGTTGATTGGGAAGTTTTCATGCTTGTAAACTGTTTAATAATTGTAACCAAAGCTGTCAAAGAGTGAGGAAAGATGTCCACGTTCATAAGTACTTGGGTAACTGCGTTGTGAATCTGGCCTCAGATTATGACAAAGTGGTGGTAAAGAAATGATTCTTTCAGTCCTTTTAAAAATGTGAACATAATTGTTTAATGCAGAAATATGAAATTAGTATTGGAGTACACTTGTATGTTCCATTATTGTTGAATAAAGGGAAGAACTTCAGCCCTCCATGCTTAGTGTACGTGTGGAAACTATTTTATTAGGTTGTATTGGATGGCAATAATGCATGTGCCTTTCCTCTTGCTTGGAGGTACAGTAATTAGAAGGCAGAATCTGGACTTACTTTTTATTTTATGATTCAGTTAATTGGAAAACACTATACTGTGTAGGCAAGATACTTTAAATTGATCGATATATAAACCTATAGTTTTTGTTACTTTACACACTTAAAAATAAAGTTTTTGAGCTCTCATTGTGAGGAAAAGGCTAGAAATAATGTGCCAAAAGCTCTTTGGCAGCAAGTCTGAAAGACTTGCTGCCAAAGCAAACAAATCCATGGGGTGAGATTTTAACCTGTAAGCTGTCCTGGCCTTTAATATATTCTAGATATAACTATTAATACCATTTATCTTGCTCCTTTAAAAGTAAATGCAGAAGTAGATTACTTCCTTAAGTAACTTAAATGCCAGAAATAACAAGATTTGTGTAGTTCTACTATGTTTGCTTCTTTTAAGATAGTCGACAAAGATTAAGCAATACATTATTCCATGTCAGTATTGCCTTAGTGACCAGAACTGGCACTTACCACATCTGCTTGTAACAGTTAACACCACCGAGACAGACAATTATTACTATCGCTATTAAATTACTGCCATGCTATAACTACTTTTTGCCAAAGTAATTATGCTTATGTAGCTAGTGTGTTCAGGGAGCGAAATTTAGCCATAGATCCCTGATTCGGCTATTGTACCTGGTGCATTTATACGTGCCTACATTACAGAACTGTTGTTGCTTAAACCACCTTCAGCTCAAGTTACTGCCACCTGTTTACCACTCACTGTATATGATTATTTCCTTACATGTCTCTGACTGGTCTGTGTTGCCAACTTCCATCTGTGATCCCTCGTTCTGATGTCCTTCACCTGGAAGACTGCACTTTCTTGTGATCATATCACTTCTAGTCCATTTCTCTTAGGCAATTAATTTACTTAGCTTGTTCTCATAACTCTTCTGTCTTCTCTGGTACTAGTCTTGTATAACTTAGAGATCAACCTCATTACAACAAATCAGATGTAGTGAATTTTAATGTTGTATTTGGGTCAAAGATGTGGACTAAGTACGTCAACTCGTTTGCGACTGTGCACCATCGGTTAAACATTACAGTTTTCTCATGTAGCCATTGGTGATACACTTAGAAAGACATACTATTCATACAGCTGTAGTAAAAAGATGAACCCTCCAGAAATTAATATAAATATTTGCACTGCATTAGTATCGGTACATCTGTGTGTACCCTTGTGAACACCAACGGCCACATGAGAAACCTGCAATGTATCTCCATTGGAATATGGTGCGTGGATGTGGTAATTTTAGTCTTGCATGAAGTTCCATATTTTTATTTAAAGTAGCACACTGATCTGATGTAATCCATGGACACAAATGGCACTTTAAAAGAACAATGATCTAGGAACACTGATTGTTAAACCACTGTATAGTCTTAAGTGCGAGCAGATAAGAGTATCAAATACAGTTCAGTACTATATTTTACTTAATAATAATGTACAACATTAACACAACTGAGGTAAAATCATTGCTGTGTTTTAAAATAATATGAACTGTATTTCAGTATTTTAAAATGCCATGGCTCAGGTGACCTCCACAAGGTCGGCTAACCATGAGTTTGGAATTACAACACATTGCGCGAAATAAACTAATGGGTTCCAGTGACTGGCTCAGAGATGAAGTTTCCCAATATCGGGGATAGGAATTCTGCTGTCAGGCTTATCTAGATCGTCTTATGATCTTGGCTAAAGACAGGCCTTCCTCAAGATAAATGTAACCTACAACAGTTAAATAATTATTGCTAGATGAAGACACTGGTGGTGAGTCGACGACGCCAATTAATGGCTACATAACTACGATATAAACTGACAAGTCTGGCATATCCAACATTGCCTGATACTTTGGTAAATGTCCAGTAGCATGACATTAACTAGGAAGTCTCGTAATTGGCTTCTCTACCGAACAGTAGAGAAGTCAGTTGGTGTCTCTTTAACCAACCATCCGCCTCCCATTGATGACATTAATACAGATACCCTTATATGTGTTGTATGGGGTGGATTTAGTACCACTATGGAAGGTGGGCGTAACGGTGACTGGTTCCGGTGTATGAGGACGGAAAGTTGGGCGTAAACACAGATGTAGGTAAAAATAAGCGGAAGTCATCCGCCCCCTTCCTGTAGGTTATAATTTGTTAGGCTTTAGCTCTAGGGCCAAGTACTGGGACAGGTATGGAGATGTGTGTGTGATATATGTGAACCTAAATTCACATACCAAAGGAATGTGAATTCCTTTGATATTTTCCGTCCTACATTGTTGCTTGTTGAGATTGAAGCCGTTGCTAACTGTATGCGTTACATCTTATTTTTTAAAGAAGTGGTCTGGATTCAGCATTCTTCAAATTGTTCGGTATTTTAAAAGTTTCGATGAGGTCAGACCTGGTTTGCCTAATTAATTAAGTTTATCGGGGGGGGGGGGGGGGGGGCAGGCAGCCAGTTTATACATACAGCACATGTTTGGCTTATATCGTGGTCCCCCTCCCAGGGTCGAATTACTTAAGCAATATCTGCAGTGTTCACATCAGATAATACCAGTGATGGTAGTTAGTGTTCTTAGATAGTACCACTGAAGGCAGTTATTGTTCTAGGTAGATAATCTTATTATAAAGTATAAAGTCTTCTGGTATGTTTCTCCTGGTATCATCACCATCCACTACACATCACATCACTAACAACCAACAACCCAAGGTACATAAGAATTTCCTTTGGGTGGGCTGGTCCTTTTCCGATGATCGTGACGACCTATCACCTATAAACAGGGTGTGAAGCAGGGTGCGGTGACAGCAGTATGACTAGAGTTTACGTTGGGTTGGTTCCCGTTGTTGTTGTTTTAGATTCAGCTACTCTGAACAAAAGTTCCAAGTAGCACGGGCTATGGTGAGCCCGTAGTGGACTTACCTGGCACAAGAGCAGGGCAAGAAGCACGGGCTATGGTTAGCCGTGTGTCCCGATGTCCGGTACAGGAAGCTTATATAGAGGTTTCCCTTAGACCAACTACTGACCTTCCCCAGGATACAACCCACAAAAGTTGCCTAACTCCCGGGCATCTATTTATTGCTAGATGGACAGAGGCATTAGGTGAAAAGAAACGTGTCCAACTATCTCTTGTCCTGCCCAGGAATTGAACCCGGGTCCCTTGGTTGTGAGCTGATGGCGTAGACCACTTGGGTGTTGTGGTTCAGTCAGCCTGTGAGCTGCAGCGTCTAACAGCCTGGTTAACCAGACCACCAAGTAGGAGGCCTGGTCTGAGACTATGCCGCAAGAACATAATTGACCATTGGAATGACCTCACAGTTATCTCAAGGTGGTGTTGAGTTTGTGGTGGATGGTGCGGTGTTTGTTGACGGTGAGGTTACGGGTTACAATTCGTAGTATTGGTGATTGAAGAAGATTAAGCCACCCAAGAGGTAGCACGGGTATGAGTAAGTGGTAGATTTACTACAAGATTCAGGGACTTTCTTCTAAGGTCGTTGGTTGCTTCACATTCCAGGAGATAGTGAAGTAGTGGCTTTTCTGTGATTGTTTGGCAGAAGATGCATTCCCAATCTCTGGGTTTACCAATTTTCCAGTTGCATCTGTAACCTAGACGTTGTCTATATAACCAACCTGCTAATTTCCATGTGGATTCCTTTCGGGTTAGATGTAGGTTTTGATAGTGGTGAAAGTTGGTGGTTGTTTGCGGCTGCACCTCACCTCCATTTAACCGACCAGTTTCCAGACCATTGTGTGTCTCTGACCGGAAGTCGCCTGCCATATGTTAATGCAGTGTTTAACCACATTCCAGCCTAGTCCATCCTGGCCTAACCTAATTCATTATAGCCTAGTCATTATACCATTCTAGTCTAGTTCTCACCCTCGCCTAGCCTAACCTGATAACCAAAACATCCTTTCCACTGGAAGTAATGATCAAAGTTTAAACCATGGGCAATATTGAACACATTTGATATTGTAATGTTCCTTCAATTCATGTATTTATATTATTTTGCAAAGATGTAGAAGTAAATGCATCTTAAATGATCATCTGTGATAATTTACGAACAGATTTTTTCGGGGCTTGCAAAATGTGATTCCGAAAGATTCATTACTTTTACCTTTCGACTGCCGGTTCTCAGCACCTCCTCAACTGTTGCGTAAAATTCCGTCGCAGGTCATCTGTATGCTCGCCTGCACTACCACACACTAGTTCCACTAAAAGCACTCGAGCAAGAAGCGAAA